GGGGGGGCAAAATTTATTATGGTTTATAATGGCAAATGATACTTTGAATATTACATGTTAATAACTTGATTGGAATTATAACCTTGAATTGACAGTTTGATACTTTGAAAATTTTGAGCCAGCCCTACCCCCAAGGGCTGTAGGGTGGGGCTCAAAGGAGTCAGTGTGCTAAAATTTCTTCATTTTCCTTGTTAAGAATCAGAGGTGTTAGTTTCAAATCCTTTTTAGTCTGAAATCTGTATGCTAGATATTGAGTAAGGTGGTTTTATTGTTTTTTGTCGCTTTGAATAATATTTCTGTTCATGTTAAAAACAAAATCAACTCTCTGTATAAATATATCAGGTGACCGTTAAGGCCCATGGGCCTCTTGTTTTTTTTTAACTATGAAAGAGGTTGTAGTTTAAATCTCCTCCAGTGAAAATAGTACGGACCAAATAGGAATTTTTATACAAATAAGTATTTTTTATATATGTAAATTTGTAAGAAAATTTGTTATTTCAGTAGACGCAGTAATGCTTGAATATCGCTATGTTGTTAACTATTAAAAATTTAAGTTATAGACATGAGGATACAAAGTATCCTGATTCTATTTTTGATATGAGAATACAAATTATATTGAAGAGTGTTATGTGCTATTGATTTAGTTGAGTCTTTTAACTCATTCACCCTTGAAGCCACATTTGAACTCTTCCAGTCCAGTTCAAAGGTTGGAATAGCTCATTAGAACATATCAGGGGTGAATGAGTTTATTGGTTAAGATTAATGGATGTTCTGATATCTTACTATTACCTAATTTGCTGTCTGCATACTCACCTTGTCTTTATAAAATGACGACTGCGCTTATAAAAACTTTGTAACAAACGTCACCTACTTCTGTATCACGAAGAAATTATTCTCAATCTTTGACCAACAATTCTGTACCAGTGAAACATAGGAACAATTCAGCTCTAACGTCGCTAACAACCATGGAATGTAAGCAGGCCTAATGAACTGGAGTTATTTTTTATATTGATATTGAAGTGTCCATCCCTTTCATGTTTCCGTAATATTGCGGTATGTACATATTAGATTGAGTACAGTAAATGGAACGACACACACTCTTAAATATTAACTACCATATGGTATTTCAAAACGTCCCTGCCGTTCAAAGGTTGAAACATATCCAAGGACATTTAAATTTAGAAAATGATCCCTTTATACTTGCAATTTGTAGTGAAAAGCGCCATGTTGTTGGAAATTGTTGTGTTGGTGAAATATTTAAATAAAAGCTAATAGATGCTCCTCTGTATTTGACCAAGTCGTTCTCATGAAATTAGCTGAAATTGTGTTAACTGAAATTCCTGATGCCATATTGTGTAAAAAAATGTATTTTCGTGCAGATTTGTCTATACAATGGTACAAGGCAATCGGATTTATTATGTTTCGATGTTTCCAATTTACGAAAATGTGAAAAATATCGGTATTTTTTATTTGATTACAAGGTGTTAATAATATTTAATAATTAATAGGACACAGATCAAAAGAATATTAAGAGGAGCAACACGAATGGATATTTTAATATAATCATTAGATATAACTAATATTCTATCACTAAAAAGCATTTGTCTCAGTTTATCATTTGGAAACGTAGAAATAATTTCCAGTTGATTTTAAAAACATTTGATCAGTCTAATGTCTTTTACTTTGTTCATTTTGCATTTTAACTTTTCATTTACACGGACTTTGTTGTACAATATACCTTGTTTCGTTTTCTGTACGGATAATGTCATAGAAACCAATCAAGTTCTACAAAATATTTTCTCATTATGCAAAAAGGTGTCGAAAAATACAAAAAATATAATGTATTTTTTTTACGAATTAGTAATAATTCTTAAAGTAAGCATTTCACATTATTGATGTTTTGTATGTATTACCTATCATAATTAAGTGATTATATAGGCTTTTTTTGGACTGTCTAACTGATACAGTGCGCCTTGTTGTGACGTTTTGAAACCAATGTCTGCTGGCTCATGAGCGTTTATGAAACCGGGGCCAGAGTCAGATCTAAAGTGATTTTTCATGGTTCTCGTGTACTTTTTTAAAATGTCCATTTTATTACTTGAAACATATCATGTTAAAGATGGTGATATATTTGCATATATACTAACATATTAAAGCAGAATAAATTTGTTGTGTGTGTTAAATTAGTCTGAAATGCAACATGTACTTTAGCTTACCTGCCCGATTGGTCGTTTACTTTCATTGCCTGAATATTATTATTATAATGTCTCTTAACTTGCCTTCCGTTGTCCAAATTGTATTAATCAATTACGATCTTTTGTAATATGTGGTACATGTCAAATAAAATATGTACTTTATATAAGCTCTTGTTTTTTGTTTATAAAAGTACAGCATTGTAGTTAATGATTGCGGTTTCCTAACATAGTTCCATTTAAACTGTTTACTCAATAGTCTAGCCAATTTTCGTTTGCAGTAAAATGACTGGACAATTTTTGTATAGAAAAGAAACAATATGTTCCCTGAAACAGTGGCTGATAAAACGAAATAAGTAGTGGCTGGATTAAATACGCTCACCTATCGAATTGAAATAATGCTTAATTTTAGTTGTTGTATATCATTTTGTTGCAATACAGTATTTTTTATTATTTCGATTTTGGAAAACAGATGTAGTTTAACTTCCATAACACTTGAGAGTGACATATTGGATTATTTTGATTAATATTGAAATAGAAAAAAGTAGCATAGCGTTAACAAACAAAACTACATAATCGACAAAAGAATAAGAACAGCAAACCACGTGACACAAAGATTAAAGGAAAGTCATCGTAGGCTTTCAAGTCCTAATCACCATTAACTGGACTGACTGCATACAGTCCATGACAACAGGTTATATTCTTACGCTGGGAGTTTGAAGTGGCAGTGTTCGTAAAATATGGTATAGTTCGTCACCATGGTCATACTTAGTAGTTGGACTACACGGCCTTGTGGTTCCAATGTATGTTGTTAGGGAAAGTTCATACTTATATAGACTTTAAAAGCGGGCTGAACATAGCATAGCCACATGTATTCATATACACTGTGTTCCTAAACGTCACTCATAAGTGGTGTCGACAACCTCTACAAACGGAATGCGTCAGGTAAGGTACCGTCAAGATAATTGAATATTGTTAGAAAATGTTCCGCGTTTATAAACTACCACACGACAATAGCATGCGTGTATTCATCAAATCAAGTAGACATGCTTTTGGAGTGCAATGCAATGACAAAACATTTATATATTGAATTGAACTTGAATGTTCACTAGATTACATTAGGGATTTTCTAGTTAAGGACTTCCTATCTGTTAATAACACAGTATGTTGGAGGTGAAGATAAATGTTAGAAATGAATCACCGAGGATTTATCTAAGTACAGTTGTATTACTTCCTTAATTGTAACGGGAGAATCAAACACTACCGAGTGTATTTGCTGGTATTGAACAAACTAGGATTGGAGAAGTTGGACTATTTTCTAAGAACTCTCACATGTTTCCTTTTAATATGACAATGAACCATTCAATGAGAAGCACTGACTAAAGATGAGCAAATAAATAAATAATAAAGGCGCAACTCATTCATATAAGTAACTTAAATCAAATGTGGTCTGAGGTCATCCCATAAGTATTATTTAAAGAAACTCTGACATGTTATTATAGGTTGTATGGATCATGGATCTTTTTCATGGATGCTGTGTTTCAAATCATAATATAACTGTGTTATTCTGTGTCATTGATATACATCAGAAGGAGTTTTGATGTATTTCCCCTATATTGATACCCCAGCTCGCTCGTGTTGAAAACAAATCTAAATATAATATGTTGGTTATGAAATCAAATAAGCGACATAAGTCAGTTAATCTGGTGTTTATGAGTACATATGAGATTAGGCGAGCTAAAATGAAAATTCGTGACGAGTTTCATAAATGAAATGAAAACGAGTGTAAGATCCCTTTTTATCACATAATCAAGGTAAGTGGCATTTTTTTTCGTGTAAAATGACAATTTTTCATCCAAACTTGAAATGTAAAAAGCCCCATTTTGACTCCAGTGCTTAATTCTGTGACGTCATGTAAATGTCCTAGGCGTGGCGTCACAATTGAAACAATTGAAACTTACAACCAATCACAGGGCTGAAAGGTCATATTACATGGTTTAATACGCAAAACAATATGACATGGGTATATTCACTGGAAAACACAGTACATTATGTGATAAATTACGAATCCTTCGACTCTACATCAACAATTTGTTATCTCCTGAGGTTGACTTGAATAGGTCATACACTCAAAACCCTGGTTTAAGGCAAACGGTGCCAATGTATCTGTTTTTAAGTGAAGATAAAATTCCCTTTAGTGTTTTTTTTAGGCGTTTGTTTTCTTATTTATCGAGGATGAAGCAACAGAAAAGATGGGTTTTATTTTTTGTTGCGCTTCGAGATATTAATCCTTCATGTTGATGTTGTGCATTATAATTCCCGGATAAAAAATATTAGTTAAGTGTAAGATAGACATTGTACAGATGAAGGGTTCGACCCCTTAAGGTTTATTTGATTTTATCTTGACTGATCATTTATTTTTTTTACAAATAAGTGTGTCTCTGTAAATTTACTGCGAAACAATATCAACGGAGAACATATTATAGAGCAGGACATTGACAATTGTGACAATGGTAATGAAGTATTTCAATTTTGGGGCGCTCTTAAACTTAAAAGTGCATCTGGCTCATATTGCATACGCCTGTGAAATGTGTTTTATATTTCAATAGCCACATGTGCAGAGTATTTCTTGTTCAATAAGTTTACTAGTAGTTGTCAAGATTCTAATATCTTATTTACCTAACGGTAGATGTTACATATAAAAAAACCCACCAGAAACAGGAACACATCGCGGTTTGTTCGTGTCATAATTGACGAAGCAGTTTGTTTTACAATTCCATTCGCATTATTTACAAAATCATTTAAATAGTTACATAGATCAAGTAAAATAAGGTTTAACAAATGTATGGTTAAGCTGTCAAAACTGAATTTTTGTGTTGCCATGTCAGCTTAACAAGCCATATATTGTAACTAATAGAAAACAAATATGACGTAAGCGTTTAAACTGACAAAACTGTAAAACTGCAAAGGGCCGTATCAGATGATAGAATTGTGAGCCTAACATGTCATAACATATAATTCTAAAATAAATATTTGACTTCTGAGTTTGAGCTGGCAGATCAATAAAACTGTCAATGCCATATTGGTAATATAGTTGTCAGCTTAACGATTTAGAAACTAAGCTCTGTAAGATCTTTGCTTTTCTTTGTTTAATAAATCATGAATCTAACTTACAATGGCAATGTAGAAAAAATCGTCAGATTCAATATAAAGACGACTGTCATTGTTTTATAAAGCTCCCACTACCTGACCGGTACGACTACAATTACACAACGTAATCAATACACGATACCCCCTGCCGCGAATGTGAAACTATGTATTGCTATGTTTAAACTATGTGGACAGGTAGGAGAGGACACGCATCGATTTGTAGGTGATTTAAACGATTATCGTGTGATTTTTCGGATAGCTCCTTTTATAAAAATTATAAATCCCGACACATTTGCGATCATGCCAACACTATTTATACACAAATAAAACATAAAAACCATGTGTATACATACATTACGGCGTACACACCAAACAAATCACTGAATCAATCACAATAAGGCACCCTGATTGTAGACCCGTACCCAGACACATTGCACACATTCTTGCATGGTTGAATGATTCAGGAAGTTAAATACGTAAGGTAAGACAAACCAATGGAAGTTTTCGTCAACAACTCCATGCTGCTTCTACGTACGCAACTCTTGGTTGTCCGTCAGTGCTAAGTGGAAAACTGGTGCAGAGTTCTTGTAAACAGATCATTTTCAACCTGTGCGACGTAAATTGTTAACTTCCAAACGTCTATATAGTATGTAGACGCACGCTATACCATCAGCTCGACCAAAATGGCAGGTTTTGCAGCCAGGAAGAAGACTTTTGGAGATTATGTCGAGGTTGACCTGATAGGGAAAGGAACATTTGGACAAGTGTATCTTGTTAAAAAGGCCGATGAGAAGGGTCAGAAGGAGTCTCGAATACAGGTAGGTGAATGCTAATATTTCCATTTACACCGACTACATAACGGTTATACTAGTAATACCTTGGTTAGTCCTTTGTTACCTACCCGTGTACATTTAATTGAACAAGAACAATCATATAATAGGATTTAAAATATATAATGTATACTATAAAGCAATAATGTTGCGAATTACAAACTATTAATTACATATCTTATGGACAATGTTTTATTTCTTGAGTCTGCTTTGATTGTCATTTATCATAATATTATGTAGTGGTATTATATGGTTTATCATTTAGAGTGTCATACCGTTGTTCCAGGCCAAGTTATCTAAAACGTATATAAAATGTACTAATACACAAAAAGGAGCAAAGTCTATAAAGGTTTATTGATTATTTATATGTGTCGTATAGAGATTATGGTATACGTGCTCATCAGGTTTAGTTTTGACAGTGTAAGGGAGATAATTCTGCGCTGCACAGAAAAGTGTTAGATTGGAATGTTTTAAAATGTATTAATACTTGTGCACATTCTTAATGTTAGTACTATATATCTATTTCAAATTGAATTTTGTATAGGTTTTACAGATTAACACCTCGCTTCATGTTTATCTTTTAGATTATTTTGGTACATTTTATAGCTAGTTATACTTGTTCGCCTTATGTTACGAACAATGTTAATTTAGACATTACCTCATGCGATATTATTGAGGGAATCACACATGAGATAATTTTCTTCTTATTGACGTTCATGTTCATGTGAAACAGCTAGGTAACATATTTGGTGCATTGCAGCTAATTAGTCACGTCTAAAATTTGATCTCAAACTCTATAAAACTAGGGCAAAGTGATCTCAAACTCAATAAAACTAGGGCAAAATGTGAACAAACTCAATAAAACTAGGGCAAAATGTGAACAAAGACCAGCTATCCCGGAAGGGTAAGCGTCTTATGTTTTATTGACGACACCCGCCATGAAAATTTAGGTTTGATCCAAGTAATGTCACGTTCTGATGGTATTGATAATAAAACTACTATTCACTAATGAGCATAATCAAAAACATCGATCTTCATATCTCGCATAGAAAAGAAGAAAACATATTTCCCTGCGAGATCATGACTGTGACCATAAAAACTGGTCCAGTACCTTCAACAAAACCTGCATCTTTGGAAACCCTGTGTTGTAAGGTTGTTTTCCCGCAAATAATGCAATACGAACCACTTATTTTATTACGTATTATCGTACCTACCCAGGTTATCACTGTGAGAACGTGATACGTCTTGATATGATATGAAAGTGATATACAAATAGTTGATTTCGAAGAGTTTAACCTTGCGCAGAATAATAATGACATATTTAACAAGATAATACATCAGAATAAAATTGTACGTATATTGTGTTGACTGGTTTGCAAGTTAGCACCATTTTTCCTGATCGCATTTTAATTGATATTGCCATTTAAATGAGAAAAATACGTCATAACTTATTTATGTAGTCCAAACAGATTATCCTTTATTTCCATTCTGAACGTTGACAAGCTAGTTTATTTTCAGTAATTACCGTATATGACCCTGCAAAGAATATAATTTTCTTTCGCTACATATCATATACTTTGTCCATGTACAAAGCTTGTGTTCATTATCGATGCCTTTAATTTGTACCAAAAGTTTGATACAATATTTACGGAACTCTTATATATTTGCTGACCTATGTATTATCCGACAGAATCACTATTTGATAATGCAGATTTTGAACTTCCAGTGTTGCTATCTTTTACCGGTCGTTTATAAATACTGACTTGCGCTCATAACAAGAATTACTCTTTATTATTATCTAGAAATATGCCTTAAAGAAGATACCTTTCCCCGCTGCTGCCAACCGTAAACGAGAAGAGGAACTCGTGCAGCGCGAGGAGGACATCCTTAAAACTGTCAAACACCGTCACCTGGTCCGGTATGTGGACTCGTTCCGGGACAAAGACACCGTGTTCATGGTCATGGAGTACTGTGACGGTGGAACACTGCATTCATATATTCGTGAACTGAACGAGGGAATGCCGGAGGATATGTTCTTGTGTTTCGTAGAACAAATTGCACAAGGGCTAAAGGTAACATATACAGACAGAATATATTGATAATAGATACACACAAGCTAAAGGCGACATATACAAACTGAATATATTGATAATAGATACACACAAGCTAAAGGCGACATATACAGACTGAATATATTGCTAATAGATACACACGGGCTAACGGTAACATATACAGACTAAATACATTGATTATAGATACATAATGGGATGTGAATATTGTTTTAGCTTTATGATAACTAAACAACAATATAATAGTTGTTTTACTATTATTGCAATTCATGCATGCATGTCACAATTAAAGCAATTTCTGATATTATTTCATCTCATAATATAGACTTGAACTAATGGAGTTTATGAACATTTAAAATATATCTTTTACCAAGAACATGCTTAATATGCTGCTTACACTAATTTGAAAAGGAGCATATCCATATATGTATCAAGTGTTTTGCTTGTCTGCCGTTGAAATCCGAGATATTCAATGATTCTCAAACCATGTTTTCTAACGTGATTTGCAGTATCTCCATAAGAAGAAAATAATGCACAGAGATATTAAAACCAAAAACATTCTGATGTCCAGGGGTAACATTTTAAAGATATGTGACTTTGGCATTTCAAAGTAAGTTTGATATTTGCTTTCACACTTGTATATCTATAGTGGTACGTTTCATATAGAGAAACAATTCTATGTATAAATGACGGATACAGATACTTCTAATCTTTAACAGCTAAGGTATCATTCTGATGTTCATAGGGTGCATACTAAGTATCAACGCCATGTTTCATATGTATAAGATATACACAATATCTCCACTGACTACATATTTTATTTATAATTTTATATGCATGATATTTCTTCTGACAACTCATTTCAAATATATAGTATGCATACAATTATATTGATTGCGTTTTCTTTTTTATATACAGTATGTGTATGGTATCTCCATTGACTACATGTTACATTTATATTGACTGTGTTTTCTTTTTTATAGACAGTATTTCCATTGACTACATGCTATATTTATACTGTTATATTTACATTTGCCCCCGCGCCGTCCCATTACAACAGTGTTAGAGGGCAAGTGTAATTATATAGGCTATAATTACAACTGCTCGACTATAATTACAACTGCCTGTTTCAGGTGTAGGAATATGTAAACAAACAAAATGGCCGCCTGAAATGTATTTTGGGGCAGGGCAAATGGTTTTTGTAGGAATATGTCTTGAAAAAGAAAAATATGTAAATATAAAAAATACCTGGTTGTCTGGATGTAATTATTATTGATATAATTACAATTGGCCTCTGGCAAATCTACCATAAAACCCGAGCGGGTTTTTATGGATTTTGTCAAAGGCCGCTTGTAATCATATCAACAATAATTACATCCAGACAACCAGTTATTGTTTAAATGCATGTTATTTCTACTCACAACTTATTTCATTTATGTAGTATGCATACTATTCTATAGACTTCATTGTTATATATACAGTGTATGAATGATATCTCTTATGACTACATATATCATAATTAAAAAAATACCTAATATTATATTGGCTACATATATTCATACACATAACGTTCATAATAGTCTACTGACTACATATCTCTTTTACATGTATATCAACATATTATAGATAATATCAGATTGCCTATACATTGCATACAAACGTTTTACGCATAACAACATATTTTCTGGACATTGTATGCATAATATTATGTTGGATTAACTCGCCCCTTTGCTGAATTTGACCATAACAAACCTCACATCGAGGTCGAAATGTTGTGCTTTAAAAAAATGAAATTAAAGATTATTATAAATTTGGCTTTTATAGAGTTGTAGAACATGCTGGACCAGCTGCTAACTCGGTTTGGATGGGTACCCCACGTTACATGAGTCCGGAGGTCGTGCGGAAAGAACCGTATGCATTTAAGGTTAGTTCTTTTAGTTATTCAAAACTGTCTTATTCAATATACAGAACGATCATATTAGAGTTCATGGAGCTTTTGATTGGTATTTCTTTATTAAAACATACTCATATTATATGATATGATTGACTGTATATAAATGTAACTGCACATTGGATATGAAAGTAAATTTAAAACAGCTGTACATGGGTCATTTTCAGAGTAGTACGATAGGAGCCACTTGACCTTGACCTTGACCAGGAAATGTCTGATGGTATACATCAGTGTGTATATAAAATCACGTACACTCTGAATACCAAAATGAGGATAACCTCATGTGAAAGCTTCCCCTTGTGGATCGTGAGAAATGACAAATCCTAGAGTTATCCAAGGGTTCGTGTAAATTGAAATAGGTCTATAATAATTTCATAAAACAATTTGTCTGTTAATACAATTCCTCACATGATGATATTTATCTGATTATAATAACAGATATATGGTATTATTTGATGATGCAGACAGTTATATGATTTGTATTTGATGATGCAGACAGATATATGATATTTATTTGAAAATACAGACAGATATATGATATTAATTTGATGATACAGACAGATATATGATATTAATTTGATGATACAGACATATATATGATATTTATGTGATGATACAGACAGATATAGGATATTTATTTGCTGATACAGACCGATATATGATATTAATGTGACGATACAGACATGTGACGATACAGACATATGCATGATATTTGTGTGGCGATGCAGACAGAAATATGATATTTATTTGAAAATACAGACAGATATATGATATTAATTTGATGATACAGACATATATATGATATTTATGTGACGATACAGACATATGCATGATATTTGTGTGGCGATGCAGACAGAAATATGATATTTATTTGATGATACAGACAGATATATGATATTAATTTGATGATACAGACATATATAGGATATTTATCTAATTATAATAACAGATATATGGTATTATTTGATGATGCAGACAGTTATATGATTTGTATTTGATGATGCAGACAGATATATGATATTTATTTGAAAATACAGACAGATATATCATATTAATTTGATGATACAGACATATATATGATATTTATGTGATGATACAGACAGGTATATGATAGTTATGTGATGATACAGACAGGTATATGATAGTTATGTGATGATACAGACAGACATATATATGATATTTATGTGATGATACAGACAGAAATATGATATTTATTTGATGATACAGACAGATATATGATATTTATGTGTCGATACATACATATATATATATGATATTTATATGACGATACAGACAGACATATGTATGATATTTATGGGTCGATACAGACATATATATGATATTTATGTGACGATACAGACATATCTATGATTTTTATTTGATGATACAGACCGATATATGGAGCCTCGGATGTACAGCTTACGAGATGGCAATGTCGGAGTATGCATTTTCAGCCGAAAGTCTGGCGAAAATATTCAAGGACATAAGTGTCAATACGGTATATTACTTTTTTGTACAAGTTACAATAAGGTATAAAGCTCTTTTTACTATACTAGTTAAAATAAGGTATATTTTTCTTAATAAGTTACAATCACGTTTTTAGCCAGATTTTGCTACAAAATAATTTATTGTATATATTTAAAAATGATATATGTTTAGTTGGTTTTTCAATAACATAAGTTAGAATGAGGTATAAAGTTGACATGCATTGCATAAGTAACACTTCTGTATATAAATTTTATCCAAAGTGGACAATGATGAATGATAATGATGTTTGTAGGGAACATCAGGTATAACCGTTTTCTTTATAGGGAACAGCATGGTATACAGTTTGCTTTTTACGTAGATAACCATAAATGCTAAGGTGTAATAATTAGATAACAACTTAATGTAGAGTATAAAAATAGAGTGTACTTTGTATTGAATAAGCAAGTAATCATAAGTTATATAGGGACAATAACAATGAGGTTTATACGGCGTCGGATTTCTCTGACGTCATAATCAAGGATAATGCCGAAAATTCGTTTTGTCATCTATATCTTCAAGGGTTTAAATCCGAGAAAGTAAACCTTTTCACAAGTGATATATAAAGTTATTATATTTTACGCTGCAGTGCAAAAATAATGTTTTTATATTATATCTTTATCATGATATATACCCGATAGCTACATATATCCTATATGTTATCATATTATACAATATCTCGGATACAAATATAACTAATTGTCTTTCATGTTTAGGTTCCAGATTTGTCTGGAATTCCTTACTGTGACGATATCAAAACACTAATCAGAAACATGTTAGAAGTCACACAAGGAAAGAGACCAAGTGCTAAGGACGTCTTGAAGATCATTGCTGAACACGAGTGTACAGTGCCGATAACTCCATCAGCTAAGGCGAGCCGGAAGACAGAGGGCGATGAGGACAGTGAACAGTCAACTCTAGCCAGTACTACTGAGAGTGAGTATTGTTCTTACAGAGGCGGGAAGGTTGGTTGTTGATACATCATTTTATGTGCAGTATATCATGATCAGGAAGAGACACTTAAAATCTTTGAAATACGTGTTAGCACTGAAACGCATTCGCACGAGTAAAATAAGTATATGCTTAAAATGGGGAATGCACAGGGAGAAATAAGCATGACCTTTAAACACATAAACCTATAAAAAAAGTGATAAGGAGAAGAACGAATGTGACGATTGCCAGGGCAATAGCGTGAATAGCGGTAGCGTCTAGAGAGGTTTTAGACTGGGATGTTGCTGTAATATTGCAATATACTTATATTCGATGGGATAAGAAATATTAATGTAAGACACATGCATGCTATTGCACTTATAAAAGACGAAGTAGGGAAGAGGGAGATGCTTGAGGCGAAGGGGAAGAGGTGGAGAAAGGTTAAGGGGAACAAAAACGAGAGAGGAGAGTAAAGAGTAAAGGCACCGTTGCCTTAAATTTTAGTGATAAGAACTATTTATACAACATACGTACGGTACCGGTAGATACAATGTAAAAAAACCTGATATACCTGACAGGTTACATTAAACAGAAAAAATAAGTTAGTCAAGACAATCATAACCTAACCAGGTCACGAGCACAACTTAAACTGTTAATCGTTCAATTTCGAAAAATAAAAAAACAAACCGTTCATTAATTGTATGACATGTTATTTCACCCACAGGGTCGTTGCCACATACACAGGCAGGTACGTATCGTGATGTTGGTATGTAATCGTGTTTGAATGTAATAACGTTTAAACATGTATATCATAATGTTTGCATATAAAAATGTGTTTATATCATTATGTTTGCATATAATAAGATTTCAATGTGATAACGTTTGTCTTTGAGGTAACATGCTGTAAAATATATTTTCGCGATGTGCTTTTTAATGCTGCAAATATATTATGATAAAAACATAATTTTATTATGACATTCATTTTTACATACTTAGCTCTTTTGGATAATTGTAACATTTTAAGGATCCCTGTTCCCATGCTCTATGGGTTTTCGAATACACTATAACCTCCCTTTAACTGATGCTTATAAATACAGGCTTTATGCTTGGATATAGCTGTAGCACAGTTGGGTCAGGATACTTCCTTTGAATAGGTAGCTCAATTGGTTACAACGAGATATAACAATGTGAAGTCGAGTGGTCGAATTCCGTCTAGCCCCGCTGATTTTTCTTTTACTCGGAACACTGTTATAGATTATATTTCAACTGGTCTAAATGTCCCGCACGGTATGGGGGGATGTCTTTTTAGAAAAATAGTGATTTCGGAAAAATCCCAGTTTATAATATTAGTTACAGTTCTTGGTATTGGGATAGTGATCCTTAATAAAAACACATTTGTTGTCTGATGAGCATGACTAACCACTACCATTCCAATCTTTAGCCTTTGGCACCACGGGAGACTCGGGATTAGGTGTTAGCTGTGAGTAACATTTGTTATGACTATTGTATATGTTATAATATATCAAATAATTAAATAAACAATTATGAACGGGTAATATCTACATGTATATACTATATGCGAATATTTATTATATGTGCGAGGACACAGACACTTATTTTGCTTTGTTCATATTGCATTGTGTTTTATGTGTGTGTTAAGAAATTCAAATGAATGGTGAAATTGAATCTTTAAAATATCTTTTACAGATTCAGTCATAGAAAACAAGTTTTTTACGATACATATTTATATCTTAATTGCGATTTATATACATAATACTAAATTGCAGCATTTTACTTGACAAAATACTCAATATTATCATTATGATACCAAATTTTACCAAAATACTAAACAGATATTGAACCTAACACAATACCAAATTATAGTTTCAATTTTCGTACTCTTCATATTAATATAGGCATTCACGATAATTTTCTATTGTATTTACAGCAAAATTAAAACATTCCTCTACAAAAGCCAAAAGATATTTAGAAGGGGCATCCACCGAGTTACAGTCGTAAGTACACTGCTCACAATATTAATATCATTATTCCGTTGTAAGCTGTTTTATGAATTCTAAATTCTCTTTCATTTAGAACTAGCACTTTGAATTTTAAAACAATGCTCAATTGAACCATGGAAAAAAGTAATGGTTTAATTTTGTCGGCTATTTTTTGTCTAAATTCATATATAACAGCGCCTGTGATTGCCCTGTTTTGCTCAAGCTCTCCATTACCTATGAAGAATGGAGCGTTCCACGAGTAGTTAGAGACAGTCATCCTAACTCTTCTTGGTATGCTTCTCAGATAGCTATACTGTCTGTATAGTTACGTCATGCAAGTCTTTTTTGAAAAGAAACTGTCAAAAGCATCATGGCTAAACATAGTATTTAAGAAAATGGTATTCCTTTTAACTCGATTGGAAATTATTTCAATAATACGGAAGAAATGCGGATTTGTGTTACTCCATTGCAAAAGAAAGTAGAAGTTAAACTGTACGTTTAGGAATCTGTAAGTTACCTCCCTTTATTGCTGTTAATAATTCGGCTTCAATATCTTCTTCTTTCGAACATCACTGTAATGTTGCGGAGAAAGCATACAACATAAAGATATAAATGTTTATATATATTTATTAATTTGGGTGTTTTGAATAAATAAAGAAATAGTAAAAAAAAACACGATTACATCTTTTACAGCATGTTGGTAGAAATCATCCACTCCCGGAACGGTGTTGACATAGTCAAGGAAATTAAATCAGCAAGTTCTTTAAAGGAAGCTGAGGTTAGTATATAAACCCATATAAATAATTTCAATCTCTTCCACATTTAGGTTCTCATTAAAGCACAAATAATTTGATCAATTTAAGATACATTGATATACATGACTAGCATCGATGTTTTAGAATGTAACCACGTTAACAGGTTACATCACTTGATGTTACATCAAGTAAAGTTTGAAGTATATATAAATAAATGTTTGGTTGTAAGATGTTCTTTTTATGTTTAAGTGATTATAAAATATCTTGCTATATATTGAGTAAATGAAGTTTCATTTTTGAACGCTATTTTCTGAGGATAAATTCAAAACAAGACGAATTTTGTTTGTTGAAAAACTGAACCTGGTTTGTTATTTGTTTTTGTAACAGCAAATTCTGAAGAGGAATCAAAATACAAGGGTTACTAAGAAATTCAGCGACATTATGCAAATAATAGAATCTCTCTACAACACTGAGAGAGAAATCCATCGTCTTGAAGACATTGATACTACATTTTCGTCTTTGGAATCTCAAACCTTTTCCACCTTTTCTTCGACCCCGTCACGGTCTCGAACTAGGAGTAGGAATACCTGACCAGAATATTACCACGGTTTTGTGTGCAATGTGATGTATGTCTTCAGCATCAGTCACCTGCATATCTTTACAACTTAATACTGTATAATTTACTGCAATTATGACAATGATTGTTCAAACGATAGATGGATATCTGTTATCAAATATAATAAGTGAGTATTATAATCACGTGACCCGTGCACTATAAATCCAAACGTTATGACGGTAATTTGAATGAGAAAATAATTAGAATGCAAGTATATAAAAGTATGTTAAAGGCAAATATTTTGCGACATTTATTCAACTTAAAATCCTTCTCTGTAGAGAAAGACAAAAGTCTCTTACAAAGCGCCATTTATTGGTAAAGTTAAGTTCTACTTTTCCATAATTTATGGAGTGAAGTGAACTGTAAACTTGATGGGTTAACAACCACAGTATATGTTACAAGAAATGTTGTGTATGCTTAGCATGATGAAGAAATATTTTATTTTCTAATAAGATGTCCAAGGAAAAGTACCGCCTAACAGGTTTCACATACAATCAATATTAGCATTCCAAAATTTATATTTTTTTTCTTAATTTCTTGTATCCAAGAATAGAAAACTCTTCCATAGTTTCCATTCGGGCAGTAATTATTGTAGAAATATCTGATCTATTGGTATGTAACTAGTTTTTACTGTATCCAATCATATATGCTGATCTTTTGAAAGTTTATTGAGGAAATGCGTTTCACGGGCATTTTATATACGTATATACAGGTGAAAAATACCCTCTTTTTATTTGAGAATTCCACGTGTGTAAGATTCCGCCTATATTTGTATACCATGATAGCACCCTATTGTTATCTGACACACCTATGGGTGGCAGAGAAATGCTACCCTAAGGATGACAGAAGAAGAATTCTTCGAATAGAGGGAGATCGTTTTTTTAAATTTCCGTCCATTGTTTTTATATCCTTGTATTGTCCTGTAGTAGTTTGACAATATTACGTAAGTTTCCTCCCATTGTTATTTTATCATTGTACTGCTTAATTTGATTACACATTTTACATGTTTATCCGGTGATATTATGTTATTGTAGTGACGTCATTTTAATGTGTAGATGATTGTCATCCCTGGTTTCATATTATAATGCGCTCTATTGATGTAGTGATGTCAGGATCTCGTCGTTGCCTTAGTAACTACGGTATGATACTGCCCTGTGTAGATTGTATATATTCAGCTATGTTAACGTATTCTCTACTGGTTCCATCGCGGTACGGAGGGTGTGTAACAGGGTTCGCATTACATTATGGCATCATAGACATTTTATTTACATTTTTAGGAACAAATGTCTTAGTTTTAATGATAAACAAACATATGACGCCCTACATATGTAGCTTTGTTTAGACAATGAACGTGCTGTTTCTATCCGTTTGCATCATTTCTGCTGCCGTCAGGTCAATTGTAGAGACATAACTTTTTTTAATATATAAATCCCCTTCACATTTTAAGCATTTATTAGAGGTCAGTTTACCCGTATGTGATCGAGACTTATCTTGCTTACAAAATCAGTTAATATAATAATATCATTTCATGTTTCAATCTTTTATTCAGTAAAATCTTATCCCGTCTTTCCATCAACAGTCATAGTATCAGAAGACACAAACAAGATCGACTGCTCTAAAACAACAGTGCCCTGACATAGGTGTCAAGGATATGTCTCTTGTTGCTAATATTTGTATTTCAGATACAGTGCTAATACATAGTACGAATAGCTATTATTTATTGTAAAATCCCACCCACCCACCTCCCCCTCAACTATTACTTAAACAAATTACTATAAATAATAGTCACATGACATATCTGTCCCAGCATCAATTATATGTGTTTTTCGTATTGATCGAAAGGAGCTCCGCTTATAGGGTTTCTTTTGTTATTTACAGCCCAAATGACATATGTATATTTTTATCCTATATATATATATATATATATATATATATATATATGATATGATAATTTGGACCATTTATTAGAAGCTATCAAGATGCAGCCCTTATAAAAACACGTACTAGTATTGAAAAGAAAATCTCTGTATTTCAAGCCATTTTAGCAATACGAGCCGACTCATCTAAAGGGTAATTATTCAATGTGTTCGAGTTAAGCCTATAAGTAAATTCTATGTAATATCTTATAATCCACAAATGAACGTAGTTCCCATATTTTGTTGAGACATACTTTTGAAAATGATGCAAAATGGTTTTAAACATTTTTTTTTCATTTTTTCTTTCAATTTCGGTGATTTATGCATGTTTATTATGTTTCTTTCTTTCGCTGTGTCCTTACGGGTCCAATTTACCGCTGTGATATCATTGTTTTATTGTTGTCGAAACAGATAATACAACATTTAGCTTGATTGTTTTATGTCCTCTTATCTCTAATGACTGTCTTCATCTCATAATGTGTTTCTGTAAACGGTACTGTAATATATGTGGGTATTTCACAATAAACCTCATGTAAAAGTAATACATTATAACTACCCATGTTAAAACCTCAGATTCAAATGCCTTTGGATATGTGGTATGTAGTTCTATCTAACAAGCCAGTAAAAGTTTGCGATATTTTGCAAACATACTAGTCTATATTAGCATAACATACAAACATGTGTTTTTATCATTCTTCATTGAAATATAATCTTTGATTAAAACCTTTAAAATTGATATGATGCTACCTGTGATTTTTTGAAAGATTTGTTTTTTTTAGAAGGTGTACAGACTATAGAAAATGTACATCCTAAAAAGGTTAATAGATGCTCAGCCAATTATCCAATCAAGCTGTATATTGATAAACAATAAATTATAATGAAAAGAAATCAATGTTGTGTCTAGTTACCGAGGTGGTCAATTTTATGGGTAAAGCATATGAACAAACAAAATACTTTAATGCAAACAGAATGCATCGTCATTAATCTCCACAAGTTATGTATTCATCCTGTATTCAAATACAATAACGTGTTTTAAACAGCAGATATTCACCGAATAATATGTTGGATCTGACCGTAGGCATTATGAATAGTGCAGACAATGCCTTTTGTTTTATCTAAAGATTTCACATTCGTGACGTTACCCTTACGTTCCAAACTAAACTAACTTGATTCACGAGATGTTTACCATAGAACACTTACAAAAAAACTCTTAGCTTAGAGTACAAGTAATGTAATTTTGTCAATGGAGATCGTCGACTTTAACGTTGTCATAATTCGTTGCAAATAAATTTTGTGTGTCATCACAAATGTATTTATATTCATATTTAAACAACCTAGTCATCGGTGATATGAAATTTCTAGTAAATGATTATTTGAGTGATACAGTGAATGACGAAATGAACAATCTAGTAAATCAAAATACAAAGTCTCTATTAAATTATGATAAGAGCAACAACGTTAAGGGTAATATGAGCAATGTAGTAAAGATGCTATATGCAATTTGGTAAATGATAATACGAAAAAGCTAGTTAATGATGATAGGAACGATCTAGTAAAGATATGATCATTGCATCATTTTAAATAATAGTTAAATGATCCTTTAGAATATCTTATTTGAAATTCAATAACGCAATTTAGCACGCGGATATCATAATTTTATTTACCAACAACACTCATGATACTTCTTACTAACAGGCTATGGAACAATACAGCGGTTTTTAGAAGTCTCTGATAAACGAATGCGATTATTTGCATAACAACCAATAGTATACATAATTTCTTTGACTATATGGCCACATGACAGTTTATCGAAGGAGATACATTCAAGATATAGGTCGATTCAATTTTATCAGACAATAATGTCGCTTCAAATATAACAAAAGTCTGACAGTTTTAACCATACGGAATATTTTTATTAGAATGCAAGTCACCTTTTCTAACAGGAAAATAAAACACTAAAAACATTAACCATGAATAAAACACCACATACTTTTCACGTAAATCACAGTCATGCTTTCAAAATAACAAAAAAGGCATAAATATTATTTCGTGTTGCATTTAAGTTGTGTATACTTACAATAAAAAAACATACAATATCTGTTCACATGAATTATATTCCTTCTGCTATTCATACGAGCTATACGCAAAAAAAATAAATTCATTGATAAGGTGTTCAAATGAATCATTATAAAAGATTTGAGAGAATAACCAGATATATAACGGTGATATCTGATAAATATTCGCTGAGATTAAAAGAAGAACCATCTTCATGTCACGTTAAATTCTGGAGAAACCATCTTCGTGTTACGTTAAAGTCTGGAGAAAACCATCTTCGTGTTACGTTAAAGTCTGGAGAAAACCATCTTCGTGTTACATTAAAGTCTGGAGAAAAAACATCTTCGTGTTATGTTTAAGTCTGGATAATACCATCTTCGTGTTACGTTAAAGTCTGGAGAAAACCATCTTCGTGTTACGTTAAAGTCTGGAGAAAACCATCTTCGTGTTACGTTAAAGTCTGGAGAAAACCATCTTCATGTAACGTTAAAGTCTGGAGAAAACCATCTTCATGTTACGTTAAGGTCTGGAGAACAGTTTTTTTACTACGTTCGATTTACAAGGAATTCCTTTCTATCAGAAATAATTCCTTGACTTTTTTCGGATCAAAAGAGAACCATGTGTTGTTTAGATACCCTACAAACTTGGAGGTAAACCGTGTATGTGTTATGTCAAGTACATTTGTTTAATTATTGAAGAAATAAATACAAATGGATGTTTTATCCATAAATATTGAATCAATCCTAAATAAATTGAGCTTTTTATAGACTTTACTTGCCTCTTGTATATTATCTTAATGATCTAAAGATTGAAATGGATGTTTCTCATACAAATCATCGGGGGAAAACCTACCATAAGTTGCACACCAGGTAGCTGTCCTACGAAGCGTATACAGACAAGAATGCCACTTGTTAAAATTGTAGTTAATGGTTGTTCTTAACATTATTTAGTATGATCATCATTATCTGGTGCAGACAAAACTGGACACAGTTTAATATGCCAGAGAAGAATAAGAACTGATAATGCCCACTAATTCAATGATAGTACACCGGGTTACATGTTTACATAAGCACAAATATACTAAATTACACATGAATACAATCTATTAAGAAGGTAACAAAACGTAAAAAGAAAAATTCTTTACCAACCTACAAGTGACAGCGAACGCTCTTGCGTGAGCCCGCGAAGCGGGCTAACGAAGTGAGCTTCATCGGTAACACTTGCATCATTTGGAAAATCGCGCGTGCACAAATTTCGTTTATGGAAGCCGCTATTTTGGATCCACCGGATGTAGAATAATTTCAAATAAAATTAATCTATTTCAATACAGAAACATACGGTCTCGGATAACGTTTCTTTTCTTTTTCAATTTTAACGATTTCTATGACATAACGACGATTTCCTGGCCCATTTCTAAATATCGAGACCAAACCCCGCACACACAGATAAAACCTACGTACAATTTTTATACTGATGATTAGCGGTGTGGTCAAGTAAGACGGTACATGTTATAAAGAAATATGTCAGGCATCTTTGTTTTGTGATTCTGCTGTAGGCTACATTATGTGTATTGTTACATATGAAATACATGTAGTTTCTTTTACACAGTCAAATAGGAAAATTCAAATCATTAAGTCTTTTTTTTCCATCAAATTCAGAATAAGATCAGGTTGTAACAATAACAACACTATTATCATAGAAAAGTATCATATTGTTTGTGTGTAAGAAATCCAGTCTTGGGTCCATGTAAAAGAGCAACATTACGCAAGATACTTATATGTCAGGAGTAGGGTTGAAGGTTGTATTTTTTTCCCATTTTCGTAAAGTCTACAAACTCGGATTCGAACTGGCAATCCCGCGAATATCATGAAAAGTCAAATTGATCTATATCGTATATGTATTGTACTAATCAAATAACTCTAATGTAAGACTTAGAAAAAGGAGTGAGGAATGTAGCGAAACAGGACTGGGTCGATCGTCGGCGACTAGATAGCTCAATTTGCAGAGCGTCCGTCTAGAGTTCGGAGAGTCCCGGGTTCGAACCCCGGTGTCGCCGTGCATTTTTTCCTTTCCTGTTACATTGGTATATATGATTAAATCGGCTAACGTCCTCTTTAACATTACATACCGTAACGCATATAGTTATTATGGTACGAATTAAAAGTATGGTCCATACTACATTGCATAGGGATACATGTACATGTCTATTCCATTGATTTATATGATGTACAAGCGGCTTTATCAGGTGGTTACACTATTTTAATCAATATATTGAAATGTATTCAGTATAATTTGATTAAGCGTTCGCCTCTAGGTAGCAACTATCTTATATTAGGTTATATATTTTTTCAAAAGGAATTATTTGATAAGCGTAATATTTTATGTAAGTTTCTCAAACATATTGGAATCTTTGTTAAAGATCACACAACAATAACAAACAAATTCCACACCATTAAATCGTCTGATTTAAATCTATAACGGGAACTAATAGAAATGATGTGTAGTTGCCTTAACATTGTAAAGTTATGCTATCATTACATTTAATATCAGTGTTCCATGTATGTGACACCTCAACGCTTTAAATTAATTGGAGGACTAAGATCGGAATGTATCGGGGCTGTCAGTTAAATTTTATCACGGGCGCCCTCAGCAATGTCATTCGGGTTCATCAAAAGACCCAGTAAGGGCACCCTCAGCATTGTCATTCTAATTCATAAATATACCAAGTAAGGGCGCCCTCAGCATTGTCATTCTAATTCATAAATATACCAAGTAAGGGTGCCCTCAGCATTGTCATGTTAGTTCATCAATAGATACTGTCAGTGCGCCATCACCATTGGTATTCAAATTCATAAATAGACTGAGTAAGGGCGCCTTCAACAATACAACTTAAGTTCATTAATATACTTTGCAAAGGCGCCATCAGCATTGCCATAATAACCGGGTAAGGGCGTTCTCAGCATATTCATTCAAGTTCGTCAATAGACCGTGTAAGGGTGCCCACGGTATTGTCATTCAAGTTATCATTTTACCTTGTAAGGACACCCTCATCGTTGTCATTCATGCTCATCAATAAACCAATTAAGGGAGCCCTTATCGTTGTCATGTAAGTTGATAGATGGACCCAGTAAGAGCGCCCTCATCGTTGTCAATCATATTAATCGGTGGACCCAGTAAGGGAGGATTCAGCGTTTTCCTTTGCTTCCTTAAGGGCATCAAGCGCCTGTTCTGTTCCCTGTAAGGCCACACACAGGGACCGAATTATCTCCATTTTGTCACTTGCAATGTTTCCTTGATGTTTTGTCTGTAAAACATTACAATGATTAGATATTTTTGAAAAAAAGATACACTTCGTCAATATACCAGCAACAAATTAAAACTCGATACAAAACTCATACGATAGGACATTGGGAGACACCAGAAAAAGCGACAAAACACATTATTAATCCATATGACTTTTGTTTTGGACATCGTAACGTTTGAAATAAAACCCGAATTAATTAACATTGCGACGAAATCCATACGGTTTTTACGTAGAAACGCACTAATTTACACATGATTTACCAGAATAATGTATCAAAAACCCGTTTATTACTGATACAGCAACTAAATCTAACCATAATGTAACATGAATCATATCTACTCCTTTAAAATCTATTAAACTTTAAAAAATAGAACCTGGACGACCCACCCTGACTACATGTACATGCATATTCCTCGCAGTAAATATAACCTGGACAACCCGCCCTGACTACATGTACATGAATATTCCTCGCAGTAAATATAACCTGGACAACCCGCCCTGACTACATGTACATGAATATTCCTCGCAGTAAATATAACCTGGACAACCCGCCCTGACTACAGGTACATGAATATTCCTCATAGTAAATATAACCTGGACAAACCACCCTGACTACATGTACATGAATATTCCTCACAGTAAATATAACCTGGACAACCCACCCTGACAACATGTACATGAATATTCCTCGCAGTAAGTAGAACCTGGACAACCCACCCTGACTACATGTACATGAATATTCCTCACAGTAAATAAAACATGGACAACCCACCCTGACTACATGTACATTCATATTTTTCGCAGTAAATAGAACCTGGACAACCCACCCTGACTACATGTACATGAATATTCCTCACAGTATATAAAACCTGGACAACCCTCTCGGACTACATGTAAATGAATATTCCTCACAGTATATAAAACCTGGACAACCCACCCTGACTTCATGTACATGAATATTCCTCTCAGTAAATAAAACATGGACACCCCACCCTGACTGCATGTACTTGTATATTCCTCACAGTAAATAAACCCTGGACAACCCACTCTGACTACATGTACATGAATATTCCTCTCAGTAAATAAAACATGGACAACCCACCCTGACTGCATGTACTTGTATATTCCTCACAGTAAATAAAACATGGACACCCCACCCTGACTGCATGTACTTGTATATTCCTCACAGTAAATAAACCCTGGACAACCCACTCTGACTACATGTAAATGAATATTCCTCACAGTAAATATAACCTGGACAACCCGCCCTGACTGCATGTACATGAATATTCCTCACAGTAAATAAAACCTGGACAACCCACTCTGACTACATGTAAATGAATATTCCTCACAGTATATAAAACCTGGACAACCCACCCTGACTACATGTACATGAATATTCCTCACAGTATATATAATCTGGACAACCCACCCTGACTACATGTACATGAATATTCCTGGCAGTAAATGGATCCTGGACAAACCACCCTGGCTACATTCATGACTACATGGATATTCCTTACGTTAAATAGAACCTGAACAACCAACCCTGACTACATGTAATAGGGTATTCCTCGGTATAAATGGAATCTGGTCGAAATTCCCTTACATCAAACAAAATCTGGACAGCTCATACTGTTTAGCACAAGGGTTTCCGAACATTCCCCTTACATCGTGTAGACCCTAGACAGATACCACTGACAGGAACATCGATATCTCTAACATCCCCTGGCCACCAACAGAACTTGGACCGCTCACACTTACTGGAACACGAGTCTCTCAACATTAACTCAGATGCAACAGGAACCGGAGCGCTCGCACTGACTAATACAGGGATCTCCAAAATGTATCCTCTCATCCGAAAGAACCTACAGAGCTAACACCAAAAGGAACATGGATATTCAAACATTACTCCATAAGAAAATAAAACCTTGACTTCTCACAATGAGTGGAAAATGCGTCCCCTGCACTACCTTCAAAATATAGTTGTTTTTGCAAGAACAAGCCTTCGCGGTTTTGCAATGTTGAAATTAAATCTTTCTAAAGATTTGTTTCAGCAAAAACAAAATAACACAAAAAAATGTCTTCGAGCAATTTGTAGTGCTATACAGTAATTCATAAAGAATATACATACCAGTATGTCCTTCTGTGCCATTCCCTCCTTGAAGTTTTTCTTCACTTTTGCCACAATATCGACAGCTTTAGGACAGTTAAGTTTCATGACGAGAAGTCTACAGAATAAGTAAAAATAAGGATGAAGCAGTGTCAACACACAAGGTGAAACCATACTTCAGCGTCAACTCACAAGGTGAAAACATACTTCAGCGTCAACTCACAAGAACAAATTATACCACAGTGTCAACACACAAGTGCAAAGTTAGAATTGTAAATTGAGAGGGAATAACAAATAAGTTAATAGAGTATTACACTGACACTGTAATATCTTTATCATACTTCATGATGGATTTACACTAACTCTTCAATTTCTCTTACATACTTTATGATGGATTAACACTAACGCTGGAGGTTCGTTGACATACTTCATGATGGATGAACACTTACACTGTAATTACTTTGACATACTTTATGATGGATTAACACTTACACTGTAATTACTTCGACATACTTTATGATGGATTGACACTAATTCTGTAATTACTTTGACATACTTTATGATGGATTAACACTAACACTGTAATTACTTTGACATACTTTGTGATAAATTAACACTAAAACTGTAATTACTTTGACATACTTTATGATGGATTAACACTAACACTGTAATTATTTTGACATACTTTATGATGGATTAACACTAACACTGTAATTACTTTGACATACTTTATGATGGATTAACACTTACACTGTAATTACTTTGACATACTTTATGATGGATTAATACTTACACTGTAATTACTTTGCCATACTTTATGATGGATTAAGACTAACACTTTTGCTTCGTTAACTTACTTTTGAATTTCGGTTGAAGCTGCTTCAAGGTTATCTCTAGGTTGCTGATACGGTGTGCTGGTAGATTCTGAAAAAAGACAAGTATATCTAACTAATGCGTTTACCTGTAATATATCATCATAATTAAAATGATAAAATATGAATGCCTATATTTTTCACACTAATAAATATAAGATATACACTGATCAATTGATTTTTTATTCAACTTTGATAAACAAAAACAAAAAAAAAACAGTAATTCAAATTGATAAGATAAGTATCTCACATTAACCGCGGTTGATCAGTTTGAAAATGTAAAATAGGCATATTACTAGAAAATGCCGGCTTTACGTGATGCATTGGTATTAAGGCAGAACGATAACAATGTATTTACAAAACTGTTGCTACATGTCAGAGGAGAGTTATTTTTCTCATAAGGATTGTGTAAATAAGTGTGATCATATAATGTTAAATTGCATCAATAAATATACATATAAATATTATAAAAGCAGAAAAATGATCCTTATTTATATATAAATAATACAAAGCACGAAGACTAGTATAATCGGCTCTTCGTCCCGTTTCACATGTATTAAATAGCTATAAATAGGTTTAAATGTCCATGTGACGGTAAAAATATAAATAAAACAAAACAGGAAGACTAGTATAATCTATTATATCGATTATACTAGTCTTCGTGTTTTGTTTTATTTAAGTTTTTACCGTCACATGGACATTTAAAACTGTTTATCGCTATATACATATATATACCAACTAATCAAAATATTAAAACCAAGTCTCAACAGGCCACAGTAAAATTTTACGCTAAATTGACCACCAATCTTTTTTTACATACTAATGCAATCTCTTCTATTAATCAGGGAGGAAATCTTTCAAGTTTTTTTCGAAATAAAGAGGGGCTGTCAGCAGGGCGATCCAATCGGACCTTATATATTTATTCTATGTGTAGAAGTACTTGCTATAAGATTAAGACTTAATAAGAATAGTAAAGGTATTAATGTAGATAATGTTCCTATTTTATTATCTCAGTATGCAGACGATACCTCAATTATAGTAGATGGTACAAAAAGATCTATGAAAGAATCATTTAATGAATTAAACAGTTTTGCAAAATTTCTGGATTAAAAGTAAATAAAAGATAATAATGATACTTACTTTCCAGAGTGGAACTTACAATGGGGAATTACAAAATTTACAGTTTTAGGCATTGAATTTAATGTGGACTTGCACCAAATTCAAAAACTAAACTATGATAAAAAAAATAGTAAAGCTCAAGGCATTAATTAAAATATGGAATGGAAGGATTTTAACACCAATAGGAAAAAATAATATTATAAAGTCCCTTCTTATATCACAGTTTAATCATATTTTTATTTCTTTACCAAATCCAGAAGAATGCTTTATTAAAAAACTGAATACTGAACTTCATATTTTTTTATGGAACAGCAAATCAGATAAAATAAAAAGAGACATTGTTATTAAGAATTATCTGGAAGGGGGACTCAAAATGCTACATTTACAATCATTTATAGAATCTTTAAAATTAAGCTGGATTAGGAGACTATATACAACAAAAGGAAAGTGGCATATTTTTTTTAAGTTATACGAAAATAGAAATATTATAGCTGATTGTGGTACTGATTATATGCTAAAATGCCAGAAGAGTTGTAAAAAATTATTTTGGAAAGATGTGCTATTAAGTTGGTGCAAGCTAGCTGAAAAAGTTGCAAATTTTGGAAACAAAAAGGTAAATATTCTCAAATCACCCATTTGGTATAATAAATCAATAAAAATACAAAACAAGAGTATATTTTATACGGAATGGTATAGGAAAGGGGTAACAATAGTTTATGACTTAATTAAAGAAAGAGGAAATAAATTGTTTTAAAGCCATCAAGAGTTTACAGAGAAATTTGACATTCATACAAATTTTCTCACTTATCAAGGTGTCATTAATTCCACAAAGAAATCCATTTCACATGAGGATGTTTCTAATTTGAATGTAGATCATCCATATATCCCAATTAATATGGAAATTTTTCTTGAACACAAAAAAGGAACTAAAGACTTTCACCATGTGCTATGCCAAAATAATACAATATCTACCGGTAGAAAGAAGTGTGAGGAAATATTTGAATTTAACACAGAGATATGGAAGAAAATATATACCATTCCCTTTAAAATTAGTAAAAACACAAAACTACAGTGGCTTCAATTTAGAATCAATCAACAGATTTTAACTACTAATTCATATCTTTATAAAATAGGTCTTGTTAAAAGTCCATATTGTTTTCATTGTAAAACTGACACAGAAACTATAGTTCATGCATTATGTAAGAAGTACAAGTGTTTTTAACAGATTTTGAATCATTACTAGATGTGTTATTAATTCCATTTGCTTTTAATAAAGAATCTTTTATCTTTGGTTTCTATGATAGAAAAAACAATGTTGATAATTTAGTACTTCTTATCATTAAACTATATATTTATAAGGCTAGATGTCTGCAAACTGGTCTATCAGTTTTAGCTTTGAAAAACTTAATTAAAGATATTTACAATACTCAAAAATACATTGCTGTAGGTAATGGTGAAAATTATCTCACTAATTTTAAAAGGGAATGGAAAAAATGGGAAAGATTACTGCAGGCCATATAACTGAAATGTAAATTAATTATAATAACATAGTACCAATGTAATTCCTGTTAAAAGTAGCCTATGTACAAAAATGTACACAATATTGAACAATAAGCCCTTGTCAAATCCTTTGACACCTCTCCAACCTTCCTTTTTCTTTCTTGTCCCTCTCTCTCTTTAATACTCTTTTCTTTCCTATAAATGTATCCTGGTTTCAGCATGTGAAAATAGTCAAACTGTTTGTTTTTTCTTTTTTTTTGTATTTGTGTGCTTCTCAACTACAATGCATACAATATTATTCTATGTATCTTGTTTCAAACTTATAAAGAAAATAATTGTTTTTCTGCATTGGTACCCAAATCGATGTAATAATATAAGAATGTTAAAAAAATGTCAAGACAAACAAAAAACTTGTGTGAAAATTAAGAATGTGAGACTGAAATATGATGTGTTATGTTTAATGTACTGTTGAAAAAAAACCACCCGAAGACTAGTATATTCTATTATATCGATTATACTAGTCTTCGTGTTTTGTTTTATTTAAGTTTTTACCGTCACATGGACATTTAAAACTGTTTATCGCTATATATATATATATATATACTAACTAATCAAAATATTAAATCCAAGTCTCAACAGGCCAAAGTAAAACTTTACGCTAAATTGTCCACCAATCTTGTGTACTTCGTGACGTCATGTTACTATTGTAGTGTGATGACATGTTATTGTGACGTCACGACGTTGTTCTTTTGAATAAACCTGAAGAGCCCTGTGAAGGGTGAAAGCAGCTAGTTTTTAGTCGGTCGTTAATCTTATTTTTTCTATATTTACTTCCTTCACATGGACATTTAATTCCTTTTTATTATATATATATATTAAACAAACGTCGTTACAACGCATCACGATGTTTTACCTGTGACCTTTAGTTGTATTTGATAATATTCTCTCTTTCCAATAAAGCCTTACCCTTCCTCGCTGCCTGTAGAAAATAATATTCTGTAGTGGCATTGTCCTCCGGAGTTTGATCTTTCTTTGCGGGTTCAGCTCCCATCTTGGTTAGTGATGCCGGCAGTGACAGGTCGGTACATTCATGGCCTGACAGTGTTTTCAGTATCTTTTTTGCAGATGGTCTGTCATCAGGATCTATGTTGAACATGGATTTCATCAGATCTATTATGCGACTGCAGTACTTGATTCCATCAAAATTTGGCAGCTAAAAGAAGTACCATAATCATTGAAAATTGTTGTAGTATCGTTCCGTTACTGGAATTCCTATAGATTATGTCAATCCGTAATATGTATGAAACCGGAAGTGAGAATACATACAGAGTAGTGTCATGGCTGATACACATGTGTTCTCTGATCTATCCATGCCATCTAAACCACAATACACGACATAACATCACAATTGTTACTATTTTGGCAGCAAATCTGATAAAATATTAATAAATCATTAATACTCTACAGGCTAACACTTATGGTGAATGGCGAATTATGGTGATATTTTGTATCATTAAACAAAACGCATCACGTATATTAAACTCCATAGGCTAGGTCAATTTAACAGCATTAAGAAACCGCAGATCATTACGATAACTTTTGGAAATACATTTTTTATTCTTATTGACTATCTCGTAGTTACTACTGATACAGATAAGATATCATACCGCATTGTACAATAACGTTGAACATAGTCATACTTTAACAGATATTACAACAACGATAACTTTAAACGCAGCCTTATTTATTAAGACAAGATATCTCACAACTGATAACATACCTTGTGGTTCTTTATATTATTGACGGCTTTTCTTTCTCTGTCAGAAGAAAACGCAAAGTGCATTTCAGCCATCTCATAAGCAGTACATCCGAGACTCCAAATATCTGTCTGCAATAATAGCCAACAATAAATAGGTTAATTAGAAACTAGGTGTCGACAATACGAGCAATGAAACACAGCGTCCCTTGTGATTACATTTACGAGTTCTTGCTTGAATATGTGTGAAAACTTAAAAGAAATGACAAAACTTTTAAATTTGAAAATACAATTGTAAACAATTTCAAACACAAAATATAATTACTCTATTGTTTTGCTTGATGCATCAAAATCAACACTGATGCCCTATATTCATATTCTAAGTTATATAACCGATTCTATTGTTCTGATAGAATAAGCACTAGTCGAGGTCAAGGTATAGACAGACACCATACGAAGTCAATACAGAAGGACATACTACGAGAACTAATCATGGCGAAACTAATAATTATTTGTAGATTTGGAAATATTTATTTACGATTTGTGCTTCATAGTTAGTTTTTGTATATTTTGGTGGTATTCACCTTAAAATACAATTCTCTTTTCTTTTTCAATTCTACATGGTATATACTTTCTATTATTACTCTTCCTTTGTCAATATTTCATAAGAATTGTGTCCAGGTGGCAAGTAAAAATACGTCTTGTTCCTGCTCCCGCTTCCATTACTCTAAAACGTAAGTACGAATTTCTAAGCCGGACAATACCTTCTTTCAACTTATTTCCTTCTTTAAGACCAGAGCTTTAAGTAGACCACTGAGAGTATTCTGACGCTCTAAAATCAACTTTGACTCTTGGGTACTCTTATAGACCCTCGAAAATTTAATAAAAATTGTTTTGGACTTCTAAAGTTGGTGAAGGTCAAAGGTCAACTGAAAGCCATGCCTACTACCAACTAGTAGTAAGTATAGATGCTTGTTGCATGTAAGTACTTTGTCAATACTATATTGTTATTACATATACATATTCTTTGTACCTTCTGTCCATATTCCTCTTTCTTCAGTACTTCTGGACTCATATACCGTGGTGTTCCTATTCTTATTGAGTGTTTTGACGGGTCGACGAAGTCGGTAATCCTGCAAAATACATACTAATTCATATTCATTTTGTAAAATCACGATTCATTAAAACAATCCTCTGCAATAAAAGAAAGTATGAGTATATACTTACATTATGTATATATTTTCATAAGCAGACACAACGATATATGTAAAAAGTAATGATGCCTTTATTCTGAAACCGAGGCTGCCTTCAACAAATCATCCATATACAAGATATGATATATAATAAATCATCGTATCAGACACTGAATATATATGTGGAGACATCTATGATGTACGCCACATGGGAGATAACTCGACCTGTCTGCTATAACAAGAAATAATTTAAAACAAACATGAGTGTACAATATGCAGTTTAAGGGTCTTGGTCTTCAAGGAGTTATATTTGCATTCTATTCTTCATGCATCAAATAATCCTTGATTTGAAAAGAACACCAACTTTTTTATCCAAATCACTTTAATGAATAATTAGATAGTTATGAAATAGATACTAAATACATAATTATCAAACTTAACTGCTACTAATAATGTTTATGTAAGCCAAACATCCAATCTCCGTAAAAACACCCCATGGTGTTACCCATGTACCAATGCACTATGGATATCAATGTTCGTACAAACACACCCAATTATGTAGTAAATGTGACAATCAATGTTCCTACAAATACACCCCCTGATGTAGTCTATGTACAAGTGAACTCTGAATATCATGGTCGTACAAATACACCCCTGATGTAGTCTTTGTACAAGTGAACTCTGAATATCATGGTCGTACAAATACACCCCCTGATGTAGTCGATGTACAAGTGAACTCTGAATATCATGGTCGTACAAATACAACCCTGATGTAGTCTATGTACAAGTGAACTCTGAATATCATGGTCGTACAAATACACCCCCTGATGTAGTCTATATACAAGTGAACACTGAATATCATGGTCGTACAAATACACCCCCTGATGTAGTCTATGTACAAGTGAACTCTGAATATCATGGTCGTACAAATACAACCCTGATGTAGTCCATATACCCACGTTCCATGATTATTGAAAGGTTCATCTTGCATTTTTTCTTTCATACCCTGTTCAGTTTACGGATAGATGAACGCGTGCTGGCATTGTCTTATTGTAGTCAGTAGGTACTGTGTCTGCCTTGAATACCTACCTTGATATGCCGAAGTCGCTTATTTTGATTATGTGTCCCGCTGTCAACAAAATGTTTTTTGTCTTGATATCACGATGTAGAACTTTTTTCCGGTGAAGGTACTGTAATGATATCAGTATTCCAATTAAGGATATTGTAACTGATAAGATATGAATATATGAATACATTTATAAGATTGTAAATTTGTCAATAGTATAAACTCAGATTGTGAAACTGTCTTTGAATTTGAATATAATAGCGAATTTGTCTAAACTATGTATAATGCTTTCAAAAACATATGAAACAACCCCTATTAGATTTGTTCCATTATCAGAAGAAAATTGAAAAAATAAATAAATGATAAGTAACATTTTCTACTCATTACCGCAGTTTGTATTGACACATTTTGGTGACTAAAGTTAAAATACACTATGTAGTTTTCTTAAAACACAGCAACAACATCAAGACCTCAAGCTTTTCCTGTCTACATTAGGTTACTAACTTACTTGTGACACATGCTTAGAAAGAGCTATTTTAATGATGCTATAAAGATATCTTAAAATAACAGCTAGCCGTACCTTCAAACCGTCAGCTATTTGTTTGAGAAAGTTGACGAACATATCCTCTGACATCTTAGATTCTCGCTTCCTGATGTACGCATATAGGGTTCCTTCTGAGCAGTATTCCATAATCAGACATACCCGTTTCCCATCTATGAAAGAGTCCACAAAGCGAACAACATTATGATGTTTTGCTGATTTCAGAATTTCTTCCTCTCTGTTGACCAGTTCTCGTTCCCGACTCTCTTGACCTACCGCTAGCTCAACGATTTTTAAGGCGTAAAACTGGATATAGAAAAAAAAACATTGTTTGTATTTACTGTGATAAAGGAACGAATTGTAGAAATTAATGAACTTGAGGTTTATCGACACATTACAATATGTTTTTTGCATTGATGCTTAATATCTTTACTATCACACACTCTGGCTTTATATGCACCACCGTGATACAGTAAAGGTAAGTGTTGAGACATTTTTTACGATCAGGACCTGAAAATTCCTTCAATTTTTATAAGGATATTTAATTAAAGCTGTTAAGTTGTTGTTTATGTCATACATTTTACCGGATAATTGTGTTGTTTTTTTTTTCAAATTATATTTGTTTTTAACTGGTACTGTTTATTAGCTCACTAATTTATATTCTATCTGACATTGTTAATAACTTTATGAGGTATGCATTATCACATTAATCAATTAGAGACTTTGATAACATAATCACCTACACCGGGAACCTCTATTAGGACAAAGTTAGCCCGGGATTAATCTGGCCCTGACACTAGCTTTAGACATTTTGAGAGATGGATGTCAGGTGTGGGACATCTGTCTGTCAAACTGTTCCAGTCTTGTGTCTGGGCCAAAGGCAACTTGGGCTAGACACCATCAGACATCTGTCTATCAAACTGTCTAAGTCTGGTGTCAGGAACACAGGAAACCCGGGCTATACTCAACCGGACACCTGTCTGTCAAACTGTCTAAGTCTGGTGTCAGGGCCACAGGAAACCCGGGCTATACTCCGCCAGACGTCTGTCTGTCGAACTGTCTAAGTCTGGTGTCAGGAACACAGGAAACCCGGGCTAGACTCCATCAGTCATCTGTCTATCAAACTGTCTAAGTCTGGTGTCAGGGCCACAGGAAAACCGGGCTATACTCCACCAGACGTCTGTCTGTCGAATTGTCTAAGTCTGGTGTCAGGGCCACAGGAAACCCGGGCTATACTCCACCAGACGTCTGTCTGTCGAATTGTCTAAGTCTGGTGTCAGGAACACAGGAAACTCGGGCTAGACTCAACCGGACATCTGTCTGTCAAATTGTTTAGTCTTGTTTCAGGGCCACAGAAAACTCGAGCTAGGATAAAGTGTAACATTGGATATTTTAGACAAATTATTTATATCTGATGGAATAAGTAAAACAATTAACTCATAGAAGTGAGACATCAAGTCAAAATTAACGAATGTCTATGCAAACATGAGTGTGGTTGTTAAAATACTACAGAAAAGCATTTCACCGGTATCAATTATCAACATGTATTTATCTAGCTGACTGGTGGAGTCACAGTACAGATACAGTACTGTTTTGTTACTACAACACATACACTAGGATATAACGATACAGTTCTTACTCAAAGCTTTACGTATTGTTCACGGTTTGGATGTGAATAGTCTTGTGTATTTCTATAACCTTGAGTATTGTTCATTGTTCAGATGTGTATACACTGCTTATGTATTCCTAAAATCACACACAATATTGCACTCAAACCACACTCTGATAATATCATTATATAGCCTTCATGTATATGGCTGATATCCTAGACAGGGCGGAACTGCATTGACAGTCCCGAGTGGCAGGATATGGCGGACATGCATACAATTATACATGTTATTGTAATATCATATGGTATTGTGCTGGCCTGTCAATAGTGTTGCTAGGAGTGACACTAGCAGATTATTGAAAACTCGCTATGGAGGTACCGTACGAGTTTGTGGTAGGAAGATGCATTTTAATGGTTACCAGTCCACTTATGCTTATCATGTGAATTCCTGTGGGCTAAAGGTATGATTGGATGGAGGTTTTGGTTCTCCAGCTGGTTGGAGATGTTGGTCACTCTCGCGATGGGCAGGAGCGGTTATCGGTATGGTACGAGTTCGTGCAAACTCTGCTAGGTCAGAGAACAGGTGGCTTTATGGCCGGTGCCTGTCTTACTCTTGCGTGTCCTTGGAATAATGTCCGCCCGAGGACTACCCTGGAGGACTATTTGGTTAGCCTGCCCACCATATACTGAGGTTTACATTAAACATTTTGTTTTGTGGGTTTTTTTTACTATGCGAATTAATCATGAAATAAATAGACTTCATCACATTGCCGATATCCCAGACACAAGATAAACATTACTATACGCTTTGTAAGAATAACCCTACTGAGAAAAACGTTTATTACTACAATATTCATTAAATTACTTTATAATTCGTTGTTGCGAGTCTTCCTAACTACCTGAGTGGAGATGGAAAATAAATACTGAAAGGGGAGGGGTTATAGTACCGAAAAGGGAAGGGTAATATTACTGATCAAAGGTGGTGGTAATAATAATGAAAGGGCAGAGGCTAACGTACTGAAATTGGAGGGGTTATAGTAATGAAAGGGGGGAGTTATATTACTGAGAGGGGACCGGAGAAGTAATAGTACTAAAAGGGGAGGGGTAATATTACTGATAGGGAAGGGGTAATAGTAATGAAAGGGGAGGGATAATATTACTGAGAGGGGAGGGTAATAGTAATGAAAGGGGAGGGATAATATTACTGAGAGGGGAGGGTAATAGTAATGAAAGGGGAGGGGTAATAGTAATGAAAGGGGAGAGGTAATAGTAATGAATGGGGAGGGGTAATAGTAATGAAAGGGGAGGGATACTATTACTGAGAGGGGAGGGTAATAGTAATGAAAGGGGAGGGGTAATAGTAATGAAAGGGGAGAGGTAATAGTAATGAATGGGGAGGGGTAATAGTAATGAAAGGGGAGGGATACTATTACTGAGAGGGGAGGGTAATAGTAATGAAAGGGGAGGGGTAATAGTAATGAAAGGGGAGAGGTAATAGTAATGAATGGGGAGGGGTAATAGTAATGAAAGGGGAGGGATACTATTACTGAGAGGGGAGGGTAATAGTAATGAAAGGGGAGGGGTAATAGTAATGAAAGGGGAGAGGTAATAGTAATGAATGGGGAGGGGTAATAGTAATGAAAGGGGAGGGATACTATTACTGAGAGGGGAGGGTAATAGTAATGAAAGGGGAGGGGTAATAGTAATGAAAGGGGAGAGGTAATAGTAATGAATGGGGAGGGGTAATAGTAATGAAAGGGGAGGGATACTATTACTGAGAGGGGAGGGTAATAGTAATGAAAGGGGAGGGGTAATAGTAATGAAAGGGGAGAGGTAATAGTAATGAATGGGGAGGGGTAATAGTAATGAAAGGGGAGGGATACTATTACTGAGAGGGGAGGNGGGGGGGGGGGGGGGGGGGGGGGTTATATTACTGAAGGGGGATTATAGTAATGAAAGGCAGCATTACTTGTACTGAAAGGGGAGGGGTAATAGTACCGAAAGGGGAGGTATACTAGTACTACAAGGGGAGTAGAATAGTACTGAAATCGGAGGGGTGATAGTAATGAAAGGGGAATGGTAATAGTACTGAGAGGGGAATGGTAATAGTACTGAGAGGGGTATGGTAATAGTACTGAGAGGGGAATGGTAATAGTCATGAGAGGGGAATGGTAATAGTAATGAGAGGGGAATGGTAATAGTACTGAGAGGGTAATGGTAATAGTACTGAGAGGGGAATGGTAATAGTACTGAGAGGGGATGAGTACTAGTACTAAAAGTAAAGAATGACAGTACTGAAAGGGCGGAATTATATAATTGAGAGGATATGAGTACTAGTACTAAAAGAGAGGGGGTAGTACTGAAAGGGTAGGGGTAATAGTACTGAAAGGGTAGGGGTAATAGTACTGAAAGAAGAGGTGTAATAGTAACGAAAGGGGGATAAAATAGTTCTGAAAGGCGAAGGATAATAGTAATGAAAGGGGAGGAGTACTTGTACGGAAAGGGGAGGGGTAATAGTACCGAAAGGGAGGTATTCTAGTACTGCAATTTGAGGGGTTATTGTATTAAAAAGGGAGGGTATTTATACTGAGATAAGATGCGGTGTTTGTGAAGAAATATTAGTAATTAAAGAGTCTATACACAATATCAAAGGGTTATATTTTCAATCTTATTTACATTACAAAAAAAGAGTCACGTGCCTTACTGATGAAATGCGTGTATAAATATATAAAACAGTGACCCGTATTTTGAACTTAATACCTGGAATTTAAATTACACTTTGGAGGAGACGGTTATAAAACACAGGCACAAACCTTTAGCCGACCTCTGCTTTGCTTCGGTTAAAACTATCCCGATTGCATTGTTATAGGCACATACAAGCAAATGATTTATTTATATTAGTATCGAGACATGAAATACAAACACCAAATCAACGGTATATTGATATAGATATCGGAATGACGTTTGGCAAGAAAGGTATTCAGAAAGAAATCTATATCTACCTGTATTGTTATCGCTCGTGCTGAATACCCGGAGTTATCAATAGCGTGCATGCTCTATACACGAGCTCACGAAATCATTCAGCTAAAAGTTAGTTAAACGAACTTAACAGTAAAAAAGCATTATCATGAACACTTTTAGTTGAATGAAATTATTGGATAGTCACATTTTCTATATACAAATGATGACGAATAGTTTGAACACTGAAATACCAATACATCAAATAGCACAGTGTTAGCATGTCGTTCTTAACCAGGAAGTTTAAAAAAGAACATTGAATGACAATAGAGAATTATACCTGTCCGCTTGAGGTCGCGCCAGATTGTTGCTCCTTAGTCACCTTGTACACTACTCCGAAAGTCCCTTGGCCGATCTGCTCATATTCAACGTAGGGACCGTATCTCCGTCGAAGTGATGCCGCCATGTTGTTCTGTGTACAGTATAAGTGTTAAACTGACAGCCGTTCAAACATGGATACCGGCCAAGTCATGTAATCCTTAGCAACGACAATCGAATCATTATCTGGTTAAACGTATTTTCCCAAAGTCTAAATATAGCACTGAGAAGCGGTAAAATTCCAACGGAAAACTACACAAGTTTCAGAGGTTTTTTTTTTAATTCTAATTTTAATTGTCAGAATGTTCTTATGCATCGATTTAATCTACCGTTATTCATTCGTCAATTAATAAGGATATAGAAATGTCGCTACGATATCAACGCATAATGGTGGAGTTCCGTCACAACCTAGAGTTTACGTATATATGTACATGTGAATTGAATTACTGTTGTATATTACTATCAAATGACATACCTGTAACATAACAGTTACATAATTACTTAATACAATAATGGGTTTTATCTGAAGCCGCGCGTCTGTGCATATTTCCAGGATAAAAGCATAGGATTTTGTATATGATAAATTCAGGTAGCATTAACAATATTGTTTTCCATAGAAATGAAGTATGGAATTCCGTTATCACCTAGATCAATTAGTCCCTTCATAGTGAAAAAAAAAGGGGGGCTAAATTTGGCATGTGTTGCTTATAGCAAACATGACCTCGGATTTCCAAAATATTTTATCTTAGTTACAACTATATGTATTATATTTAAAAGTATGTTTTATGAAGCTCACAATACAAATGAATACGAACAGTGAGAGCTATGAAATTACAATATCTCAAACAGCACAGTGTTAACATGTCGTCAACAACCAGGAAGTTTAAAAAATATCATTCTAAAGACTAAACTTAATAAAACAATGTTACCTGTCCGCTTGAGATCCCACCGGATTATCCCACCGGATTGTTGTTCCTTCTATACTGTGTACTCTTCTGTAAAGTCCCTTGGCCGATCTGCTTAACTTCAATGTAAGGCCCATATCTCGGAGGAGGTGAGTTTGCCAGGTCGTTTTGTGCACAATATAAATGTTAAAATGACTCCACGCTCAAACGTGGATACCTGCCAATCATTGAGATAAATAGGGTTTCCCGAAGTCCAAATATAGCATTCAGAAACGGCAAAATTCCAACGTGTTATATCAATTGACATTACTCCAGTAATTAATGATAAAGCCTTATTTTATTCTTTTGTTCCCTGTCAGTTACGCTTTAGAGGACTGATCTTGTAAGAAAACTATTCAATTGAAATGTTGACAGGAGTGGGTTTTTTTTATTATAGAAAACATATTTTTAATTGAAAACTAACCTGTTCTGGCGACATTCATTAACCGATCCCTTGTAGTTCACATCAAAATATGTCTTGCAGGTGGTAGTCTTTGCGAGCTATTTTGTTCTCTAACCTTTTTTTGGAGTTTGAATGTCTTCTTTGTCCCTAGCTTAACTTCGGGTTGGGTTTGAACGCAACATTGTATACTTTGGTGTTATATTTATATTAGATTTACTTTTACACTATGATGACAGATGGAATATATAATTGATAATACCTTTCTTGATCTCCGAATGGACCTTATTCTAAATTTCCTGAACTGATCTCATTTTAGAATTTTCTAGTTGTTTATCTATTGGGGTTTCCCATTGACTATCGAGTAACCTTGTCGTGTTTGCACCTCTTGGGTCAAGGTAATGCGTTGAAATGAAAGGCCACAATGCATGAGCAGACATAAGCCTCAACCTAAACATCACGGATGAGCGTGTGATTGATGTAAGAAAAAGATCCAATATGTGTTCATACCTTGTCGGCTCCGGTAGCAACTGAACAAGACTGGAGTCATCATAGATGTCCATACATTTTTCATAGATCACACAATGTAACAGCCAGGTGTGGTGGAAGACGAATTTCACTATTCAAAATGGTACAGTCTTATTTACCCTAAAACAATGTTGTTTGTTTTTTAGGTTTATTCGTCTAGATAATTCAAGACCTTGTCAGCATTAAATGCACCATTTCCCTTTGGCCGATATAAATATGCTATGTCTAATGGCTCGGGCGCCATACTTTCACAAAAAAAAACACCATTGTTTAGTTGTCTCTGTACAGTCATAATAATTGTAATTAAGGCTTTTTACAAATAACTTCATTCAATGATCGCGTTATCAGTCTGATATCCCGTGAAACTGTATCAGTCTGAGGTCCCGTGTAAATGTTTGGTGTAACGTTATCAGTCTGAGATTCCGTGTAACGTTATCTGTCTAAAATCCCGTGTAACGTTGTCAGTCTGAGGTCCGGGATAACGTTATCAGTCTGAGGTTTGGTGTAACGTTATCAGTCTTAGATCCCGTGTAATGTTATCTGTCTGATGTCCCGTGTAACGTTATCTGTCTGATGTCCCGTGTAACGTTATCAGTCTGATGTCCCGTGTAATGTTATCAGTCTAATGTCCCGTGTAACGTTATCAGTCTGATGTCCCGTGTAATGTTATCAGTCTGATGTCCCGTGTAACGTTATCAGTCTGATGTCCCGTGTAATGTTATCAGTCTAATGTCCCGTGTAACGTTATCAGTCTGATGTCCCGTGTAATGTTATCAGTCTAATGTCCCGTGTAACGTTATCAGTCTGATGTCCCGTGTATCGTTACCAGTCTGATGTCCCCTGTAATGTTATCAGTCTGATGTCCCGTGTAACGTTATCAGTTTGGTGTCCCGTGTAATGTTATCTGTCTGATGTCCCGTGTAACGTTATCTGTCTGATGTCCCGTGTAATGTTATCAGTCTGAGGTTTGGTGTAACGTTATCAGTATGATGTCCCGTGTAACGTTATCAGTCTGATGTCCCGTGTAACGTTATCAGTCTGATGTCCCCTGTAATGTTATCAGCCTGATGTCCCGTGTAACGTTATCAGTTTGGTGTCCCGTGTAATGTTATCTGTCTGACGTCCCGTGTAACGTTATCTGTCTGATGTCCCGTGTAATGTTATCAGTCTGAGGTTTGGTGTAACGTTATCCGTCTGATGTCCCGTGTAACGTTATCAGTCTGATTTCCCGTGTAACGTTACCAGTCTGATGTCCCCTGTAATGTTATCAGTCTGAGGTTTGGTGTAACGTTATCAGTCTGATGTCCCGTGTAACGTTATCAGTCTGATGTCCCCTGTAATGTTATCAGTCTGATGTCCCGTGTAAAGTTATCAATCTGATGTCCCGTGTAACGTTATCAGTTTGGTGTCCCGTGTAACATTATCAGTTTGATGTCCCGTGCAACATTTTCAGTCTAATGCCCCGTGTAACTGTATCAATCAGAGATCCGGAGTAAGGTCGAAAGTCTTGGATCTCGTTTAGCGTTACTAGTGACATGTTCAGTATACCCTGTAATTTATTTGATCCTTGTAACAAAACCTCACAATTGTTTATAGTCACAAGTCCCTTATAATAAACCTTCTATTTCAATATTAATATAATTGCATTTTAAATATCGGCGAAAGACTATATACAGGTGTATAAAACAATGTATTCAAGGGTGTATCAATTTTATTGATAAAACTTAGGTATGTATACACATTTAAAACAGAACGTTATACAAAGAAAAGGGTATCCTTAAAAATGAGTCTATTAATTGGAAATATTTTCGAAAATGTCAAAATTGCAGTCTTAACTGATCTTATATTAACATAAAACACAATTCCAAAGAAGTTTATTTTATTTTATAGGACAACATAAGTAAAGATACTATTTACTAACCATTATACATATGTATACAAAGCACCAATATCAAAAATACATACATTTGTATGTAAAAAATACAGTAATAATTCCCTGCAATTCCATTCCGTATTTAATACTGCTTTAATTCGTAATCTATATATAGTATTTTTTTCTCTTTTAAAAGGCACGGTTCTTGATGCAAGGACTGGTTCAAGTCTTAATTTACTTTATGGTATGAAGTTAACAAAATACGCAAAACGATAAAACGTCGAAGGAGACACATAAAAGTAAAGCTAAGAACAGTGATGTATTTTCGATACAATGACTATATACAGGTTAATACACCATGTATTAATTTACAGCAGTCATGCTGAAAAACATTAAATCCCATTATAAAACATAAAATATACTATATGTTTACTTATAAAGTAATATGGATTTTTTTCACGTTTTCGTCCTTGACCTTGTAGACGAATAAAACATGAGACAAAACATATGTACACAGACCTTTCACTTTCGAGTCGGTCTTCTTAAGCTTGTATGTCTCTTTGTTTTTTACTTAATGCAATAATTTTATTTATCAAATATTCGCGTATAAATATACTATACGAAGTAAAAGCGCTTGTCATTTATTTTTTCAATATTTAATCATCACAAGGACTTTGAATGTTTTTTTTCTGATATATAAATATATAGAGAGAGAGAGAGAGAGAGAGAGAGAGAGAGAGAGAGAGAGAGAGAGAGAGAGAGAGAGAGAGAGAGAGAGAGAGAGAGAGAGAGAGAGAGAGAGAGAGAGAGAGAGAGAGAGAGAGAGAGAGAGAGAGAGAGAGAGAGAGAGAGAGAGAGAGAGAGAGAGAGAGAGAGAGAGAGAGAGAGAGAGAGAGAGAGAGAGAGAGAGAGAGAGAGAGAGAGAGAGAGAGAGAGAGAGAGAGAGAGAGAGAGAGAGAGAGAGAGAGAGAGAGAGAGAGAGAGAGAGAGAGAGAGAGAGAGAGAGAGAGAGAGAGAGAGAGAGAGAGAGAGAGAGAGAGAGAGAGAGAGAGAGAGAGAGAGAGAGAGAGAGAGAGAGAGAGAGAGAGAGAGAGAGAGAGAGAGAGAGAGAGAGAGAGAGAGAGAGAGAGAGAGAGAGAGGTACAAGTAAAAATACTTAACCTGTTTGCGGCATTATGTATTTTGAATAATTTAAAATACAGAAATATAACGTAACACTATCAGTTTATCAACTTCATTGTAAGAAAATGGCAGTGTAAAATGAATAATAAATACACTTACAAATCGGAGGAGTGTCCTTCAAATAGTCGTGTCACGAATATCACCTCATACATAACATGTAAATGCTACTTGATAGAATATTCGTGACGTCTTTTGTTAAAATTAAAATTATTTGTTGGTCATTAAAAATCAATGTAAAGTTAAATGAGTTACATATAATTGCCCATAACATTGTAAAGTAATAAAACACTTTAGCAATTATATTGTTAAAATATATATAAAAAAAAAAATGGTATTAAGTCTCTATGATAACACAAACAATAGAATATAACTTCTAACATCGAAGGTTCATACGGTTTTATATGGTCGGATATAGACTGAACCATTGATATTTGCCGGGATGCATTCACCTAATTATAATTTGTTCCGAAAAGTTCATCGAGCTTAGGATCAGTTGGCAGGTTGGTTTAACTTGTTGAGACGATACAATGAATTGCCCGACCAATGGGGTATATTCATATCAGGGTATTATACAAATGCAATAGCAGACTTCAACAGCTTGCGTGTTTATTGTAAGAAATTTCTCATCCGACCTGTGATGAAATATAAATATAAACTTACTAAATTAACTAATCTGCAGAACAATAAAGTCACACATATATTTGATGATATAAAAAAAACCCAGATGATAAAACTGTACAAAACATTATCCATCCATGAAAACATAAAAACCTGACAGATATGTATGTATACGGATTTCTATTATGTTTGAAACATAATGGAGATTACATAATGGATTTCAATTTCTTTTGTTAAATATATATATACGTATACGTCATCTTAATAAGCATACCTGATATTCTGCACCAACTCGTGCACGATCAACATATATGTTAAAGTTAGTACAATGCCCTAGAATCCAGCTGTAGAACCGGAGAAAAACGGAAAATAAATTACATCGCATGTATCTTATTTACGCTAGATGTATTCAGAAATGTTCGCGTTGGCAATATCATTGAAATCTATAAAAAGTATATATATCTTTAATATATGTGATCCATAAATAAATATTCTCGCGTGGATTTTCTAGCGCAAATATACGTGAATATCCACGCAAAATACGCGAATATTTCCACACCGCGAAATTCCCCCCTTTACAGTATTTTAATGATTTCTTTGTTCCGTTTATCTTACATGTACATTGTTTCCCATACACGACATCACACTAATACTTACTTCACCATAAATCCTATAGAAGGAAAACTTTCAAAAATGGTGTTAAGTACCATTTGAGACCTTCTGCTCTTTCGGGGATTTGTTCGATTATCGTTGACTGTATTGCAGTAAGCTAAAAAACGCCTTGCAAACTATATTTTCGAGAATTAATTACAACATGTTTCTTCAGTCATATGTATCTGACCTGTAAACAACTCGTCACCAGAACGTGTTACGGTGAACACAACTGTGTTCTTTCATTACATGTCACTGCAAGGAACTTTAGTGAATCAGACTAGTATTTGGTATACAGGTCACCAGAATGTATTGTCCTTTTCTGTTGTTATACTCCTTAACGTATGGTATTGTTAAGTAAATAAATAATAAATCGGGCCAATATTTGGTATACAGGTCATCGAGATATATTATCCTACGTGCTGTTATCTTACTTAATCCATGAAACTGCAAAGTAGAAAATTAATAAACCAGGCCAATGCTTGGTTTACAGGGCACCTAGATATATTGTCCTACGTGCTGTTACATTCCTTAACGCATGGAACAGCTAAGTAGAAATTAATGAATCACGCCAACATTCGGAACCTTTTGGTACTCGACCACTCTGCTCTACAGGCTGGTGTGTTCTGGTTCAAATTTTCGGAACCCTTTGGTACTCGACCACTCTGCTCTACAGGCTGGTATGTTCTGGTTCCAGCACGAAATACTCGTGGGTTCTCGGTTCCAAGTACTCTGGTGATGACGGGGAATCTTGATTTCCGGTCTGCCCTTGGTACATAGGGTCATTCATTGATGAGTATTTACCACTTGGGAAGTGACTCAGCTTTTTCCCACTGGAGGAATTGTATCCAACAGAAGTTGATACGGGACTGGATTCTGAGTTGGATGCTCCTGGAGACTTGTTGTTTCTAACTGATGGGATGGGGTTTTTCGACTGTCTTTGTGCCGCTTTTATATCACTATCGCTGATGTAGCAGTATTCTGCTTCCTCGTTCTTATCTAAGGCTCTTGCGCCATTACTTGCAGCGTCCAACTCGTCATACACGTTTCCTTGTGGCGCTTTATCCCTGGCATTGGAAAGACCGGAGTAGGGCTCCCCTTTGCCTCCAGATGCCGTCGGCTGAAATGGAAATATGATTAGGAATGGTTCTAAGGTCCATTTACTTACTGTACTTGTGAATTTGTCTGATAGTATACCTTGTTCGTGTTATTCAGTGCATTTATTTCATCCATCGAATAACGAAACTATTAATAACACCATAATTGATTATTAAACACGAAATATGTCAATAGAATAATTCATGTTGTTTTCCATTTATTGAAATTACAATGATCAATTATTAAAAAAACCCAAAAAACCCCAGAATAAAGATATATTTTATATTTACAAACCTGTTCCACATCAATACAACCACGGTTTCTATAGGCCATGGTGACGTTTGGTTTGGTTTCTGGTTGGCCTCTGTTCCTGTAATATATATTATTTTAATGGTTTCATTTTTACTCGAGTTTTCATTTATGCCAGTTTAAACGATCTATTACTGTTAATGATATCTTTATATGGATGAAAAATAATGCGATCAGTTATCAATCGTATGGGTTATCATTTATCACTCTTATGGGTTAACATATATCAATTCTATGGGTTATCAAATATCAGTCTTATGGGTAATCATATATCAATTTTATGAGTTATCAAAAATCAATTTGATGGGGTATCATATATCAATCTTATGGGATATCATATATTAATCTTATGGAGTATCATATATCCATCTTACGGGTTTCATATATCAATCCTTTGGGATATCCTTTATAAATTTAATGGGTTATCATATATTAATCTTATTGTGTATCATATATCAATCCTATGGGTTATCATATATCAATATTATGTGTTATCAAATATCAATATTATGGGTTATCATATATCAATATTATGGGTTATCATATATCAATCATATGGGTTATCATATATCAATATTATGTGTTATCAAATATCAATATTATGGGTTATCATATATCAATATTATGGGTTATCATATATCTATATTATGGGTTATCATATATTAATCTTATAGGTTATCATATATTAATCTTATGGGTTATCATATATTAATCTTATGGGTTATCATACATTAATCTTATTGGGTATCATATATCAATCATATGGGTTATCATATATCAATTTTATGGGTTATCATATATCAATCTTATGGGTTATCATATATCTATATTATGGGTTATCATATATTAATCTTATGGGTTATCATATATTAATCTTATGGGTTATCATACATTAATCTTATTGGGTATCATATATCAATCATATGGGTTATCATATATCAATCTTATGTGTTATCAAATATCAATATTATGGGTTATCATATATCAATCTTATGGGTTATCATATATCTATATTATGGGTTATTATATATTAATCTTATGGGTTATCATATATTAATCTTATGGGTTATCATACATTAATCTTATTGGGTATCATATATCAATCATATGGGTTATCATATATCAATCTTATGTGTTATCAAATATCAATATTATGGGTTATCATATATCAATCTTATGGGTTATCATATATCAACCTTATGGGTCATCATATATCAATATTATGGGTTATCATGTATCAATTTTATGGGTTATCATATATCAATACTATGGGTTATCATATATCAATATTATGGGTTATCATATATCAATCTTATGGGTTATCATATATTAACCTTATGGGTTATCATATATCAATATAATGGGTTATCATATATCAATTTTATGGGTTATCATATATTAATCTTATTGGGTATCATATATCAATCTAATGGATTATCATATATCAATCTTATGGGTAATCATATATCAATCTTATGGGTTATCATATATAAATCTTATAGGTTATCATATATCCATCTTATGGATATCTTATATCAATCTTATGGGTTATCATATATCAATCTTATGGGCTATCATATATCAATCTTATGGGTTATCATATATTAATCTTATGGGTTATCATATATCAATATTATGGGTTATCATATATCAATTTTATGGGTTATCATATATCAATATTATGGGTTATCATATATCCATCTTATGGGTTATCATATATCAATCTTATGGGGTATCATATATCAATCTAATGGGTTATCATATATCAATATTATGGGGTATCATATATCAATCTAATGGGTTATCATATATCAATCTTATGGGTTATCATATATAAGTCTTATGGGTTATCATATATCCTAGTTATGGGTATCATATATCAATCATATGGGTTATCATATATCAATCTTATGTGTTATCAAATATAAATCTTATGGGTTATCATATATCCTAGTTATGGGTATCATATATCAATCATATGGGTTATCATAGATCCTTTATAAGGAAGATCATAATAATACTCTTGCTATATGATGATCATGACACAGTATATATTCTATTGATGATTTTATATTATGAACTTATATTTATAAACAGGATAAAACCTGAGAAGAAAAGGTTCAACATCTTATAAACACCTTCGTTTAGACCAGGCACAGAAGACAACGACGATGGCGACGACAACAGCGATGATTCCTCCCACCGACCCGCCGATCGCGGCGGAGTTAGACGACTGACCAGCCGGCTTAGGCGTGGTCGGGGCTTGTGTAGGAGCTTGTGTAGACGTAGTCGGTGGTAGTCCTGTAAACATTAAGTAAGGTTGATCAGGAATTACACAATATGCTTACAGAAATTTATTAAATACCTTCGATATAAGATTTGTATAAGTAAATCATTACAAAAATACAGTTTACATCGAAATAAAAGAATCCACAAAACGATGTTAAAAAGCTTATCATAATACTAAAATGATCACATCTGGGATATTAACAATGGAAAATGTATTTGGACATTATTTCAACATCATCGGTTATATTGAAGAATCAAAGTTTTTGCCTTCGGCGTATAGGAAGGTCCCATCCCATATATAGTCATGGCTGTTGGAGGCCTCACAGATGACAGTAAAGGACGAAGTTGCCATGAAGTGGAGAATGCTCGTTGTGGAACCTGTTAATTGTGTGTTCTCTATTCGGGAAGGTTTTTTATTGGCCGGAACGTCTATAATGACAAAGGAGACACCTGGGCTATAGTCAGATACCGAAACCTGGGCTATAGTCAGATACCGGAACCTGGGCTATAGTCAGATACCGGAATGAAGGTCACCTGGTGATACAAACTGAGAATGGTCATATACAATGTATCTTTATCATTAATATAAACAATTACGTGTCATATATCGTAATTATTAATATAAACAAGCAAGTGTAGTATGGATCAAATGTCAGCAGTGCTCATAACCAAGTACGTGTCCTATATTATAAGTTTTGATATGAACAATTGCGTGTTATTAATCGGAATTATTAACGTTACCATTTATGGACATATAACATAATATTAGAAATATGTAAATATTCTTAATATAGTTTTTAATTTTTCAAAGTTGTTGAACAGTTGATTGCACATATCAGTTTATGTCAATCCCACATTCTGTATTCTAGCTCATTTCCTTTTTGTGCTTTGCCATTTTTAAAATGATGACATTAGTAATAGAGTTTTATTTTACAGTTTATAACATAAATTATTATTTACTCGATTAAACATATTTTTATAAAACTGGTGTTAATTATTCTTTAATTCTGAAAATTGCAAATGTTGTAGAAATTAATGCAAATATTAGTTTTTATGACATTATTTAATCATATACGGCGTCACAGGGAATAAAGCAGATCCCAACAGACAACTCCATACGTAACAGCACCAATGAGGTAAGGAACATGGGCCATATGATTGGCTGAGTACAGTTTGTAAATACCTGCGACTGGAGTCGTGTCAATGTACCACGTGATAGTAGGTTCGGGTACACCGGAAGCACTGCAGTTGAAGCTAACCTGTTCCCCAACATTTGCTTTGATTGGATTAGGTTTTCTGATCCAAGAGGGGCTCTCTGTGTAAAGATACAGGTATTAGTAACTCTAGCGGACAAAGATTACATCACGTCAGTGGTTTTCTCTTCATTGTCAGTCTTTCAACCTTTGAACCATTTCATATTTTGCTTTATGAAATATTGTCTCCACATAAATTTCTCCACGCGAAATCAATGTTTTCACTGTTATTTACAAAGGGAGACAATCGCCAATTAAAACAACAATCTTTATAATATTATTCATTATGGTCAATTATCGTGAATACGTTGTTTAATCATACATCGGTGCAAAAAGTGATTTGTAAATGTAACGTGCTCTGCGATAATGATTACAACGTTTAATTAAATATGTATCATACCACTTTATGCATTAGGCGTGTATGAAACTTACTTTCGACAGTAAGTTGAAAATTGACGCCGCCAGTAAAAGTTGTTCCAGGAACGCTACACTGATACCACCTAGCGTCAGTAAACCGGACATTCCTCAACATCAGGGTTCTGCCGTAATCTGTCACCTGATTCAATCTCATCGGGGCTCCCGTGTCGTCGTACCATTCGACTTGAGGTAGCGGTCTGGTGTAGCGACAAAATATATCAACTCGATTGAATTTGTTATTTGAAACATATCCATTTAAATTAAGTTGAAATAGAAGAAGAAATACCAGAGCGTCAACACATATAAATCTTAAGAATCGAAGTTGATACGAAAAATTAACACTAGGAACAGCGGGAATACACAAACAAACAAACAAACAAATAAGATAGACGTAACACTCACTGCAATAACAGACAAAAACCAAGTGATTCGAAAGAGCCAATGAAACATCATCATTAACTAATCAATGTGAGAAATGATTTTGTATGTATCAAGAAATTTAGTCCATTTTACATGTAAATTATAACATTATTGATTAATTTCTTTTATCTAATCATTGAAGTTAATGTATTTGTTGCCCTTTAAAAAGACATGCACACGCCTATAAACATGCATAACGTTCTCACCTGCCTCCAACGATACATCTGATCATGACGTCACTTCCGTGTAACGCTACCGGGAACTCGTCCGAGTTCCATATCAGTTCGGGATCAGTGGTTTGACTTCCAACTGAAGTAAATGTATTTATAGGTACCTTTTATGAATAATAAATGTTTAAAGCGCAATGAGCTCAATATATCATATTTAATTCAGAAGTATTTAATAAAATTGAACGAAGAAATGTGACGGGGAAATAAAACCGTGTATATATCAAAACCCTTCCGTTTAGGTTAATCTTAAATATATTCTGATTTTTTTTTTCCAATGTGAAATATCGATTTTACTTGTAGAGGGTTACCAGGAAACTTTTTTTTTTAAATATGATAGTGTGCAAAAAAAAAGTAAAACTTCATTTTACAATAGCTTAACTCATTCGTGATATTTTGTGGCGTCATTTTTTACTATAGTAAGTTGTAGAATTGATATAAAACTACTTACGTATTGGCTACCGAAATATAGGATCTATCTCAACATACGTCAATAACTGTGTATTTTACCTGTGGTCTGTAAGTTGAAGATCGGGCCATAGGTTGTTTTTTGGAGCAATGAATTGTAGATGACACATCTGTACCTTCCAGTATCTGAGTTCTCAATGAAGAGGGCGTGAAGGTTACCTAAACCGAAATAAAGAATTCAACAGTCTTCATTACGTCAAAATGGTAACCTTTGATAAAACTAGATCTTGTTATTATATATCAAATAATGATAAACTGAATTTCATCTTCCCTTTAATATCTTCATTTTTTTAAGCCAAACTACAAAACCTTTTAGAAAAGGAAGGTTTAAGATAGTTGTGCTTCATGCAGTTTTCCCGTTAGCCCGTGTCTATTGCCTATACTCTTTTATTTGGAAGCACGCGTATGTAAAGCCTTTTGTAACTGTGAAATCAGCTATAAAAGTGCCATTCAAATACCATGGTATCTATTTTACATCACACCAATAGATGTCAGAATGCACAAACTAGCTCTTAGCTGAACCAGCCTCATAATACCGGGATTTGGTGGGTATACAATACAAAATAAATTTGCAGAACTTCAATTTGTATTGTTCCATTTAGAAACATTTTTTTCGTACTGACACTTTTGACATATATTTTCACTTCTTCTGAGCTAAACAAGATTGTAGTTCCACTAGTGAATTCTTAATAAAGGAAAGGGTAATATTTTGTATGAAATGTTTACTTTTTAGCATACTTCATGGACTTACATGAAACTGCCTAACGTCCCTTTTCCAGTGATTATTGTAGGTGTTAACAAATAATGAATATCCTTAATTGAAATGTGTGTAAACTAATAACTTAATACATTAATAAAGTATAGTTTATAAAAATGTTTATTAAAATGAGTATATCTGTGACAACTTACCAGAGTCTTTAATAAAACCTATAACCTGTAACTGAGTGAGTTCGGGTTATCTCTGTCGAGGGTTAAGATTCGAGGCGTAAGCCGAGGTTAGGATGTTACAGAATCCTAGCCCGAGACTAAGATAACTCGACTGGCTCAGTTATAGGTAATTGATTTTTTTTTGCACCTTTTCGTTCGAAAAAAACCCTATTAAACTTTGCTAAAGACTATAAGTATCCCGTCTGGGGCCATACAAAATTAGCCTCTTTATTACTAAAGCTACAGTTGAATGATCCCGCGTAAAATCTAGTCCGTCCTTACAAAAAAGACTAGGTATTTCTCAATGTAGAATATTTTCTATCTACAACATCAAATATCCAACAACATTAGAATAATACAAATAACGATAAACAGAATATTTATAATGCATATTGTCGATTTCAAGCCGTTAACGCGTGGATGAATACACTGCAGTGTCAAAATTCCGCGAAATATCACGTAAAGGTACCAGACAGATAGGACGAGATAGAAAAATCTAGCATGGGGTATTATGTGGACTATCTCTGTCGGAGATGCGAGAAACAATGATAACAATAAACGAGAGATACAGGTTTAAAAACTAATTAATAAAGTTATCATTCACAGATATGAGACGCTACGAATAATACTCTATAAATATTTGACTTGATGCAATAGATAAGCAATATAATACTGTTATCAAATGAAATGTTAACAAATGTAATCAAAATATCAAAGTTACCGTTGATATCTGATGTAATTCGTTCGTCATATTGAATTCGGTTCTGCGGTGTTACACTACTGGTGGTAGTAATCTTCACCCAGTATACTTCCGGTTCCGGTACGCTGTAAGGGATTTCACATGGTAGTGTAAAAGGACTGCCCTGTTCAGCTGTCTCATCGTAAACGATATTCTGTTTAGAATGATCATCTAACACTGCCTGTGTTAGCTGAATTGGGTACGTCATGGTGTGGCCGAGGTCATTGCTGACGTAGCAAATATATTCTCCCTCGTCGGTCTGGGCGGGGTTATTTATTGCATGATTTAAATCAAAAACGCCGCCACCGTTTTCGAATTTTTCAAACTTTACAGGGACTCCATTCCTTTCCCATGATAATCTGCAAAATTCAAAAAACAATCACGCGTTCAAATTGAACGAATAGTACAGGATACTGATGGATTATGTAAAAGATTATTCCAGAGGCTGGGAAAAAAATGAATTGTATGCATTTCTTCAATTAGCCTTTTATCAAGTCCAACATAAAAAACAATCGTGACAAATGTCGACAACTGACAACACTTGCAACACCGACTTCATTGTCTCATTTTGATACACACTATATTAGTGTATATCTTGTCATTTTTCACCCTTTGCTATATAAGCATTACATGTATATTTGACAATGATAGTGCTTTAACCATATCATTCAGTGACACTTGTGTGCTATATTGAATTATATTCAATATTGAATTATACTTTAGGATTACTAAATTTTAAGTTACATTGACTGTGATGATACCATGTACTGCATTTTTATACTGTTATCTTAAATTGTTGTCATGCTTGTATATATATATATATATATATATATATATATTGATGCAGGGCCATATGTAACCCTGGTTAAATAAATATATAATCATTATCATTAAACACAAGGTTTCGAGCGATGGAGATGGTGATGATGATCATTAAGATCTCACATGGACAATCTTTGGAAAACAGCTTTGTGCGATAAGGACGTCATGTATTTTGATTTATCTCGTAATTACACCGTTTGGTTCTTTGCCACTATCTGAGTTCCCACATTGAGGACTTAGCATTACTTGATAAATTTATTCTCTGTTCAACTTCGTCGACCACACAATAAAGACGTTTGATCATTTATGCTACCTTGTTGATTATACTGTCTCTAACTTGAGATTTTATCAAGGTCGATTCTCATTTCTTATTCATAGACTATATAACGATAGCATTTTTGTATTAGAAAAAATGTAAATAATTTGTTTGGTTTAATATCGGTTACTGTTATGCGGTCCGACAACATGGCATGAAGTGGAAACATCAGCTGCAAGTCAAATATAACAGACGCTTGTGTACTTGGGGTCCAAAGACAAGATAAGTAAAACTGTTTTGAACAAATTTAGATATTTTGAATGTAAACAGCCAAGCGCAAATTTCTAGGTATAAAATGTATGTTTGATATGTTCAACAAATGTCAAAGTTGTTGCAAAACTGAAAAGTAGGTCAAGGTCAGTGAACACCAAAACAAATATGTGCCATTATTACAGTAACTTGACCAAGTTAAGATATACCCCAAATTCCTTTGTAAGGCATTTCAACACAGTGACGCCAAAGATGATTCATGATTGACCAAACACGCGCAGACACCACAATGATATAACCCATGGCTAGATACCAGACGTCAACAACACATGTTAGGAGGCACGGTAGTCCAGCGGTAGGACGCCGGGCTCGTGACCGAAGGATTGCGGGTTCGAGTCACGGCACGGCACTGTGTTGTATCATTGAGCAAGATACTTTACTCCGCTTGTTCCAGTCTACTCAGCTGTAAATGAGTACGTGGTTGGGCAGTGCTAGAATTGTTGAATGCTACCTGTGAGCGCCGACATGGCAGCACCGGTTGTATGCTGCCCAGGGAGTCGAGAAAGATGTCGGCTGGTTGCAAAGGCCCTATAACCACGGATACTTATTTGTGAACCGCTTTGAGACGACCTACGAACTAGGTTATGATAAATTATTATGTTTATTATGACTTACCTAATAGGGGTAGACCCGTCCGCGCCACACGTTAACATTATACTAGAGTTAGAGACAGCCGAGTAGTACAATGACTGTTGAGGCTGGAGCAGTATCTTTGGGGGACCGTTCCGTGCTGTTAAAAGATAATAGCATTTAATCTATTCAGTAATCGATTTGTATCGAATAGTTCTGACGTTCAGATTTGCTACATTTAAATATCAAATAATAAAGTAAATTATTCAATGATTCATTTTTCTACGATTTAGATTTGTTGCTATTTATCATTAATATAAAGGTAAATTATTGAATGATACGAAAATGTAACTGAAACATTTTTTAAGACTGACTATTCAATTGATGCTTTAGTTTACGTGAGCAAGTTGGACGGCATAACGCTGGAAATATAAGGTGGTTTTTTTTACTGTGAATGCTTAAAATATACTTCCAATTGACGAGTACGTTGACTATTTCTGTGATAAGCATTATCATTTAACAGTTTTGGTTTTTAAATCATTTTGTATACGTAGATCAACATGAGAAGATGACACTGCAATTGAAAACAAACCCAAAATCTTCAGCAGAAACCCTCAGTATCCATCTGGATCGATGGTAAAACGGTAATGATCTACCTCAAGTAAAGCCTGTATGGCTTTTTTTTTGTACATGGCTAGTATTCTACAAAGTGCATGTTATGGCGATCTATTTGTAAAAACCGTTTGCCGAATTTTGTTTATGTTTGATGTGGGCAATACATACCGACTCTGAGATTGAATATATAGAAAGTGTAAACTAAATATGAAAGAGTATGAAAAATATGATAGATAGTAATTTCGGTTTGAAATACACTTACCATGACCAATATCAAAGATGGCCCACATAACAATCATTCTACAGACAGTTTGCAACATTGTCATTATTCTGAAATAAAAAAAGGGCAGTTTATGTGTAAAAACATTAATAAGGAAAATCGAATCTTAACCAAGAAATATTTTATAAGCATGGAATCACTTGTACAGAGGCAGATATCGGGGAATGATTACATATAACATAAATGTTTGCTCTCATAAAGGCAGGGGGTTATAGCTTATAGGAACAAATGATATTGATGGGTTTCCAAGTGAAGTTATAGAGGATATCTAAGGTTTTCTAGGAATGGATGGAGGCTATTCAAGGGATTCTATGTGAACGAATAAATGTAAATGTTTTCCAGTGAAGGAATAGAGGAAACTAAAGGGTTTCCCAGTGAAGGAATAGAGGATTTATAAGCGGTTTCCCAGTAAAGAAATGGAGAATAGTTAAGGGGTTTCCCAGTGAAGGAATAGATGATAATCAAGAATTTCCCAGTGAAGGAATTGGGGGATATTTAAGGGTTTCCCAGTGAAAGAATAAATGATATTTAAGAGTTTCCCATTGAAGGAATAGAGGATTTTTAAGGGTTCCTAGTAAAGGAATAGAGGATGTTTAAGGGTTTCCCACTGAGTACTATTTTTAGTTCATGAGTACGACAGAAAACGATATGTTTCACAAGTACAAAGCAAGAGTGAAACATATTTGAATATTTATAGATTATCACACTGTATTTTCAGGGTTTGTCGTGAGAACAATTTTCTCATCGCGAGCACGTGGATAAAATCAAGAGGCTACCGCAGGTGGACTCGAGATTTTATCTACGTGCGAGCGATGAGAAAATTGTTCGAACGACACATACTGAAAATACTGTATGGTAAACTATTTATCATCTTTAAATCAATACCTTATACATTTCTCCATTTAAAAAGCTCAACTAAACACCATGTTTTCAAAATCACTTCTATGTGCAATGGTCAACGATCGCCTGTGACAAACGTAAACAAATAGAAGTTTTGCGAGGAGGAATACAATGAACCTTAAAACTACGGAGATGTTTTTTAAACAATCCTTTCGTCATTGGCTTTTCCATATACACATTTACACCTGAAATGGTGTTGTTATTCTAACAATCTTTTTCCATAACTTTGTATTGATATGTTTATGACTGACTATTTTCTTACGCGGATCACTTTTGTGTGGACACTATTTCCGGTTTCGGACGTCATCTGGCGCGAGCAGACATTCCTTTTTGAGAAAATACGTTCCCAATTGCTGGGAAATGGGAAAACCCGTTCTCAAGTCGTTCTCAACTTCTTCTCATACTGACAACCAATGATGATTAATTCATCATGCTACCGGTAGGTAGTACAAAGTAGTATATAGATGATAATCTATCAAACGTGGGAAATATATGTAGTATTGAACGTGAAAAATACATATTCTATATATTACATTCATATAGTTCCTACAAAGTAATAATACCCGTGCTTCATGTTAAACTTGCTTTTTTCAGTTGCCATTCCTATTTACCATGGGTGCCAACCAAAAGTTGATAAATAATTATATTTAAAATTTACTTATTTAGTTCAAATTAGCGCACGTATCGTACATGTAAATGTATGTTATCAATTTATCAAAATACGGTCATCAGAGAGAGTTCTTGGTCTCCATGCAATGTTACAATTATTACGTCATAATATTGTTTACGTCAACAATCGGGTAATGACTGATGGATGCAGAGTTATACGGTGGAAATGCCATACCATGATACACATAATATAAACACATGCATTTACAAATGCACATATGTTAAAAGTTGTCTGTAAATATTATTTTAATAGGTATACTGAGGTTACATATGTCAATACTAGCCCGTTAGTACACACATAAGTGAACATAATGTTTGAATATACACAACAATGATGGTGAGTGAGGAGAAACATGATGTGAGTAGTTTGTCAGCACATATTGATATAATTCATTGAATACAGGTATGTAGTAGCTACTTAGGATACATCCCCCATCTATCCTAATACATTTGAAAACGATTGCAGGAATGATACGACAAACGCATTTAAAAGTACATTATATAGTTTTCCTGGGGGCATATCAAGTTTTAACTTCTTTTAGTTCGTTTAACTTCTATTATCACCAAGCCAGATCAGTTAAAAGTGGGATACGGTCTTTTGGGCAGACTTAGAATAAATCAAATGTTCGAGTGTGTTTTGGTGCAGACATGTTTAATACCCTGTGGTAATACGGGCTACGAAACATATCTCACATTTGTGCTAACATTGTTGTACATGTATAATTAAAATCACTGAAGGATCACCTTACTAATACCAAAAACTGTAACTAACTGTTAGAATATTTTTTCTGGCAAGACTTAGGATTTGATAAATCATTTCTGAAAAGAAAATCATGCATTTCAGGGTTTTCATAAGGAATAATACAGATGAAAAGGGTGTTCTGGGAGGGTAAAAGATCAGTAGGGCTAGACCAGAGTTCTAGTACTGTGACATCGGGTTGTTCTACTATCCTAATTGAGTTACCTGGTCAACGGAAGACCCTTGGTCACACTGTGTTATAACTTCCTTCCAGACGATATTTAAAGGAAGGTTACTTTTTACTTAACAGTACATTCTTAAGAGGCTCTTTGGACATTTGAAATCTGCCTTAACATTTCCTATGGGTTGTATCTAGATTGATTAGAAACTCTGTGTTATATTAACATTTGCATAAGGTATCACCGTTGAGATGTACAGATGGAGATTGAAATTAGAAATCAATCCCGTCTGTAGACAATGTGACACCAAATCATTACACGAGAGTAATAAATTGCGTCAAAAAGTTATTTCATATTACTGTGAAACATGTAAAAAAGATATAGTAGGGTACTTAGATACCGTTGGCTCATCGTATGCACACGAGTGTGACTTGTGTTTGGGAGAAAAACATATCAGGCGGAACGAGTTGTAACGCATGACCTTTATTTCACCGTCCCATACTTTCACTTCACAAACTTGTTTTCAGACATGTTTTCAGACTTTTCGAACCATTCGTTTCGGTCATGATGAGATACTATCAAGTTTTTACAGTCATTCAGAATTTGTTTACCATTAGTGAGTCATCGCTTAGTTTACCCTCCTCCGAGCATGCTATGTAGAATCTGATGTAGACATGTTACCTTAACCAAGCTATGTTAATAATTAAAAAAAACAACAAATCATTAACCTGCATCCCCCGAAACCATGTGTACCTTACACATTACAAGGATATACAAACTGTAAAACTTTAAATGTATTAGAAGGTATATTGTTTTAACCGTGTTCTTTAAATGAAAGTGCTACTTACAAATACTTTTCTCTTATTAATAATTTTGATAAATCCTGCATTGAATTATCAAAGACATTTTGTCAATACATGTTCATCAGATAATATTAATTAATCAGACCTGCTTATTTATTAGATAATCATCAGAACTCAGATAGACATGACTGCATCATGTTTGATTTTGTGTAATCTGTATAAAGCATAAATAACTTGTTAATACTATTATAAGATTTGAATTTGTCGTTAACCATAAGATTATTGTTGTTGTAATGAGATTATGTGCTTGTTAGGTAGAGTTGATGTCATTCAAAATCATCAAGGATGGTACCAACAAACACAGGTGATGTTTGGTAGCTACGGTAGACAATGTTTCGGTAATGACTGTGTTGGGGACGAATACCAATATTTATACCAATTTACTAATGTATCTGTTGTAGCTTTAAGACAACTCTATATACCAAATTATTATTATGTCAACCCAACTCATATCAAAATGAAGGAATGTTCTCAATGTGTAACACTGTACTTTTAACAATAGTAAGAAGATTTATACAAAAGGTAATGAAGCTTCTTAATATCTAAAATAACTTTATCTACAAGAATTATTGAAATAGGTTGTAATATTAAATATTGTATTATATGTCGTATTATGTTTATACTATGTTCATCAATGTATACCCTGTTATATTTGACCTCTTGTTATGTACATATACATTGTACGTGTAGTCTGACCTTAAAATTGAAAAAGAATCTAAAATAACTCTTCCACCTATTAACAGTGTCTAACTCAAACAAGACGTAGAACTGGCATGGATGTTTAAACACACCGCTAATGTTACCATACAGATCGTATCACGCGTAATGTGACCTTTTGTTCAGAATTAAATAGAGAATATATGGATTGCCACTGAAGATAGGTGTGTCACTTAGATGTGTCACGTCTTTTGTTATTAAAAGGGTCGGATATGAGTAATAATATACAGAATAAAATCATCCCAACACAACAATGAATCACTTTGTTAATATAACGTATATTAATGTTACTATAATAAACTAATTCAATATTTAGGCAACAGTAGAAACACGGATATATTCATAGGAAACAAAACATCTACATAATAGAGTTACAGAAATAATAAATTAAATACATATCAACCAAACTTACTTCTCCCACAACCACTATAGGTTTCCTCACTCCCAACGCAATGAATAAACCAACTAGGAGTTGGTAAACAGTTTAAGTTGCTAAATAGTGAGTAACACCCTGAGCGTGATTTCATTGGTAAAGCTTTTAATTGTTACGTCACGAAACAATGCCTTACGACGTCAGCTTCCATTGTCACATCATAGTACATAACAATTGATTCCCAGATCGGAAACACGAATAACGTATTCAGGGAAACAGATGATTTTCTATACATAATTTCTTAATCTTTTGGGAGAAAAAAAGTCCCAAATGCTCGTTAGTTAATTTTCAATTTGTAAAAGACACTCGTTAAACCTCGTGTTTTTATACTCTTTGTAGCAGTCACGTGAAAAATTTCCAGTGATAATGTAGAATATAATATCTTTTGTATATTAAAAAGGTATTTCAAATATGTATAAATACTATCCAGTTATATTGATAAACGATATGAATACCTCTGTTCTAGTGTTAATTACTTTACTGCTCCAGACACTAGCGGTATAAACCTTACTCCATGGTAACACGTTTTGCCATCGTTGATTGTCCATAGTTTCCGATAACCACTCTTCCACATATATAGCTTTGAGTTGCTTTAAAACTTTAAATATGTAATAATTTAAGGTCAATAACTCTTTTTGTGAGTCATATTGCTTCATGCTGCATTAGACAGGTGAATAATAACCATTGAGACACATCAAAATCCGAACTACAAACCCTCCGATCGGGAGAGGGATTCACAAGGACACATCATTTACGTATATCACAACACGTCTATCAGATTCATATTCGTTAAACAAACATCGACCAACAGCAATGATCCACATTATATGACAAATAAACAAATAAAACATCTTACCTTAAAGGTGTGTGGTCTATGCTAATATTATTTCCGAAACCTGTCCTCGCGACCGGGTACATCCGTCCCATATAGGTCAGCTAACACATGTGTTTACATTCAGAAACCACACCTGTGTTCACGCCTACCTTCTGTTGATTCCATTATTAGCCCCATACAGAATCATATATATACAGTTCGTACAAACCCTAACGTCACGAATGAGAAAATTACAGGTAAAAACACCCGTGAACAGTTAAATGGCTTGGGGCACTTAGCTCTAACACAGAGCAAAACCTTTGTGAGCGAAATAGTGCAAAGCAACTGGAGCGTGAAAACTCAGTATGAACAAGTTTACAGGTAAAAAAAAACAATAACAAAAGCTGACGTCACGGTTCATGGAGTACTGTCAGGTAATACTTACTTTTCTGTATTATTTTAGTTATATGACAAGATATAAAAGCAGGTGATTGGAGCCAAGTTTTCTTTGAAATAACAGCATTGTCGTTTAAATTGATTTAAAAAAATGGATTAACTTAAAATACTAGTATGGAAAACCTGTATTTATTACCATAGACATTGGTATGCGATTTCCATAAAAAATATTAATAGTTTTTTTTATATTGTAAATATATTGTACAATATTACAATTTAATAAGGACGCTTAAACATACTATGATATGTCCTATTTAAACATTGTTAAATATTTCGTAAGAGTGGTGTTTTGTTGAAGGGACATAACTCTAACATAGTAACAACGTATTGTTGTTCGACATTGAACAGTCCTAAAGATACCTGTACTTTTGAATTGATTCATAGGGTATATTTGAAGCAAGAGTTTTAAGTGTGTATTCAATACAGTCACATTGCTATTTATGCTTAATTTCTCAAACATTTTGGTCAAAATTTCTTTTGTATTTTTACACTTTTAAAACGTTTTGACCGAGACTCGAAATGAAAGGCTAAGTTTGTTTTGGACACAAACAGGAATTGAAGTATTATGTTGCGAGCTTTTGAAAACGTCTGTTTCCTTTGTCAAGCAAATAGTGCAAATGACCGGTGTCTCGACTTTATACCGCTGAAAACAACTCACTAAGCCAGTATGCCGAATCAGTAAAGCCAGCTGTCACAAATCATAAAGACATTTCGCCCGATTGCACTCTAATACTGCAGGCAGTCAGGGGGACGGGTAACACGTTACCCATTCTTCCTCTTATTGGATGGTAAAATGGGGTCATAAACATGATTCAGTTGGTGGCCCCCTTCTTCTTTCTTCATCGAATCCCCCTTCCTCCTTAACCAGATGGATCCATTATTTTTCCTGACTTTCCAGTTGTCCTTCCTTTCAAGCACTTTCGAGTTGTTCCAGTCTATGACGTGGTTGTATGTGTTAGCATGGTATGTAATGGCTGATTTATTGTATTGTTTCTCCGATGCCATCCTTGTATTTCTAGTGTAGACTTGCTGTTTCATGGCTTCAACGTCTTTCTTATGTTCTTTTAGACTGGTCACAAATTTGCATTGTTTGTTTTACGATGTTTTCTCAACGATTAACAAAGACAAAACCAAAACTTTATATCTATTCTACAAGAAACTTACTTGAGGCTGCACTGCTAACATACGATTAAACTTCATCATATAGGTTCATATAAACGACCACAATAAAGATTTCGAATTGATTTACTATTAAGAAGATGCATATATTCCATGTAAACATAACACTTATTTATATACTTAAAATACATGTACATGAATAAATACAAAGACAAACTCATAAACCTCAATACCATTAAGTTTAATCGTCTAATACAGAACATCATTTCTAGTCGTTTTTCCTACGTCTTTGTCAATGATGAGGTATGGGTTGGAAGAATAATTCATGATCACGTGGATAATGATTTGTAGCACAAGGAATCAAGTTATATATCCGAATGACGAAAATGTAATTGTATCAGAACACACGGTATAAAGATAAAACAATAATTTCAAGCACTTGTTTTATTGAACTGGTAATTAATTCTAACTTTGCTCTGTGATTTCCTATTATTGCTTCTCATATGTCATTGCCAATCAAGGCGAGAACATAAGACCATCCTATTGAACACTCTCTTCACTAGAACTCTTTACATCACATAAAATTGTACTCCTCAGTTCATGTTAATGCTAGAAACTCTATTCCGATCAACAGTTAGAACTTTGGTCACTCAAAGAACCTTTCCCATGTTAGTGTTATTGTTCTAAAAGCATGTCACTGAAAATAGCACGACTAGATGATAGAATATTCCATCTACAAGCTTGTGTGTTCTGGTTCCAGTACCAAATATTCATGAGGTTCTCCGTTAACTGGAGAGGTCGAGATGTGTTGATTTCCGGTCTGACCACTGTAAGTTTGATCACCTAGTGACATGTTATTTCTAACTGATGGGATTGGATTCCCCGACTGTCTTTGTGCCGCTTTTATATCACTGTCACTGATATAGCAGTACTCTGCTTCCTCGTTTGTAGTTGGGGTTCCGTTCCCATTACTGACACCACCCAACTCGTCATAAACATTTCTTTGTGCTGCATTCTCGCTGGCGTTGGAGAGAACAGAATAAGGTTCCCTCTTGTCTTCTGATGCCCGGGGCTTGTTGGGAAAGTAAAAAGGTGTGATTATTTACACTGTTTAGGTAGAATTGTTTCTGGTAAATAAGTATTTTTTCTACAATACTTTATTGATTATATCAGTTCGATAATATCATTACATGCGAATACATCAAAGCATCTATGAAGCGAATAATAATGAATGCAAAGCAATGCGACCAAACAACTTTAGGATCAAATGGACAATATTTTAGTTGCTAAATCATCTTTGGATTTTATGCTACTGAACAATATCTAAAGATCAAATTTCTTGAAGCTACTAACCTGTTTTACATCATTGTTACTATGATTTTTGAAGACCATGCTGGCATTTGGTTTGGTGTCTGATTGGCCTCGGTTCCTGTAATACAATGTTAATGTGGATTTACTTTAAAAACCAAGTGTTTTTTTCTCTCTCCTTTTTTTTTTTTTACATCTATCTAACTTAAGTTTATTACATACGCAATGTACATGTTTGAGTTTTGGTACAGTTTTAGCATGAATCTACTACTTGCGTATTGCACCTTTCATAAAAATGTTAATTCAAACTTGAGATTGAATTTTCTTTGAAAGGGAGACAATCATACGATCAAATTAAGTTTTAATGGGATACAATCCTAAAAATTGTATAAGCTGGTGATAGACAGCTTCTAAATTTGTACAAATAAGTAATATTACATTTTAATAGTCTTACACGCTGACATTGTATTGTCATATAAGTAATAACAAAGCAAAATCTTGAAGAGAAAAACAGTTCCGTACCACAGCGTTAACAGACACAAAACGTTGGGAAAATAATTAACACTGCCCTCTACTGGCATTCTGTAGTTGATTTTGTCTTTCCAAACATACTTAGATTCTCACCCATATCATAATACATTTTATTGTAATACAAGGACACATTATGATTATGACTTCGAAGATATTGAATAATAATGCATACCGAGTTTACTAGAAGCATAATCTAACTACTTAGTTAGCATACCTCATGATTAATAATATCATATAAGCTTCAATACCAGGCAGTAAAGAATCAATCCTATAGATACAAAACAATTAACTACATATGAAATCAAGTTTATAATATATGAAACCAGCCAATGTATAACCTACCTTCGTCTGGACCAGACACAGTAGACTACGACGATGACTATGATGATTAGCGCGATACACCCTCCCACAGACCCTCCTATCACTGCGGAGTTTGACGAGTTTGAATCCGGCTCGTTTTGAGAAGCTTGTGTAGGTTTAGGTGGAGGCGGCGATTGTTTTGCTGTAACTGGTAAGCGAGGCAGTCCATGAATGATGCAGTCAATTTGCACGATATTTGTTTAAAAACCTTTTTTTTTGTGATAGGCAAATGCATAAAATATGGCTTGAAATTATTTAATTTGATGTTTCCATGGCTTCATTGTCTTTAGAATTAATCTATATTAGTTCTTAGTCAAATCGATTATTTTTTTAAAATATTTGACCTTTATTTATATTTCAAATATTTAAACAAAGCGTAGCTGAATCGAGTCATTTCGGTACATATGTAACAACTTTTGTATATGCGCTTACAGCGTAGCCGAAATCAACATCGATTTCGTGGACAACTCGTACACATTTGACACATTTGTGTACATACGCCTCATTGGTCATTTGTCTGATGAAGGTGACAGTGTACATATCGTACTAGCCATCAAATCGTCACATAGAAAATTTAATTGGTTGTGTAAAAAGAACTTATCATAATTGACCACAAGTGATTGATTATATCAAAAGATATTATTGCAGTTTTGAAATCAATAATATACGGATTAAAATAGCGGGAAGGTAAAGTGTAAAGCAACAACAATGTCAACGTATTGTGACAAGATCTGAACCCTACTAAAAGAGTTTTACACTTATAAAAGCATTTATAAGAACGAAGAAATTTGACTTGAATAAAACCAAATGAAAAGGATTTAACTCTCAAACATAGTAAAACCAAGTGATCTGAAAAGGTTTTCTGTTACACATGTGACAATCGTAAACGTAATCTCCGTGAAATCAAGGAAATCCAGATCTCTATGACATCATAGGTATCATAAGGACAATGTTTCATGTACATAAATGGAAACAAATACACAATTACAACTGATCCTATAAAGCCTGCCTATTTAAGGAATGCAGGTTGAGCAAATAAATGAACGTTTAAGTTATTGAGATATTACCTTGATTGATATCAAATATCGCCCACATTACGATCAGGTTACAGGCCGTGTGTAGCATTGTCATGGTGCTGAAATGGAATAATGGAGATGCAGTTTAAGTACACGAATGGTATTCATTACGTACAACGTACGAAGTGCCTTTAAAAGATGTCCATTAATGCTAATACTGTAGATGTACAAAGAAACGTAAAACCAAAATATGACCATGAGTATTCTTCATGCTAACATCTATGGAACAGAATCCGGTTAACCACAGATTATTTTAAGGAAATACACTTGATACTGAAATGACAGGAGATCAAGATTTGATGATGTTCTTATTGTTATATAAATTAATATCACATAGACTGAAATTGTGAAATTGACATCAGCTTATGAAATTAAAACATCTGTTCACCTCAACAATTATATATCGGTATGATGTTGTATATTGCATATTGATTTCACTTTGCTTCGAGTTTTCCCCCTTTCTGTTCTGAAACCAATCAATGTCCACAGATTGAAGCTTTGAATTACTGTTCTAGTTTGTTTATAGTTTAATATTATTGAAATGTTTGTCCTGTTGTTTGAAGAACTGTTGGTTAAGTTGATGTAGACTCATTAGAGCCGTATGTTACCAGCAAGGTGGATAGAAGACAATATTCTATAAATTTCATGAAACGGTTATATAATCTTACCTTAGATTCACCAACTTTCCTTCACCACTGGTTATTCCGTCTCATATTTGTCAGTTTACACATGTATTTACACAACCACCTGTACACGCCTACCAGGGTCATATAAAGTATAAAGAAAAAGACAGAAATAGATTGTATGTATACCCAATGGTCACGACACGATAGGTTCCAGCACCCTGGGTCGTTCGGAACAGCGTGAACTCATTATTGGAGAAATAATGCATGTTTAATGAAGCGTATATGACTCTAAATAGCCAAGCTCACAGGTAAACAATCACAATGCTGAACGTTTAGTACAGGTACGAACTATTGTCAAAGCTAATCCATATTCAAGTCACGAAACTAGACACCTGCACAGTTTAACACGGTCAATATAGATATACACATCTATGAAATACCATTTTAGCGTGCATAATTAACAGATTTGTTATATTCATGTACTACTTTTGAGAAGTCTATCAATGAATACAAGCAAAATATAAAACCTGTCTGAAGTGCAATTTTAAAAAGTTATAACATATTTCCAGCAATGCACATGTTTGATATCTTTTTAAACTCCAAATATATTGTTCGCAGGTTAATCAAGCATTTATAGTTTTGAAAGTAAGGGACACAACTCTTAGATAACTGCAAGGTAATACATCGTAATCTCTTTCAGTTTAAAAAATTAGATGTTTCCGTACACACGTTGGTTTTTTTTTTTTTTTTTTTTNCTTTTTTTTTTTTTTTTTTTTTTTTTTTTGCATTTTACAACAATTTGAATTTAAATAACCCCCTTTGTGTTGTCAATATTCAAAAATATGTTTCGTTCATATTTCAACATTTTCGCTTAGCACACTTAGCTTGGTGTCATCATGAATCTATCATAGTTTCATAACAAAATAAAACCAGGCGAAATACACCCGTCGTGTTGGTAATTTGCAGGAGATGCTCAATTATATAAGGGCAGGACTGTGAAGATGAAAAGACTATGTGTCAGGTACATACAAATATATTCCAATGGTTAGCGTTCTATGATTGCATGATAACGGTACCTCTATAGCTAACTATTAAAGGGTTTGTCGTCCATAATGTTTCCAAAGCCGTTATGCATTCAGTCCAAACTAAAACCAAATAATAATTTTGTACCAGTTAAAAAACCCAACTCTGTTGACCGAGACGAGTAGTGTCTATTGTTCTTTCAGGTCAACATTACTTTGTCTGATACATTAACATTTTTTGATAAATAGTTATAATTCCAGTAATAAAGATTTCATAATGAGTGATTGTTGGCTACCTTGTTAGGTACCCGCCGAAGGTGGGTGTTTTTTCCATCCACCGTAAAAGCCCGTCCCTTAGATGACCAAAACTGTTAATTGAACGTAAAGCACAGACAAATCAAACTATTTAAACCTAATTAGAACAACGACACTTATATAGTAATTTATATGCAAATTATATCTTAATTTTGATTTGCAAAGTTAACACATGCGAAATATTTCTTCAACTTTTTAACACAGTGAAGAAAAAAACGTATACAACCTATATTTCAAAATATATTTTTATATAAATTGCCTTTGGCTTTGAAGAAACAATATTTTCTAAAGTTAATCACATTCATATAAAACATTGATCATATCACATGGTTTTAATAACCGGTACCCATCTCACATACTTACATATTTTCTAACATAGATCAAACAATGACACAATATTCAGAGTACAAACAGATTTAATAACAAACAGGACAAATGCATTGAACAAAATAATACTCATTAAGTACTGTTTGAAGTATCGAGTATGTGACATATGCTTCCACTTCACAATTATAATAATATAACTGTTACAGAGAAAACAACGAGAGGAACATTTTTATAGTGTTATCTAGTGTCGTAGGATCACCTTGTAATAATAGTTATCCTACTCATATGCCTATATATTCATTCAGTGTGTCTTGTGAATGACGTTATGTAAAGCTGTTAACAGATACCAAGACAATACATGTGTTTGATTTCTTAAATACGATACAAAGCATACAGTTATATATTTGGAATAAATTGATTACAATAAAAATTGTCTCTATTCAGGGGTACTCGCCTCCACACTTTATTTAGTATTACCTAATACACAAGTTTTGCGATAGCAATCATCTTAAGAACAGTTTTCACTAAGGATACATATACAAACACATTAAATTGATAGCATCAGCTACCGATCTGTCCAATAAAACTTGCGACATCGCACACACGGTTATTATCCAACCGTTTACCATAACCAGTAATTTTGAAAACAATTATATATCTTATATAAGGTTAAGTAATTATATTGTCGTAATCACTGTATGTGAAACATGTTCATTGTACCTCACATCTTCACGTGCCTGAGTTCCAGTTTAAAATAACCATCGTCAGGCGTTATTGGTACAGGTTCCTGGTTGGTAGTTGGACCGGACAGTTTTGTTGTGATAGGTTCCATGTACGTTGGAAGGGCGGAAAATTGTTTTGGTTGTGTGAGTTGAGGGACCCGACTGCTATACGCCGGGTTACCAACTGCAGAGTACTTGCCACTGGAGAAACGACCAATTTTACCGTATGGCGGATTCTGAGTCGGAGGCACCTCGGGTAGGGGTTTAGAGTTCGGTCTCGTCATGGATGTTCGTGGGTCTTCTTTAACACCCGGTGTCTTTGTTTTGGTAGAATTTGGCACCTCTTTATTGAAAACGCCTGTCGGGGCTGCTGATTCAGAGGTAGGAATGTGGGACTGTCTCTGAGGCTTCAAAATGTCTGCATCACTAATATAGCAGTATTCTGCCTCCTCTGGCTTGTTTTCTACATTGGCTGGATTATTGGTACCACCAAGTTGCTCATACACATTTCCCTTTTTGTTCTCCCTCTCATTAGTTAAACCAGTATAGGTCTCTCCCTTTCCTTCCTTGTGTGGCTAAACAATTGAAAATGTAAATACAATATGTGAAATTTCAATGAAATAATAATAAATCTCATGTCTGTTAAATTGCACATTCATTCTTGACGAATATTTGAGAAAAGATCAAACCAGAGCTATACGCTTGTTTCCCCATCCCTCCAACGTTTATGTTGTTATAAGTATGTTATACATATTGAATGAAGTTTAAACAGGAAGCCTCGAGCCAATGTGTTTTCTATTTAAAACAATTAACTTAACAAGAATCCGATGTTACACAATACTCTGAAGGTAGTCGTTGCAAGATTAAAAACCTAAAAACATGGCTATATAAAACTTCAATTTTCCAAGTCATCGGTTGCTCCAATGCCGTACACACTAAATACGTTTTGTCGTTACTTGAATTTAAACGAAATGTCCATCCTATTGACATAACCTATCTTACTACTTTACATGAAATCGTGCCATACCTTTTGTAGGATTTCGCTTTTATGCACCCTCCTATGATCGCGTTTTTGCACACGGTCCATTTCTACGTCGCTGTATCCTCTGTTACCATAGCCCATTCTAGCATCATACTTCTGTACTGGGTCCATGCTTTGCCTAGCCGGCGATATGGAATAAAATGTTAGGTTACTTCCTGAATGGTTTTGATGGTTATCATCTACGAAATTTAACATATCAAAGTGCCATCATAAAAGGACATCATCAGAAGAGATACGAGAGGACATAGCAGGTGTAGATACGGTAACGACATCAGTAAACTCAGCAGAAATCATAACAGAAAGAGCAACGTAAGACACAGATAATTGTACATGTAAAATGTATTTAAATATACAGTACACTAGTGTATGCCAAAAACATTACACTGCATTATGGAACTGTTTCGTCCATCTGGGACTCCATGATAATGCCAAGGGCCAGAAAGGTGGAAAACCCAATTGAGAAAAAAATACTTGTGAAACGGGAGGTGGTGGGTTCGTAAAAAAATTTAATTTGAATGTGAAAAACTAGAGTACTGATTAATATCTAATAAATAATGTTTTAGTATCTTAACTGGTAATCAAGCGATGACGAACGTAAAATTCCATCAGAGAATCTGTAAACCACACAGGTAAAATCAACACCCGGGTAAGTAGTTTACAGTCAAAAGAGCGCACTAATACATATTACCAGTTACTGATACAGTCTATGCAGTAACTAATTAGTTTATCGGAAATATATAGATACATATATTATAACTTTTGGTGTATATATTTCATATAGCTAAAATGTATATTCCTTTTGGTCATGATGAATATATAGTAAGATTCATTCAGCATTAAACATATGTCATGTATTCTTGTTTTTATTAGTTTGATCATGATCACTCGTTGTCGTATTCTGAATACACTATTGTATAATTACAGAAAAATAACATGTCAGTATATAACCGAAAATCAAGTGTACCTTCGTTTAGACCAGATACAGTAGACCACAGCGATTATAATGATGACGACACCAACACCAGCTCCCGCCGCCCCACCTATCACGGCGGTGTTTGAGCTGTCAGACACTTCACTCGGTGCTTGAGTTGGCACTGCAGGTTGCTTAGAGGTTGGTGCCGGAGTTGGTCGTGTAGTTGGAGATGGGGTTGATGTCGTAGTTGATGCCGTTGTTGATGCCGTGGTTGAAGCCGTGGTTGATGCCGTGGTTGATGCTGGAGTTGTCTTTGAGGACGGTATATGAGTTGTTTTAATGGTTGGTATAATTGTTGGTGGATGAGTAACCCGTTCTGGAATATAAGAATTACATGAAGGTACTGTTTCTTTGTATTCGTGCAATGAGCAAGGAACGATACTACGATGCATATATGTTATTTACCGAAAATCATATCTGTGATGTATAAGTAGGTTTACTGATATGTTGTTACATGAATAGGTAAGTGTGCCTGTTTTATCTTAAAATGCTTACCTGTTACGAAAAGGTAGGCGAGCTTGTTACATGAACAGGTAAGTGTACATGTTTTATCTAAATCGGCTTACCCATTACGAAAAGGTAGGCGAGCTTGTTACATGAACAGGTAAGTGTACCTGTTTTATCTAAATAGGCTTACCTGTTACGAAAAGGTAGGCGAGCTTGTTACATGAACAGATAAGTGTACCTGTTTTATCTTAAAATGCTTACCTGTTACGTAAAGGTAGGCGAGCTTGTTACATGAACAGGTAAGTGTACCTGTTTTGTTTAAATAGGCTTACCCGTTACGGAAAGGTAGGCTAACTTGTTGTGTTTAAGAAGGCTTACCTGTTTAGTTTATGTAGGCTTACATGTTATGGATAGGTAAGCGTACCTGTTATATTTACGCAGGCTTACTTGTTATGCTCACGTAGGCTTACCTGTTATGTATAGGTAGCTGTAGGAGGAAATACTTCCGTGGTTATTGTGACACACACATTTGAGGGAGAATGAGACGTTTGTAGTAACGTATAGTACACTATAAGCCATGTCGATGGTTTGCGTAGAGTTGACATGATAAATCGCCAAGTTATTATTTTGATCTGGAATGATAGAAGGCATATTTGTAGATGAAATCAGAATGTATCTTTATGTTCTATTGCAATATTGTCATAAAAACATATACATCGTAGTATGTACAGTTAATACTCCCCACCCCCCACACTCCAAATAGGTGAGGAGGTATTTCCTGAATAAAAAATGTCACACTGTTGATGTATGTGTTTGAATAATAAAAAATGTAACTCTTCAGTTTTTAAGTATAAATTGTACTTTTGGAAATCTGCTTGAAGACAATTAACATCTGTCTATGAACCATTTGTAATCATAGTCTTTATGTAGTTAAGTCCTTATGTTCCTTCCGGTATGAACATACGTACCAGCCGCTGACACAGTGTTGATATACCACGAGATATCAGGTACAGGTTCCCCGTACGCTCTACAGAAAAACGGGAGAGGATTTGCAGTACCTGCTGAAGTGATGATTGGTTTAGGTTTTTCTATCCAAAATGGTGTACCTTTGAAAACAAAATATCATTTGACATCTATAAGGACATCTTGATGTTTACATAGCACAACAACAGTTCAGCTTAAGAGGGCTACATGTCTAAATGACAGACGCTACATCAAGATCGTTGAAGGTGTGGAATGTTTTATGACAATCACATAATTGTTTCTTATGATAACGTTTTCGTATTATGCGAGTTCTAAAATGTACTTGCTTTTAAACGATTTTTTATACGAATAACAACATATATCGGTGAAATCCCCTTTCGTATTCTGCAAATCAAACAGTATTGCAGTGAAAAACGCTCAATGTAAACAAAACTACTACCCGAACTTAATACATTAAATCTAGGCTAAATGCAGAATAATCAAACATTTACAAAGAAACCCTGAAAAAGTCAATGATAATGCAAGGTGTTCTGGAAGGGTAAGTGTCTTTTAAAATGTTCAAACGGGGCGTACGTTCAGAACTTCTTAATATTCACGGCTGACCGGGGACGGTCACATGCTCTTGATGCAACTGGGGTTATTGCATTTTCCTTATCTCAAGGTCGTCTGTCACATATATACTTTTTATATTGAAACCAACCGAGGATTATCAAATGCTTTATACTTCATTGCCGACCACGTTGTCCTCGAATCTGAACCTCACGATTGATCGTGAGTGTCAAACACTCAAAATCTGGAGGTCATTCAAACGAACTTGACCTCACAGCGAGCAAGGCTTGTCACACAATGTAGTCTCGTTCAACCAGACTCTTGTTGTCTGCACAAGCAACGCCAAACAGGTGATCAAGCGTCTGGTTGAACGAGACTTCACACACTGATGATATCATTGCCGACCTGCTCTATCGCGCACTATAGACCTCATGGGTACTGGAGCTTCACACGTTCTACACCTCACGGACGATCTGGGCTGTCGTACGTTTGAATAAATAATATTGAAATTCTAGCAGAGCAAATAAGACCACTCACTCTCTACTGTCACATCAAACCGGATAGTTTGTGTTTCCGTGGTACATTCATATTCCCCACGATCTGTAAATTTAAGGTTCTGAAATGTCAGACTTCGACCGTGGTCCTGAATATTCTGATTTAACGCTGGTAAAACGGTACCATCTTCCTCAATCTTCTGCCATCTAATTTGTGGAATCGGGCTGAAATAATAATGAGAGGTTTTGTTTGCCTACGGAGTTTCAACATACGATTATCAGTATTTTGATTTATAAACGAAAGGAACAAAGGTGAAATAGAAACCAGTGGAAATAAAAATTAACATGACCACGTAACCTATGACAAGCCCACGTAAACACTCGGGGTAACCTATGACAAGCCCACGTAAACACTCGGGGTAACCTTTGGCAAGCCCACGTTAACACTCAGGATAGCCTATGACAAGTCCACGTGAACACTCGGGGTGACCTATGACAAGCCACGTTAACACTCGGGATAACCTATGACAAGCCCACGTTAACACTCGGGGTAGCCTATGACAAGCCCACGTAAACACTCAGGGTAACCTATGACAAGCCCACGTAAACACTCGGGGTAACATATGACTATCCCACGTTAACACCCGGGGTAACCTATGACAAGCCCACGTGGACACTCGGGGTAACCTATGACAAGCCCATGCTACCACTCGGGGTAGCCTATGACAAGCCCACGTAAACACACGGGGTTACCTATGACAAGCCCATGTGGACACTCGGGATAACTTATGACAAGCCCATGTGAACACTCGGGGTAACCTATGACAAGCCCACGTGAACATTCGGGGTAACTTATGACAAGCCCATGTGAACACTCGGGGTAACCTATGACAAGCACTGTTTGCTGAAAACCTAATGTTTTATTACTGGTTTATTAGTTAGAGAAGTATCTAGTAAGTAAATTTATATACATACTTGATTTATGATATATCAGTTCGATAAGACTCTAGTGTTGATGCATTTGTTATACAATGTAAAGTATAGGATTGTTGTGAAGGCATACACACCTGTGTATCTTTCAGGCCATTATTTGATTAGCAATTCATAACATCTTTTAAAGGATTTCTTTATGAGGTAATGCACGCCACAGTAAGGTAGGGAATAGCCTAAGGTAGTGAATGTACATGTTTAGCTTACTTTCCACCAGAAACACATCTAAGCGTTAGGTTTTGACCTCGCAGTGCGGTGGGGAACTCCTCGGAATTCCACATAGGATATTCAGTCGACAGCTGGAATCCAGTATCTAATGTAATAACAATGAAAGTTAAATTAGTCTTCACTTGTCGAATAGATAAGTTTTATACTGCCATGTTACATGTCTACAAGTGACAAACAGTTCGTGAACGTGTGTCATCATTTATCTAGGGTAATAATCATCAAGGACAGTTAACAGCACATCCTTATTGTTATATTACAGGATATGTCACTTAACTAGGTCATGGAAGTGATGAAAAAATACAGACCTTGCTGTTTTGTATGCTTGCTCAAACTGTATTATCATAAAAACTATACTATATTGTGACACGGCAGTGGTTAACCATTGGACATCAAAATCAACAGACCTTGCTGTTTTGTATGCTTGCTCAAACTGTATTATCATAAAAACTATACTATATTGTGTCAAGGCAGTGGTTTACCATTGAACATTAAAATCAATAGTTTTAGCAACTTAAAACTCGTTAATACAAATGCGTCTAAATCATGCTAATTTGAACTTGATATGGCAATAATGTTTCGAAATAAAGCATTTACATTATTAGAAAACAGGATGCTTTCGCTGGGACTATCATTCGCGGATTTGGCGATTATAGAAAAACTAATTTTCTTTACCTTCTGGTTCAAGAATGACGGTCGGTCCAAGCATATAATACTGTAGGACAGGGTAGGAAATGTTGCACATGTACCCTCCTCTGTCTGATGTAACGATGTACACAAAATGTAAACTGCCTGTTGAAAAATAAAACAGTTAGACAAGTGATTGAACCGATGTCTTTGTATACATCAAATTTAAACTTTTGTTTTTATATAAATGTACAATCAATACCATTCTTAAGCCTGTATATGACATGTAAGGTATCAAGAGGATTTGTGCGGAAGAATAGGTCCACAAGGCAAACAAGGTAAACAAGGCGTTGCTTTGGGGTTTTGTGTCCTCTTATAGGTCACAGACGGCGGCTTAAGATGATAGGGCAGCTCAAGGGCTATAGTTAAGTGCTATCTCACTGAAACATTGACTTAAGAATGTCACCTCAATCGGTTATATTATTTTGACATATACACCGAAAATATACAAAACGCTGCCATATACACCGAAAAGAAAAAATGTGGAAGAAGAAAGAAATATGGGCGTCCTTAGTGTTTCAGTGGCAATTATGTTGAGTAGAAGAAGCAGCAGAAAACCCCTGATGCTTCGATGGGCCACATCAGTCGTCCTATACAATAATGTAGTGAGACATAGCAGACATATTCGTTCTCCGCATCAGCATATGCGTTACCTGCAATTCATTTTTTACCCCGTATTAATTTTAAGAAAACGTAGTCGGCGGAGGAATAATGACGTCATGTATGCAATTGCAATGTATTAATCATGCAAATGACGACATCGAACTAAATAAGCTCTTACACCCACATTTTGAATATGAAACCGATTGTTGATATTTATGAAATTATAGAAATTTGTAATCATCAAGACATACCAGTTGTGTCGTATGTGATCCGTTCATTATATTGTATCCGTCGTGGCGTGTTTCCGGTTTTTGTGGTCTTGATCCATTGTACTTCCGGTTTTATGTTACTGTTCGGATGGTCACACCGTAACGTATATGGCATGTTCAGAGGAGGATATTCGTACACTACGTCACTAGGAGTGGTGCTTGGGTATAGCGTAACTTCCGTTAACTCCATACTGTCACTCGACGTACGGCCATACCTATTTCCCACAATGCAAGTGTATGTGCCTGCGACCCATGATGTTTCTTGAGGTTTCAGTGTTAAATTTGATACATAATTATATACGGTGATATTCTGGATTACCGCTCCATAATGTTCCCAAACAAAGCTGCAATAAAACAAAATAAAACAACCAAAAGAGTTGTGAGAGAAGAAAGCTTTTACCAATCGTTATAGCTACACATAAATACATGTTCACAATTTATGAACCATCCGCACCGTATTAAGATACATGTATGCTTTAACAAATTACATTTATATTTTACATACATTCCATTTGTTTGAGAGAGAACTAATAAAGATATGGTTACATTTAACATAAGTTCCACCTGTTTTGGAGAGAGTTTATAAATATATAGTCACATTACCATATATTAAACTTGTTCTGGAGAAAGCAAAAATGATGTGGTAAAATTGAACATACACACTATATTGAATGTATACACAATAAGAAGATAAGGCAAGGTTTGATATGTATTACCATTACTGAATATACACCAGGTGCTCATTTACACAATATACAAAAGGGGTATTGATCCTGCTGGATAAAGTAGCATACATACTATGTACAAGAGAGCGTGTTTAACAATATTGTAACAACTGCCATTTGGTACCTTAGCTCCAAGATTTTCGCCCTAGCCAAATCGCCAGGATGTAGCTACCTTTTTATCAGGACGACAAAACAGTAACATCAATCCTACACCTCACTTACGTCAGTGGAAATGAGCCGTCTGCTGTACATGAGAGATTGACGCTTGATGTGTAGAACGTGTAGTAGACCTCGCGAAAAGACTGGGAAAGAATAACTGGTGGCCCCTCCCGAGCTGTGAACAAAATCGTGAATTATTATGGATATTAAGGAATAACCGGGATATATTTAGGATTATGTTGTATATACCGAAAAATCCGTGTGCTATTTTGTTCATAAACCGTTACGCGGACTTCTGCAAAGTGCACACAGGTTTTTCAGTACATACCGTATAATCTAAAAACAAATTAATTTAGCAGACACACAACATTTCATTAGTCGATAGCAAAAGAAAACTCGTTTATTAAAAAGTAAATCATTTTGCACAAAACACAACAATGCGCAGTTATTTCATGGCGAAGCAACTACAACTAAACGACATCATGACTTTTTTTGTTTTCCGTGATTTAGGTTATCGTATAACCTGAAAAACAGTAACAATGAGGGGGAAACAAAATTGTATTATAATATTAAGGTGAGCATTTTTATAAACTATTGGTAATATGAATTAATGACCATCAAAAAATAGCAAGTAGAAAATTTCATAAATATCAAACATATTTAAAGGTAATAAATAAATCTATAGCAGAACAATTGACTTATTTTTTTTCTATCATATATCATTTTGTTTCAAACGGAAGGAAACTTTGACAACGAACGCCCGTTAGATGTAATATCTCATTTTAAAAAACAGCACAATTCTACAGTAACACCAAAGTATGAAATAATATCACAGAGCAAAAAACGTCACACAGTGAATAACACAACAATGTGATATTATATCACGAAGCAAAGAAAATCAGTCAGTAAAATAATACCACACAGTGAAATTTTATTAAAAGGTTAATTATAATACACATTGAGAAAATCATAGTATGTTTGTTCAATGTTAATTTTGAATTCTTGTAAAGGTTTTAACGTTCTTGCTACAGCCATTGCCATTTGAAGATGGGTGGCTAGGTATGGAAACCGCTGAAAAGAAATATTTCTTGCAAGGGATAAAAGATAAAATTTGGTTTAACATGAAAAAGTGAAATAATCGCACGCTGTTCCATTTTCCCTTTGTTGTGGGATTATGGAAGAAATGAGGCATTTTATTTAAGTTAATTGTTAAGGATATTTTATTATTAGAGTGTGTTTTTTCCCAAAATATATTATTTACGATCTGAAGGTCGTATTTTCTTTTGATATAATAGTACAATAAAAACACAATGTATTCCAATCTCCATCCTTCTTCGGTAAATATTTTGATTTTTATATGTGTATTGTGATTTGATAGCATACAGGGTATTGTTACCAAACAGTTACTTACCCTGTATGGTAGCAGTGTTTGTCCAAGTCAATAGCATGCAAAATAATATGCGGGTCACATCCATGACGAGTCACTGTAATATGACAGACTTGAATTAAAACTTGTTTTTATAAAATATTTTCTAAATGATGGAATACACAAATACTTTAATGGACTCTGATGAAATACACAGATACTTCAATGGAATCTGATGGAATACACAGATACTTTAAAATGGAGTCTGATGAAATACACAGATACTTTAATGGAATCTGATGGAATACACAGATACTTTAATGGAATCTGATGGAATACACAGATACTTAAATGGAATCTGATGGAATACACAGATACTTTAATGGAATCTGATGGAATACACAGATACTTTAATGGAATCTGATGGAATACACAGATACTTTAATGGAATCTGATGAAATACAAAGAAACTTTAATGGAATCTGATGGAATACACAGATTCTTTAATATCGATATTGAAGTTAACATAAAGCAATGGTAGATCATAATTGGAACGGAAAAACACTAGAAAGAAAGTAACACATTGTCGACGCACAAGGAAATATTACTTAATAATGATACAAGAAGACAACACCTTGCCAATCAAGGAGACAAAACAAGATATATATCACTATGAATGATGAATAAATGAATGAATGGATTAATTAATTAATGAACGGAGGAGTCGCATGGTCCGACAGAAAGGTAAGGTTTGAATCAGGAGTATGTATTGGTGACGTTGATAACTGCAAATTTAATATTATTATATGGTTATATCATAAATCTTTTTTTTATATGCGGGATCACAACGTAGGTTCGCAAACACCTTAATACGCACGTCAACTTGATTTGTGTCCAAATATAAAATGGCGTCAAATAGATATTAGCTGTTATTTCACATGTGTGTGCGTTTGCATGTATATGTGTGAGAGATAGACGTAACACACACACACCCACACATACACATACACAGGTGAAAGCACCTTTAGAATTTGGTAATAGATACAAAAGCCAAACTTTAATTACATTACATTATACAGCTGTTTCCTCCTTCTAGGGCTATGTTGATGCTAGAACCAAAAAGTTTTAAATCCAAATTGGTCAAATTCATTGCTGAATCAGAAGGAAGGGGAGCGTAAACCCCTTAATTGATGAATTTCAAAATATAAACGATCTCTGTTTAATTTTAAATTAATAAGTAAAGAGACACGTGTCGCTACCTAAAAGAAGAGATTATTGTGGCTATCAATGTTACGGTTACTGCAGAGTGTACGACCTCATGTCTTGAAAAAATGAACTTAACACAAACTGATGATTGTACCTTTAAAGTTTGATGATTATAGATACATTATCGTCTTTATATATGACGGCAATGACGTGTACACATTAGCGTGTGTCATGACAGTTCTGCAGTCACAGTGAACGGTTCCATTACAATATATACTTTACCTTGTAGTCTATTTTCGTCTTGTTTCGTGGTCATATCGTTAGTGGTGATAATACCCGAGTTGTCGCCCATTTACATGGTTATATAAATCAGAGTGTCAAAAGTGCAAATAATTAGGGATACCTGATCGTTTCTGTATTTCTCAATTGTATAGATTTAATGGACAGTAATAAAAGGAGTACCTTGAATCGTATACCTCTCGAATGAACGCTAAAATACAATGGAAGGTAAGGTTACTTTACTTCGAGGTATAACCGGCATATAACACAAAAGCTCTATTCTTCGTTGTAACTACCCGGACAGGGTTCATGTTGAATTGACAGTGGTGAGACTATAGTTATAGTCATGTACTATGTGTATCAAGATGTGAAACTAGGTCAGATCTACTTGTACTATTTTTGTCTGACAATACACAAAAGCTAAAGTCTCGACATCATACATTAACTCATCGGACTTGCAACACATGCATTTGGCATTCTTTAACGATCTGTTGAATATTTTGAAAGATTCTTAACAGAGAACCCGGCTTAATAATTTATCTCAAAAATCGAATTTTTCCTGATAAAAAACAATTGTTACGGCAAAAACACAGCAACACGCCCTTCATTAAACCAAGATTTAAACTATTTATCGAGGTATGTGCGGCCATGTTGGTATTGTATTATGTATTCTAAATACATCATGTTTTGTTTTATTTTTTAGACAACGTCAGGCTCATTAACTTTATTGAAAATGCATCGTAAAGTCGAAATAGCAACCGGTGCAATGTGTCTATGTAAGACCTTTATCGTATTGGGGATAATTACAAATGAAAGGATGTTTGATACATCATCTCATTTTATCTTACCTTGGTTTTCGGTGGATGTTGTTTTAGTTCTCCATGTTTTCATCTGTTATCACGACAGGAGCAATGGTACATTGTAACTGAAGTTATCCTTCAGTTACTACACTTTTGTGAGGTTCCACACGACCGATACAAAAGAATTGTGCTCAAACATACAATGTTACAACGCAACGGGGAGGAGTGGGACATCGATCAGTCTCGTGTTTCCATAAGCCTATTTAGGTTACCTACAAACCAAATGTGATGTTACCATTAAAGAAAACATTGAAATACACGCACGTAATGTCAACCTTTACTGAAAACAAGACTATAGCTCTATAAATATACATATAGATGTTAATTAATGAAAACAAACTTTATAAACATAATTAGAGGAAAGAAATAAGTAAGGTAACAAAGCTTTAACATAACGTGAGCTCGCTATAGATGAGGGCTCGATGTAAAGGGAGAATCAACCAAGCATATCATATTGATATTGCACAGCAATAATTAGGTAAACATAGCAACTAGGCTTATCTAATCACGTTTGAAATAATTTGAAGGAAAATACCACAAAATAATTTCTAACGATAAAGTACAAAAACATCGGCCATGGTTTATACATTTATAAATGCAACATTACCCATTTGAGTAGCTTTCGGGGCTTTGTGTAGCATTTCGATTTATTCACTAGATACTCTTATTTCGCCTTAGAAATATGTACGCCTCTCTGAAACCACACGTCTCTACCGCCTGAATCCTCCAGCTAGGACTGTATTTTATTAAGACTTGGACCTTCCATATTTAAAGGTCGAAATGAATTAGTCCTTCTGTATCCATACACAAATATACTTTAAATACATGTATAAGTGTGTTTCTCTCTATATATATTTACAGCTTGACCTCTTTACATTTATTTACAGCTTACCATCTCTACCTTTATTTACAGCTTGACCTCTCTACATTTATTTACAGCTTGACCCCTCTCTACATTTATTTACAGCTTGAGCTTTATTTAATAACAGCTTGGCCTGCGTGAACTTGTTTACAGCTTGGCATTCCTTATCTATTCACAGCTTGGCCACTTTATATTCTTTTTCAACTTGATTTCTCTATAAAAAAAATCAAACTTGAATTAATTTTTTTACATCTGGGATTACATTAACACATGCACATATTTGAGTTCCAAGGTTTTTTTACGGGTTGGATGACTATATATTAACAGCTGTATATTTATTTACAGCTTTGCTCTCGGTTATTTACAGCTTTTTACATGTTTATCAATAAACCGCCTGTAGTCTGCATAATTCTTATTGCCTGAACTGGTATTGTTAATTTACAACTTTGATTTTCTATATTCATGAATAGGTTTGACTTTCTAAGTTTATAAACACTATGCACCCTTTAAACTTCTTTACAGATTTGATGTGCTCTATATATTTACTGTTTTATATGTTTATTAACCGTTTTGTATGATTATTTGCCGTTTGGTATGACTATTTAAAGTTTCATATGATTTTTACCGTTTTAGATGATTATTTACCACTGGTATGTATATTTACCGTTTGGTTTATTATTGTACAGTTTGAAATGCTTATTTATAAATGTGGTATGATTTTTTGCCGTTTGGAATTATTATTTACCGTTTGGTAAACTTATTTTACCTTTTGGTATGTTCATTTTCCGTTGGTATAATTATTTCTCAAACCATAATAGTTTGGTATGGTTATTAACAGTTTGGTATGACTATTTACCGTTTTATATGATTTATTTACCATCTTTTAATACCGTTTTATATGATCATTTTCAGCTAGGAACCTCTTTCAACTGCTTTCTGACATACAATGTCAGCAGCAGGAACATCTTGCTTCTAAACTTTGGCAATGTAGCCAAGTAAATCATATACGATAGTATATAATTTACTTGGCTATATAGTAAGCATATACTTTTGTGTGATTTTCACGCGATAGAAGTGAAAGAAGGCAAACCTATAACACATATTGTAGCTTCAGTCCTATGTAAAAGTACATTCATTGTGGGTTATAGATAAAGGTGTACCGAACAAACATTTGAACCAATTCAAACAGCTATTAAACCAAGCGTATACTATGGTGTGTATTGGTTGTCATAAATAGCATTTGGTGGGTTTTCCTCCTTCCACCTCTGTTGCGTATAACACTTCCTGTTTGCCTTTGGTGTGAAGTTGTAATGACCAAACTAAGGAAGAGATTCAATAAGGTAATGTAATTATCATTTATTGTAAATATATAGTTCCTACACTGTAATTGTTGATAATACTTATAGAACTCTGTTCATGTAGAACTTATATAACTGTGTTGTTGGTAATACATGATGAACTGTGTTGTTGATACTACTTGTAAAACTGTGTTGTTAATAAAACTTGTCAAACTGTGTTGTGATAATACTTGTAGAACTGTGTTAGGATAATACGTGTTGAACTGTGTTGTTGCTACTACTTGTAAAATTGTGTTGTTTATAAAACTTGTCAAACTGTGTTGTTAATAATGCTCGTAAAACTGTGTTGTGATAATACGTGTTAAACTGTGTTGTTGATAAAACTTGTCGAACTGTGTTATTAATAATGCTTGTAAAACTGTGTTGTGATAATATTTGTAAAACTGTGTTGTGATAATATTAGTTACACGGATTTTTGGCAGGGTATACAGGATGGTATGACCCTAAAGGGTTTCGTATTTCCTGAGGCCGATAGGCCGAAGGAAATACGAAATCCTGTAGGGTCATACCATCCCGTATACCCTGCCAAAAATCCGTGTAACGAATTTATTACCCCTTTGAGTCTTTTATAATAAAAACAAAGAAAGGCACAGTACCTCATTTAGTTTCGTTTTATCAAATTCCTCGAACTGTTCTTCCTGTTTCTTTTCTTTTAAATACGTCTTTAGCATGTTTGCCGCTCGTCTGTTCGACTTTTGTGTGTTATGTGGCACATAGTTAGGCCTTTTGGCGAGTATTTCCTCATCAGTATGCGAAGCGAAACGTTTTGCCATTTTGTTAACACGAAGCAGACGACGAATGCGAGTTGTCTCCCGAAGCCCGGTCGCAAGATTCAAAGACATGTGACCCGTATACCCCTTGTAAAATCACGTGATTCCACCGTATTACTGCTGAGAATCACGTGACATGACCGTATACCCCCTGATATTTTCGTATACCCCCTGAGATTTACGAATGCGGTTTGGTACACTGTAGTTTTTAACCAATCAGATTCCTAGATTTTTCTCAAAGGGGTAATAATACTTGTACAACTGTGTTGTTGATAATACTTGTAGAACTGTGTTGTGATAATACTTGCATAACTGTGTTGGGATAATACTTATAGAACTGTGGTAGTTCTACCTACAGAATTGTGTTTGCCGATAAAACTTACAAAATTGTATTGTTGAGTATAATTTTAGAAGTGTGTCGTGTGCGTAGCCTATTTATCAAACCGTGTTTTCTAAAACTTATGATTATGACACAATGTGTCTGTTTATTTTGTAAATGTGATTATCTTTGAAACATCCCAATAATCATTACTGGTATGCCATTTGCAGGATAACGTCGTGTTAAATCACCTTATAAAGTCGACATGGATGTTGTGTGTTTCTCCTTTGACTGTACCTTTAATGTCGATGGAAGTTCGAACTGTAGTACTACCGACCCAAAGTATTTGAAAACAACGAAATCAACGACATCTACACCAACTACCCAGCCTACTCCATTACCAACACGTCAAACATCACACCCGGTTGTTACTTCACAGAAACCTTCGGTTGTCACTTCACAGAAACCTTCGGTTGTCACTTCACAGAAACCTTCGGTTGTAATTACATCAGTACCAAAACCATCTCCTGGTAAACCATCTTCGACGCCATTATCTACAGGGAGACCCCCTTCGTCACACACATCTTCTCCGAAACCCACAGTGGCTACTACTGTGATCATTACAACCACTGCCAACAACAGTCGACTGCCAGATCCTCCACTGCCTCACAAAGGGACGTCACATCTGCCAGGTGACTCTGCTGGTGGAAAGTCAATCTACATACCGTGTTTGGTGGTGGGTTGTGTAGTAGTCTTCCTCTTCGTCAGTATTGGTGTTATACGTCGGCATAGAAACCGCAGGCGAAGGTAAGTAAGCCTACATAACTACATAACTAGTACCAACTAGTATGGTACTTTGACTTTATAAGCATACTTATAAAAAAAAAATATCATCAGAATTAATATCAATCATAAATGAATAACGGAAATATGTGTATGAACTATAATCAGATTTGCAAATTAATAACATTCCCCTGTCACCAAACGACTAAACCCTGGTGACTCATGGTTGATATACGAATTGAACACTCAAAGTTGAAAATACTTGTTTTTTATTATCTATATGATTTTTTTTTTTTATCTTAGATGGTATTTCTATTTATTTATAAACCATTTTACCGATTAACATAAGAAAAAGTTGGGGAAGTTATGAGAACTTGTCGTCCTTGATCAGATCCCCCTGAACTTGGTATGGAATACTGCAGCTGAATATGGGATGTCCTACATTTATAATCTTCCTTATAATGGACACTATGATAGGCTTGTATTGGACCATATTACTGGCTTGTATTGGACCATATTACTGGCTTGTATTGGACCATATTACCGGGTTGTATTGGACCATATTACCGGCTTGTATTGGACCATGTTACCAGCCTGTATTGGACCATGTTTCCGGCTTGTATCGGACCATATTACCGGGTTGTATTGGACCATATTACTGGCTTGTATTGGACCATATTACCGGCTTGTATTGGACCATATTACTGGCTTGTATTGGCTCATATTACGGCTTGTATTGGACCATATTGCCGGGTTGTATTGGACCATATAACCGGGTTGTATTGGACCATATTACCGGCTTGTATTGGACCATGTTACCGGCTTGTATTGGACCCTGTTTCCGGGTTGTATTTGACCATATTACCGGGTTGTATTAGACCATATTACCGGCTTGTATTGTCAACTCATGTATGATGTCATGTGTTTTATAACTGATAAATGCATATCATAACCTTCTTTAGGTTGTTTGATTGTTTGATTGATTGAATTTATTTCAAAATAAAAAAACCCGTTCTTGTTTCTTTGTAACAGTTCGGAGGACACACAACCATTACTTTCTGAAGCTGAAAGGGACCTTATTCTTGAAGATGCTTCATTCCAATTTAACGTACAGGTACGTAACATGTGCTTTCAGTAGACATGAAAACGGAATTCTTATATAATTGTATTCGTTATAGATACACGCATTCGTTTAATAGGATAGAAAATAATTCAACACTAGTATAACGTCCGATTATCCCTCACTTTTTATTTAATTTTCCATGATATATCATGACCATACATATTATGTTCGTTTGACTTATTTTCGATAAGTTATCTGATAATTTGTTGATTGATGGTAACCTGCTCAATAAATTTTACCTTCCACAATTATCATACAAAAACCCACTAGTTCTTCTTTATCATTTAATTTTTATATTTGTAGACGAGATATGTCCAACCCATTACAGGACACGATGACCAAAGATTTTCAATCGACGATAGCAGTGTCACAGAAGACAATGACTCAGAACGTCTTGGTCTGCAAGGTTCGAACGATAGTGATGATTTGAAAACATCACCAAGAGTTGATGTCGATGAAGTCAAATTTAATGCAAGCACTGTCCGTCAAAAACAACGAAAACATGGTGGCAATAACTCAGGGCTTGTTTGAAATACTCAGACGATTATGTAGTACAGAAGTTGGCTCGCAAAGAGATGGTAATATAATCAGATCAGGACTCGTGAGCTTGATGTTTGTTTCTGATGGGAAATATAGCCGATGCTAACTACTTGATGGAATCGTTTTATGGATCTTGCTACGTTTGTCTGGGACGAAACCTGTGTACATTTGCTAGATATAATGTGTTTATCCCATTGCAAATTAGAACACGTTCTCACACCATTGAATTGAAGTTTGTACATTATGTATTTTGATTTTCTTTTATTAAAAATATTTGACTTAATAGGTTGGTGAAGACTACGTTATGGTCGTCATTATTAACTCCAAATACTAACCAAGTGCTTCTGTTCTGTTATTGATGCAACTAATTTTACATTTGTAAGGTTTTTTTATCAAAGAAATATTTATTAATTAAAGTATTATAACTGAATGCATGTCTTTTCGTTAATTTACGTGAACGCATCAATATCATATTGTTGCATATCGCTCCATATCAAATATCATCCATAGAGACAATTTAACAAGGACACAAGACATGAAGTCATATTCTTTAAGATGATTCAAAATATTTTGACTTTCTAAATGTCATACTAGATGCAATAAACAAGAAAACTGTATTTGTTGTCGTATATTTATTACATGAAACATTAGCTGCGAAGAGCTATTCTTACGACAGAACATGTGAAAAGAAGTACAGGGGGCAAATATTTAACAAAACATGCAATAAGAAACAAGACGTACATCAAATTTGAAACAAACAGTATATATATCCAAAGCTAGAAAAATGCAGGAAAAATAGCATGCTAATAAAAGTTGAAAAAAATGAATTAGATAACAAAAAATCAATCAAATAAAAAACAACACTGAACTTTAACCAGATATTTGTTAAAATCATTTACGTATTTACACTACTGTATAACGTGAAATGTTCGTTGTGTATAAACATTCGTTGTTTTCGTGGTTGCTATTGAACCACGAAAACAAATACAACGAATTTGAAAGATGTACGTGCCTACTGTTTGAAAACGTAATATATCCACGAACGTTTGTACCACGAAACTAACTAAATGGCTTCAAATTACGAAGAAAAGTACCCACGAACATTTCGTGTTATACAGTGTGAGGTAATGTTTGATCAAAATGAGGATAATAATAAAAAATCAAAGTACATATAAAATATTTCATAGACATGATGTCGAGATAGACATACATGTCATGATTAGAAAGTATGTTAAAGTTTCGAGATCAAACATGACGTCTGCCGTTTAAATAGCATGACAATTGTCTTCATTGTATGATAATGATTGAGCGACAATACATTTAGTATTCACATCTCCTTCACAGTCAAAGTTACTTTTATACAAATGATCAGTATTCAAATATGTTAATTATTGTTACAACATTATAGACTTAACCTTTCTGTATTTCAATCCGTAAGCTATAATTTAAGAAACAAACAGCACATGTGCGTTTCTTACGGTTGTTTTTATAATGAGTTTAAGACAATGCTGAAAAAATAATTAACGAAGGCCGTTCTGATCTACTTCAATGCAATAATTCGACTTAAAAAGGAAATGCAGCCGAACGTATACTGTGTCAGCAACGGCTAGTAGAAAGACCGAAATCCTAAAACTTTCACTTTGACATTTTTGCTAAAATAACTGTACAATTCATCACTTTCTTCTAATTCTGTGGAACACGTTACCTTAATTTGTTTGTTGAAACTATTACATTACCCAAAATGTGGAAAACACATTAGACGAGATTCTCTTGGTTAATCCATTATTATGACTTCATCACATTGTGACTACATTATGGTACAATGTACTATGAGCTTTTTTAGAAAGTCACACCAGTAACTTCTGGTATAGTAATATCAATATAACAAGTAGACTGACAACACACACCTAAGGTATCAGTATAATCATAGAGTTGATGCCATACTAAACTACGTAACTGTGCATATGGACGTTATAATGAATTTATTGAGGAATATATTTCTCCAACAACCACTGTAGGTTTTCTCACTCATGACTCATTGAATAAACCTGCTAGTAGTTGGTAAACATTTTTAGTTTCGCATTAGTGGGTAACACCCTGGACGTGATTCCATTGATCAATCTTTGATTGGTGACGTCACGAAACAATGCTTTTTTACGTAATTTTCTATTGTGACGTCATGCTCCATGGTAATTGTCTCCTCATAGAACACACAAGGGAAACATGTGGTTTTTAATATAAAATAGGAACATTTTAGGAGAAACAGGTCCCCAAATTCGTGATGATTATTATCACGTTTATCTAACTCTCGTTTGGTTAGTTAATTTTCAAATTGTTAAAGACACTCGGTAAACCTCGTGTCTTTATACAATTTGAAGATTAACTAACCCGAGTTAGATTAATATGATAACCAACCATCACTCGTTGGGGAACCTCTATTTATACAGGTGTACCGAGCTTACTTTTAAAGCTGTTAAAACAGTTATAAAACCCATGAAGAATTGGACCGTATTGAATAGTGTGTATCGGATGTTATTAATAGTACTTGGAAGTCTTCCAATTGAGTTTCGTCCTCAACTTCCTGGTAGCCGCCTTAGTGGAGTTTTATACCCCTAGCCAACAACGTCAGTCCACAAGGTAATGTTAATTACATCTATTGTTTTGGTCTTAGTTTTTTTAACATCAATATAGAAACATGTTTTTAATGATAACAGAGACATGTTGTTAATAATCCGTAAAGAAATCAGTTGTTGAGAATACTTATATAACTGTGATGCTTAGAATACCTATATACTGTGTTGTTTAGAATACCTATTGACTGTGATGTTTAGAATACATGTAGACCGTGTTGTTGAGAATTCTTCTATTACTGTGTGTTTAGAAAACCTATAGACTGTGTTGTTGACACTATCTATAGACTATGTCTTTTTATTTAGAATACATACATAACTATGTTGTTTAGAATACATACCGAATGTGTTGTTGAGAATATCAATAAACTGTAGTGTCGAGAATACCTACTGACTTTGTTGTTGAGAAAACTTATATAACTGTGTTGTTTAGTATAACTATAGACTGTGGTGTTGATACTACATATAAAACTGTGTTGTTGAGAATACCTATAGACTTTGTTTTTGAGAATATGTATACAATTGTAAATTTAGACAAGTTATAGACCAGTGATATCTAGAATAATGTGTCTGTTTATTTTGGAAATGTTAATATTTTTGAAATATTTATTACTGGTATGTCATTAACAGGGTAACACCGTGTTAAATCATTTATTAAGTCAACATGGATGTTTTGTGCTTCTCCTTTGACTGTACTTTCAATGACGAAGGCAGCTCGAACTGTAGTACTACCGACCCAAAGTACTCGAAAACGACGACACCTACACCAACTACCCAGCTTGCGCCATTATCGACATCACATCGCACAGCAACGGCTTTGACATCTATATCTACACCAATTACACCTGAACCAAAACCATCTCCAGGTAGATCATCTACGACGACAGTACCTACAGAGATACCAACTTTGGCAAACCCATCTTCTCAGAAACCTACAGTTGTGACTACACCAAAAAGTTCTATATCAACTTTGACCACTGGGACCTTACCACATACAGTAACGACTAGTGTGAGCGTTACAACCACTGCCAACAACAGTCGACTGCCAGATCCTCCAATGCCTCACAAAGGGACGTCACATCTGCCAGGTGACTCTGCTGGTGGAAAGTCAATCTACATACCGTGTTCGGTTGTGGGTTGTGTAATAGTCCTCCTCTTCGTCAGTATTAGTGTTATACGTCGGCATAGAAACCGCAGGCGAAGGTATGTAAGCTTAAATAAATTACCATTATTAAATAGTATTGTACCTTGGATGTATAAACTGGCTTGAATGAGAAAAGACTAAAGTATATGCTAACTCAATTCTTAAAATTCAATAGTTATTGAAACTAATTTATGACCGCAATTGTATAAAGTATAATGAAGGTCACTCAGTGCCCCATCAAATGTCTTATATTAAAAATATAATTCAGCTGTAAACATAACGACTATACCGTGGCGGTTTCTACATATCACTGACTCGCTGATATATAGTTTTTCTTCAAACTTCAAAAATGATTTTTCTATTTTATTTTTATTAAAATAATGGCCTTTTTCGTTTGGAGGGTATTTTACCAACGAACATCAGTAATGTTAACATGTCAACATGTACTCCCTGATAATATCTCTTAGATTGTGTTGCAGCATTAACGAATTTGGTGATTTATTACCATATATAAAACAGGACTGATTAAGTAGTTCCCTCTCCACTCGCTTTTGTTCCGCGACATGTTTGTTAACATCACTTTTATTACTTTTCACATGACGTTTCACTGACATTTTACCTATATGTAATCCTCGTACTTTGGTATGACAAATTAAGATAAAAAAATGCATTAATTGTTTTGTATACATGATAAATTGGCTTGAGGGAATAAAGGTGATTTTTTTGGTCAAATTTAAGATTTTAAGACAAGTTCATAAAACAATTTATTGCAGGGTTCGATTTTTGGGGGAAATTATTCTGTTCTATATTTATACCGCCCTTTTTATATGTCTTCTATATGACAAAACACTTGTTTACAGAATTATGTTACCCGAAACTTTAAGAAACATGTATATGTCCTGCTTTAGATATTACACCTCATATACAATTCTTCTATGAAAAACCTACTTATAGTTGATTTATATTTATATGATACTTATACAATTTCATTATTGTGAAATTTATCTCACTGATTTCCATGTCCATGATCAACTCTGATTATCATGTAATAAATATGTAGGATTTTATGCGGTTTAATTATGATATCTAGTTATATGAATATAATTTCGTACTTATGATTGATTGATCGATTTATTGATTGATTGAGAATTTTTTTTAATGCACTTGTGTCTTTGTTAACAGTTCGGAGGAGAGACAGCATTTGCATCCTGATAGTGGCATCAGTTTTGACGTTCATCCGTTCGAAATTATCGACACACAGGTACATAACATATACTTTCAGTTGTAGATCTAGAAGGATAAACAATGATATTATTTATCGTAAATACACTCAGTAGTTTAATAGGAGAAACATAACCTTTCAATGATTTTGACAATAATATTTCATTTCATTAGCATTTGATTAATAAAAATCAGGTGGAATTAGAAAAAAAATATATAAATCCTTTCTTCATTAACATGCATCTTTTTGAACCATGTGTTGTAGGTTTGTTTATCAGCAGTCGCTACCTCTCAAGGCAATACTGATATTCGGAGCAGGCTATTGAATACCAAATCATCATTATATATTATTGATTGACCACTATATATTGTCTGCTGTTATCTTACTGTTATTATCTGTTGATAGAGTTTGTTATATTGTCGATAGAGTTATCAACTGGCTCAAATCACTCATGATTCTAGTGTCCGTCATAATATACAGACATGTAATGACAGAATATCTTATATTTTGTGTTGATTGATTATAATCCGCTCATAGGAACTGTTTCTCTCTCAATCATCTTTCACAGGTCATATTACGAACACATTTGTGTTATTTTTTTGTTCTAAACATGTAAATTTTATGTTTGCAGAGGGTTCAACCAGCTACATTAACAGCTAATGGTGACCCCATGTTTTCGGACGTCCCCTTAGATGACGATATCAGCGACACGGAAGGAAATGAAGTTGAACGTATTGACCTGATTCACCTTAGTTCGGGTGAGAGTGATGACTTGGAAACATCACCAAGAGTTAATTTCGATGAAGTCATATTTGATGCAAGCACTGTCCGTCAAAAACATCATAACCATGGTGTCAATAACTCAGGAGTTGTTTGAAATATTCAGCCGATTTCTTTAGTACAAAAATGGCCCTCAAATGGATGCTAACAACATTCATGTAAAAGACTTGGTTTTTGACATAGTCATTTGTCTCTGATGGAAAATAGGCTTTGCTATTTCCTTTGTTGAGGGAATCTGTATATCCGTCTAATAAAAGATAAGTCACACAATGTTTCCCTTGAACGATGATATCTACGTACACTGGTCAAACATAATGTAAGTCGTCACATTGCAAAATAAAATATAATATATTTTTGGTTAATCGCTCAGACATCAAATACAGATACACGCCACTCTGTTATAAACGCACGTGCTACGATATATTCCTCAAAGATTGACGTAACAATTCATTATGGCGCTTTTGAGATTCGTCTCTCACACAATTCATTTGAAGTTTGTATTTTACTGACATCGTGCTTATTGTGTGTCTTGTGGTATCGTTGTCCGTAACCTGATACTCATTTAGCATCTCAGGTGCCAATATTTTCCCTGGATAACATACAAACGCGTTGCATATACATTTATATTGTGCCACTTAAAACGTAATAGAAATACATAGGTTCCCACACACCTATATTATGCAATGTAATCTAGATATATAAATAATTTTCACATGCTGTCTTTCAAATGTGTATATACAGACGTATAAAGCATTATGCTAAGTGGCATATGTGCGGGAATCGGATACTAGTTAACTTTGTTCGTATAAGAGTGGCTTGATGTCTTTCTTTATTTCTTCAAATATCTTAACTTCCTGTTGATAATTCCTTAAGGAAATCGTCTTATGCTAGCTATACAAAAAAGGTAATATTTCCCGTTAACATGAATAGATCTTTAAACTTCAAGTTTTATTTATTGTTAATTCATGTTTGAATCATGAAATACGTTAAACAGCAAAGGTACATACCGGCTATTATGGTGACGATGTATCGAATGTAACATAATGCACAAAATCACAGGTATATCGATAGCATAATTTAAATTGCTGTGATGTTATTCATCAGTACAAATAGGTACAGCTTAATCTAAATATGAAAAGGACAATGAATTGGTATAGATTTCCTCTGAAATTAGGTTTAACTAGCATATGTCATATTCAATCTGATTATGTTAATGTTCAATACAACATATCGTATAAGGCAATGTTATATGTACATACAATTTGAATAGTTTTAACAGGAAACTATGCATAGAATCAGCTGAGCTATATCATAAGCAGGGGAGATAGGTAGAACGCTGTCGAGTGAAATAAAGTTAAAAATGATGAAATTAAATTGTCTTACAGTTAAACAAATATTGACAAGTTGGAAATGGTCCAGCGAAGGGCAGCGCGCAATGTGCTCAATAAGCACTGGTACAACCATCGTACCTCCAGTGTGCCAGAAATGTTGGACCACCTAAAGCTGCGCCCTCTAGCAGATAGACGTAGAGATGCTCGTCTGACCATGCTTCATAACATTGTAAACCAGAGAGTCGCTATTGTAAAATCAGACAGATTAATCCCTACAGTTAGAAAATCCCGAACAAACCACCAGTTTTCGTATCAAATTCCCCACTCAAAAACCCAGACCAGAAAGGCATCATTCTTCCCTCGAACTATACCCGAGTGGAATAAACTTCCACCTGACATTATTTCGAGCCCCACAACGGAACTATTCAAATCAGCCCTCTACCGTCACCTTTCAAACGCAAATTAGACCATCTCGTATCTTTCAAAAGCAATCTCTTTCCATGTTTCACTCCTCGTCTGACATTTTATCTTCAAATTGTTGAAGATGGTCAGTACCATTTAGAAATAGAAGTAGAAGTTTTGGAATGTGGTAGCCAATATTGTCATATGAAGATATGAAGCTAAATAAGCTATGGTACGGGAAAAGGCAGTTTATATTTAAAACATCTTCGGAAGTAAACCCCGTGTGTAGATATAGTCGTGATGTTGATGTGACATAACAAATAAAACCGATTGCATAATCACCTGAAGAAACTGTAATCACGGAAAAGACTGGGTTTATATTTCACCTTACAGCGGTAGTTGTGTGTTATATAGCATACCGGTTGACTATTTTAGTACTTTGTAAGGTTAATTTACCTGTGTATAAGTTTGTGACGTAGGGGATTATCATGGGGGACTCTGTATGTTGTATTGCATTGATGTTTGACGTTATACAAATTCATTTAAAGTGTAATTTGTAGTGATGTAAGTTTGTTTATAAATACAGATCAATGATAACATACGAGAATTATATTTCATTGTAAAAAGATCAGACTGTAAAATGTTAACAAGCAATTGTACAATGGTTTATACCTTGAATGATCGTGTCTGACCGAATCAACACGACCTGTTTAACAAAATAAAAATTTAGATCAAACATATGTAGTTTTTGATTTCATAAACATGATATTGACTCATAGACCGTGAAAAAATGCATAAAGCCTAGCACACATTTACACAGACACTTCCCGATCTATTTATACACGTTTTGTCACGATTTGAAAGTTTGATGCTATTGCTAATACGTGTTGTTCGTGTTTGGTCTGACAGTCTTTCTGTTTGTTCTCTTGACATTCCAAGTGTATTTGATCAGAAGATATTGCAGTTGTACAAGGCATACATCTAATTGCTAAGTAGAAGCATTTAAAAACAGAAGACAGCTTACAGTGAGAACTAATGAAACGATAACATTCTAAGTTTACTCCCTGAACTTAAACTGGATCGGCACTCGTGACCTCGACTGAATACACACCACTAGCCAACGAGGATACTTCCGTATCATAACCATATACCCCTTCGACATCATATGAGATATAGGTACTCGGACGTTTATGTGATTTAATATCCACTAACTAGCTCATTCCAGGACGGTTTGTTTAATCTCTTCACGAGGATATACCTGAAGGATGTTCGACTGCAGAGACCGTGAGTAGATATTGTGTTCGGAAAATTTTGTGATTTATGTAGGGCAAACACCCAGACTGTATACAAGTTTGGGTATGGGGGGTTGGGTGGGGGTGGATATAAATCTTCCAGCCCAATTGTTTTATCTACGAACGATTTTCCCTTTTTAATGCACTTGATAAAATGTGTATTGGACTTTTTAGAAACTATAAATGACCTTCAAATCCCAGTAGACCGATGTGATACGCTTAAAAATCAGCATAACCAGTTTACTAGTAACTACATTTCTCCGTTATATAGTATGTGTTATGCAATACTGCGTTTGATTGACACACGTAGTCCAAGTTCAGAAATGAAAGACATTATACGTGGCATTTTGGGAAAATTCCCTCTTAAGTAGTACTAAATAGCACATTAATGTAACCCTATAAATGGTATTAATTTTGGAAAGCTGTTTTTGCCATTGTGATGACTTAATGGAAATGAGTTAGGAAAAACGTCAAAATCATTTATTTTTGCTATCAGTGGAAGAGATCTTTCACTGGTTTTGAAAGATTTAATTTGTTTTACTTTACAGAAGTCATATATATTAACTGGACTTATACGGGTCAAATTAAAATTTGGTTAAGTTCATGAAATGTTGTAATGGTATTAGTTCGATGATGTTCCATGGAAATTAATCAATCTAAATTATATTTTGTGAAATATTACTGAATTAACAAATTAAAAAAATATGCATTAAATAGAAATATATGCATACCTAAATACCACAATGTACTGAACTGGATTCTACATTAGGCTTACGCCACCTTTAATATTCAGATATCATGTCGTTTATCAGAACGACAGTGGAAATGTTTCATGACAATTACACATTAACTAATAAACCTGGAACGGAACTAATACATATATTATATTATTACAGATTCGCGCAAACGGTGTCCAAGAACGTCTACCAAACCAAGGTATCACTAACATCTTGCATATCGTTTAAAAAATATGTCCCATGTATATACAGGATTATAATTTAATACTGTTCTGTCTATAAAATATACCTATCGATAGTGCATGGTAAGTTAAACGTCTTAACTGTGTAACATTGTCACAATAACTTTTTATAAGGATCACCGTCAATTAAAATGTAAATGTAATTGATAAAGAACGAATTATCTCTAAATACAGCAATAGAACTATATTCATAAGTAAGTCTCGGGTGCATTCATCACAATTCGAGATAAGAATGATGATCTCATTCATTCTTATTCAATAAAATACACATCGGAGTCTGTTGTTTTCACCATCCATTGCTATTTAAAGGTTAGAATTGAAAATGAAAATACGTTTTCCTTTCTCTTTCTAGTTCTAATGAACAACAAACTACACCTCAGCCGAATGGTGTCAATGCAACAGTTATCGCCCTTGGTGTTGTAGCGGTCATTGGTATTCTGTTGTTAGCTGTCGTCCTCGGAATTATCATTTATCGACGTATGAGGTACAATGGATATTTAATGAACGCCAATATTTATTCACAAGTCAACCATCCGACGTGCTATTTTATTTATCTCTATATTTAAGCTGACAAACTATTATTCAAACACTTGTTAATAAGTTTAGAGTAATATCTAAAATTGTTGATCTTGATATATCAACATGTAAAAAAGATCGAATTAAATGCACGTATTACACTGAAGTCTGCATAAAGAATAGTTCACAATGCCGCTTCGAAATTCCATTCATATTTGTTCCCAGTTAATATAAATTATTCTGCCACTACAATTGATTTGCATTATAAAAAGCTAAGAAAACCTAGACGAATTCGGAAAAAAATGACCAATAGATCCTTTAAACATTGACTGGTCAGTATCGTAACTGGATAAGAAAATGGCTCGATTAATTGGGTTCGACATTGTATTGATGAAAACCTTGAATATTACTGTATACAATAAATGAAAAATTATAAATCTTCATTGTCTATTTACACAGAACACAGAAACCAAAGACGAACTTGGAGGTGAGTGTTGGGAATGTTAAAGTTATGTGAAATGGGATGTTCCTTTGTAAGTGCAGATATCGAAACTATAATAATAAAGATATATGACAGTAAACAGTTGTACACGCTTTTTGAAATATGGTTAGAGCGTAGCTGGTTTTTTTCCTTTATCATTTATTAAGAGTAAAAACAAAACAGTAATGATGACATTCGGGTAACCTATGAAAAACAACAAGAGATTACCGAAGTGTCAATGAAACCATAATTCGAACCTCAGGTCAAGTCCAAGTAATGTCACGTCCTCATATTGAGAACTTCGCTAGTGACAGAGAAACAACAAAACACACTAATAAGTATAATCAACCTTCATATCACACGAATAAAGAAACATTTACCCTGAAAGGACCAAGGATAATAAGACAATGTGTAACTGCTTCTAAATGCATATCCGTAAACCATAATATAAACAATAAGTAACATACTCTCATTCCTACAAACAAATCATGTCTTAAATAATAAATAAAAAATAAACAAGATTACTATCCGAATGTGCACTCAAATACACCTTACAAATGAATCTTTATTACATTTCCAGCCACCTGTACAAATCCAAAATCTCAGTGGAAGTTTGGAAAACAAATATTCCGATATGGATGAATTTAATTCTGGTAAGTGCATTGGGAACCACTCTGAAGTGGAGTATTCTTCATGTCAGGAAAATGATAACACTGACAACATTTACAATCGTATCGACGAAGGTAGTTCAGGAAGGCGCTGCGAATACGACAACGCCATCTTCATTGACAGACAGGTAGATACGGAGAGGAACGACCATACCCCTGGTGATGATACTGGTGATGATACATACAACACATTACACAACATGGCAGAGGATGAAAACACTGACGACTACGCTCACGCCAGAGTGGTCAACAGTCTACAAGAGAGTTCAATGGAGGAGGGTACACTGGGAGAGAACAACGATGACTATGATAGGTTGTCTCACAAACCTAACAACATAGGTGTGAACAGTTCTGAGAATGACTACGATCACATGGTCAAAGGTGAAGTACTTCCGTCTTACTTTTAATAACAGGATGCCTGAAAATATTAGAAAAAATGACACGGGTAGCCCCTGAGGAGAGATTGAAAACGCACTTGTGATACATAGGGGGTTATACATCTAGGACTAAAGAAGAATAAAGAAAGAAAATAGTTGTTTTAAGAGGGTGTAGGAAATTTCTATAGTACACCTCATTTTACCTGTCAACTTTCAAGCACAAAAAAGCTCTCAAAACCAACAGACAACAACATGAACGACTATGAAATGTAAATTCAATTGTTTTTACGTAGGAAGGAAAATAAAGTAACGTTTGGTGATGAGGTGACCATGATGCCCTTCTTAAGGTTAACGTCACCATGAAGAGCCGAAAAACAATCAGTTATGTATTCTATTTTAAGTGATGGAGTGCAGATTGCAATAGAAAGTAGAAATAAGACTTGTTTTTCCTTGCTTATGAAAAAGAATGATTAATGTGTATACTATAACCAATAAAATAAACATAATAATATGTACTATTACACTTCTGTCACATTATTCAATTTCATACTTATTTACCATATAACTGTACGTGTGTTAGATGTATGGTTGTACGTTGATTGCGTGATATCCAGTGAGTTCATCCCAACGGTGTTTATCATGTTGGAGTTATCACCCCTGATCCTTTAAAATAGTATTACTCTCTGTATATAATTTTTCATTTCAAAGTACCCTTAAATTACTATATCAATATTGAAACAACATTGTTAATATGTTAGATAGAGTTTAGAGCCACTCATGGAAATAATTTATATAGGTTTTTCTATTATTCAATCCATTTTACTATTACACCTGTCAATACAATTTGTTGATTTGAAAAAAAATATGTTTGACATACCTAACCGTATAATTTATGTAATCACACAGCCATCCTCCATTACCACTTATGTGAATGGTTATTTTTTATTTCCTACGTTTTGGCAAACTTCCTGAAAAAAAAACCCCAGGGAATAACTTACACATTTCACAAACATACCTTGAAATTGCACTTACTGCGTGTTACAAATTAACATAACTTTGAAGTATTTATAAACATTGAAGACCGTAATACGAGCATGAAATACCAGTTACAATTGTAACCAGCTGAATGTTTATTTCAGATAGCAATCTACGTATATAGAAACTTCCATCAGTAATGTTCAGTCAAGCACGTTCAGTTGAGATACATGTACATGTAACAGGGGTATTTATTTTACTCAGTGTAAATAGGATAAATGTCTAATGGTTTCCTGTAAAATACAATATATATTTCACGATTGCGAGCGCGAGTAAAATATCGGTATATTCGGCCGTACGAGTATCCGTAATGTTTTGGAGTTATATATACCATAGTATAACAGTTATTTTATACACATCAGTGTATATATTACAACTGATGCCGGTTTTTCCACAACTCATTTCACTGAGACAGTTATATCAGGATATTATTTAAGCAAAGCACATGCATATTACAACCATTTGCCTCTACAAATATTTTTAAATATGGTAGCTCCTGGATATTGAATATTATATTGTGTCAACTGGAATACCACCAGTCATCTGAACTCAGATTAATAGAAGGATCATCTAACAAGTTCACCAATCGCCTAAGTAGGCCTCAATAGGCAAGTTTATTTTATTTATTATCTAACGAAATTGATAATATCATATACGATACTAATACCATGGGAGATATGAGGATTAGCATTGAATCTCATAAACATATTATCTCTTGTGCCCTGGAATATATTTAAACATCTGGGAATTAAACTATACTGCAAATCATCTCATTTGTATTTACTATTTTATTATACAGATCTGATGTAATCGGTTAGAATGACACTGTGTGTAGTGACAGTGACTTTGGTGTGTCATATCTGATGTAATCGGTTAGAATGACACTGTGTAGTGACAGTGTCTTTGGTGTGTCATATCTGATGTAATCGGTTAGAATGACACTGTGTGTAGTGACAGTGACTTTGGTGTGCCTCTAACCAAACACTGGACCCGCTCTGTTAAAATATCTGTATACTAATACTTAATCTCTGTGTACGTGTATTCATATCTCAGCTGACTATTTATATTTTTCTGTATTTACATAAACATACATTCATACCTATCATTCTTTGCGATAAGTAGTTTTAAATGTCCATGTGACGGTAAAAATATAAACAAAGCAAAACACGAAGACTAGCATAATCAGCTAGCGCTTTCGCCCATCTTGGGACTCTTCAGGCGATTGTTTTTTTTTGTGACGTCATAAATGGAGTACACATACTTAAGACGTCAAAAATAATGACATCATAAACAAAGTACACATAATGCGGATGTCTAGAAATTGCGACGTTTTAAAAAGATTACATGAATGTACTTGCATTAAATGCGTCAATGAAATATATGGAAAAAGAAACGGAGCATATTACAAATGCTCAAATGAAAACATTGTTCAATAGTAAAAGTGAAAAAACATCTGATAGTAAAAATGAATTTCAAAGCACAATACTTAGTTCATCCGAACATATTAAACATACGGTATTTGTAAATTTAAAATTTATAAGAGGTGCTCGAAATTTCCCGCGTTCAAGCCCGGTTTTAGAATTTTAATAAACATGTTCTCTTTTAACTCTCTTGCAATAGTATCTGATGTGTTCATTTGGTCAATTGTGAAATTGATAATTTGTAACTCGTTTCACCATTTGTCAACTTTAAGTTTTTTTGCGACACATCTATTAAAAAAATTATTTTTGCTTCAATCTAAGTAAATGAGACACCATCACAGCAACTTTACTTGCATAAAATGTTGAAACATTTCAACTACCATTTTGTTTTAATTTCAGTGCAAACAAATATTCATAATTTCTCAACAGAATTAAGTATTTATTATAGAATAAAACGAAAGTGAATTATCACCTGTCACATAAAAAAAAGTATGAAACTGCGATAATATCAACTGTTGCTACAGAAATAAGGTTTTAACGTCATGATCAATCTCGGCAGGTCCATCAGGAGAATTCCGCCGAGTATCACGGTCAGAAACGTTACTCCTAGATACCCAACGTAAGCCGAGGAGGGACGAGGATCACTGGCACTTGTCCTCGCTCTTATCGTCGAGGATAACGTCTCTTCATTTACTTCGGTTTCCTTTTTTAGGTTGTCCAGTTTGGCCTGGAGTTCCTTAGTGATGTTGACGATAGGGTATATAACTTCAGTACGGCTGACATCACAATCACAAGGACATGTAGTGGTGTCTCCGGTGATGTCTGTTGTCCGCAAATTGATGGCATCAGCTGAGACATCTGTAGTGATTTCTGTTGTAGGAACACTTGTTGTGGTTTCTGTTATTTTAAAACACCAGAAAATATGTTATTCACCAAAAAAACATCGATTTATAAAGTTGCTGAAACTCAATAGAAACGATAATGTGAGATTAAAAAGCCAAATGGTTATATTTTAATATGTATCTTCGGATGAGTTTTGTATTTCATTCAAATTTTATTTTCTTCGGTCATATGTTAAATCGAACGAATACTGCACTTCATTGTTTACATTACTCATTCTACAATTTTTTAGTCTATATTTTCGAAAGAAATACAAAAAATTCAAGCACGCACGAAAAAAATTGTATCTTTTGTCGGATGAAGAATAAAGCTACATTCCTGGAATGTATTCCGTCTTTGCGTATTGCAGAGTTATCTTCTCTTGGGAGCAGGTATTGATAGGTACGTCACTTGTTTGTGAGAGAAACGTCATCAATGTTTGAGAAAACGACGTAATTTTCTCATACAGAACAATGACGTAACAATCAATACCTGCTCCCAAGAGAAGATAACTCTGCAATACGCAAAGATGGAATATGGGCTGGTCAGCCACCGTTACTTGTACCGAGTGACGCATAACAAGTCAATTAATTATCCTGTAGTGTCCTGTGTGAGTTTTATCATCATGGTTTGAAAGGTGATATTTTTGTCCATATAAAGCAGGCAATCTTAAATGAAATTCTGGTCTTAATGCTCTTTTTCAGTCTTTTAAAACAATTGAATCCATTCCAAATTCACAAAATGTTAATGAAAACACTACAAAGCAAGATTAATATTATATATATCTGCTCTGATGTAAATAAAAAATCCTTAGTCAATCTATCTTTATTCAAGTAACTAATAGTTAAAAATTCAGATACTATTATTTATCAACGTTCAAAAACAATAAAAATGTTTGACTTGAATCTCCATCTTTGAATATTAAAATGCTACGCTGTGTAAGGAATTTTTAAAAAGTAAATGGAATGCATCAACTATGCATTTGATATTTTATTCTATGTATGTACCTGGTATATAGGGTGTCGAACACAGTGCGTGCAACTCCACTGAGCAAAGACTATTATGGAATTTTCCTGTGTCAGTGAATATCGCCATGCATTCTTCATTGTTATTTGGCTGCTGGTGTTCAGTATCCCATTCTACCCAGGATTGTACGCTACCTGTTCCCTGTATTGTGATATCTCCTTGTGAAGTTATCGTGTATCCGACATATGCAAACATCCAACTTAAAGGAATGAGCAATTGGAATTACATATTTTATAATATGCAGTATAAACATACATGTATGCATTGTTATTCAAGTAAAAGATGATAATTTGCTTTCGGATCTTTTCGTTTCACTTAGAGATCTATTAAAGAGTTTTTGTCTCTGAAAAACAACAAATTTAATATGTTAAAGACAACACAGACTCCTCTTATCAATCTTCATACATGTACGTTCTTATGAATATTGAAATACGTCATACAAATGTGTTTAATAGATTATAAACTATACAATATTATAAGACTCCTTCATGCCCACGGGTGTACGATAGGGAAGTTCCACCAGAGGGATTTTCAAATTTGGTAAAACCCGAGGCTGTACCGAGGTTTTTTGTCAAATTTGATAATCCCGAGGGTGTAATTTCCCAATCCTACACCCTTGGGCATGAAAGAGTATTTTTCTCTCATTCCAATCACCAGAATAAGCTCAGAAACCATGAAAATGCGTATGGACTGGCCACTATTTTGAAAATATCAATTTTTCCCTAAAGCTTTTTAGACGAAAACGAATTAGCCAGCCATATTAAGCATACCCCATATTTGCAAATAGTGTTTGCGCAGAAAAAATAATCACATGTCTCTAACGTACGGTAAATATATAATAACAGGTTGTATTTTCATCACGTCGCCTTTTCCGCATTGTGGCACCGGAGAGTTCTAAATTGATGACGTCACGTCATTGTTGAACCATTGTGACGTCACGTCATGTGAAATGGGGTGTACGATAGAAATTTCCTACACCCCTTTCTTACCCTGGACAGCTCTATCTTACACTTTGGCAACAAAGAAAATGCCCTACATAAAATGATATGAACTTTATTAACATTGTATATCTTGAACTACGAAGAACAGTGAAGTGAATACCAATCTTAATGGTCTTTATAGCTCATCCTCTCTCAAACCTTCTAAATATTTTCCTTATTCGAATACATTATATCTCTTAACAGATAGAGCGGTAATTCAATTGTTGCCATGCATGCATTATAATTAGATGTGTTCCATTAATATTAATTGATTAGGAAAATAATGACAAATCAGCCAAAAATCTATCATTTATCATACATGATAGGTCTGACGTAAACATATTATGTAAGAAGCGAACCCGAATAAGAGTGACGTAACATGTAATGCGACCGTACGTGTAAGCGTTTGATTATTAAAAGAATTAGTGTAATTCCGCCTCATTTTGAATATTACTGACGTCACCAATCCATGACTGAGTTCTTGAGAAAAGGCACAAAACTATCTGAAAGTCATTGCTTCGTTCGATGGTTATTATTTACAACTGATATGAATGAGTATTGGGATAATCCTATTGTATTTTGATGTTTGAGTCTGTATACTGTGATTATATAACCGTCAAAATCAGTTTTACTGGCTCCGCAACGCGTCGATAGCAAAACTCTTTACGACAGAATAATCAAGATGTATTTATCCGCAAATCTTCAAATACTTAAGGGTTATCCCCTATTTATATTGTGATACTAAACAAGAATATGAGATAATAAAATACATACTCCCCAAGCTGTTGTTTTAGAAAATCCGAGGCCACCAAGAGAGCATTCTCGTTCGGAATGTACGCCAGTGCACCATTATCTAGCTTGCATTTGGCTTCACTAGATGTAGCATCTTGTCGTGTGCTTTTTAACCAGTAGCATATTTTTGTACCGCCAACGTCGACAGACACTTCACACAGAGGAACAGTACCTACAATTATGTTAACGGGAGGAAATATTTATGTTCAAAAAGATTGTTAACACCAAAAAAGCAAAGGCCGTCAAAAAGAAAGCAATTCTAATGCCAACTGATTTATGAGTTTGATATTTTGTCCCAAAATTTTGAGAGAAATGTAAATATTGAATATTGTAGCAAGTCATCATTCGAAGTTTTGTACGGTTTGTGCTATGTATACTAGAACTATATAATGTTTCGTAAAATACATGTATATTTTACCTACCTAAATGGCAAATGGACAAACTGAGTAACTGTATTCCACACCATAATAGAAGCAGTGTCGTCACATCCATGTTGTTTCCTCTAAAATGAAGACCGTTCTGACCACATTTCTGCTGTACGTCTGTCATAAATTAAAATTATTCATTGCCTTTATATGTGTATACGTCATTTACAGATTTTCTTTACAAAAAACGCATCCTGCTCTATTACCTGAATTGGTAAATCTGGTATGATTTATATCTGGGTTTTTTTTGTTTTTTTTTTGCAAACATACTTCAACTGTCCTGGAGCTGAACAAATCTGACTCATTGTGTTACATGCAATATAG